TTTTGTGAAGGTACCATTGTTGTATTTAATTATCATCATCATAAGTCATCACTATCCAATGTTGGTAATGATTGTGGCATACTGTTTATTGAGAAATGACGTTTTTGATGATTCGACAATACAATATTGACCTTGCTAAAAGTGGTGGTTATCCGGTAGTGAAGACGCTCGCTTCTCATGCATGAGGTTTGAAACCTATCGAGTAGCAATGTAACTTTTTTCAAGTTATATATACTTTCTATGATTATTTAGACATTTTATTAGATATTCCGTGGGAGGCCTTTGCTCAGCAGTGGGCACTCAAAGGCTAATGATGTGCTGTGACTTTGCTAGTTTGAAAAGGACTTTGAAACTTTACCTCATACATAATTTATTAAGGAACTTTGTCACGTCCAGTACTTTGTTGTTTTAAAATTATTAAAATTATTTTTATCTTTTTAGGTGCTACTCCAGGACAAGTGCCTAAGGTAGATCTAGGGTCGTGGACAAGACTACAGAGCTACATATCCAATATTATCACCGTACGTATGTATTGTAAATCTTCACTAATTCTTAATGACTGTTTAGTTAAGGGCACGAATCTTATCACATAAACTTAAACTAACAATGATATATTAAACTACACTTTAACTGAAATAAGTACGATTAAGAAAAATACAATTTAATTCTATCATAACTCACAATTAAAATTATATGATTAAAATTTACCGTAATGAAGATGACTATCCACTTACTATTGGGCTATGGGCCAACTCGAGAAGAAGTCTTACAGAAAGCATTTAAAAATCGGCATCGGCATCGGTACCGCCGCACACGATAGTCATTTGGCCGCTATCAGACCTGGTGGGAAGCGATGGTGCACGTCTACCCATAAGCAACCTATACCTATGTGTCTTCAAAGCCAGAGTGGATTTTTAAAACCTTTAAGAAACTAGAATAGACTCCAGCAAAGAATTCCATTCCTTATCGGTTTGGATCATAAAACTAAAGGCGAATCGCTACGCGAGTGTGGTTTGGGATATCCACCATGAGGCGATGGCGTTTAGTCGATTGTCTGGTGGTACAATGGTGGTCATGGTGGTTTCGCTTTCTGTTCAAATACTCATTGTTATATTATAAAGCTACTCTCGCGCGGTTTCACCCGCTGCTCGTAGCGTGATGTTTTATTGCCAAAAACCTTTCTCAATAAATGGTCGATTAAACACAAAAATATTTTTTCTATTCGAACCAGTTATTTCTGAGATTAGCACGTTCAAACTCTTGAGCTTTATAATATTAGTATAGATATGAAAATTTGATTTTAATTCCAGGATCTAAATTTCGACGTAGTTGGCTGGTTAGACTGGAACATTTGTTTGGATGAGCAAGGAGGTCCAGCTTGGAATGGGAACTTCGTGGATTCTCCGGTGATAGTAGCTCCTTCGAAGGGGGAGTTTTACAAGCAGCCAATGTTCTACGCCATGGGTCACGTGTCGAAGTTCATACCCCGTGGGTCTTACAGGATCAATATTAGAACCGAAAAATGCAATACAACTGCTGCACCTGAAAGCTTTTCCTTTGTACAACAGCAGGAAGTCATTCAGAGCGCTGCGTTTATAACTCCGTACAAAACTGTTGTTGTTGTGCTTCATAATAAGTAAGTAGTTTCATGTCATGAATATTAATTTAAGATTTGGAAATGGTAAAAATAACAATGGCTGGTTCACACTGATGTTTCATAAATTTTGAGAAACTCCTTAGTTTATTTTGTTTTTATGTGACGACGACAACCGAGCCTACGGAATACCTGATGGTTAGCAATCATCGCCGCCATCCGAAATAACGGAGGAGTTTAGCGTACCCTTTGAGGATTAATGTTTCGGAGATTTAGGGATTAAGGGAGTTGCTGGATGGAGCCTCCGGTAACCTCACTCATACGGCAACACAACGCTGTTGTTGTTTCACGCCTTTTATTATAAAGTTAGTTTGATTAGTTTAACGATAGGATACAGCTTTATCTTTTTAACAACTTAAAAGTGACCAGTGTCACGCTAAAAACAATATGATTTTCTTTATTGATCAAAACGTCTTTTCATATTTTTTAATTTTTATAAATGACTAATGTCTGTTTTGACAGAGGCCCGGCCACAAGTATAGGTATCCAGTTACAGAAACAGCATGCTTCCATCAACATCGAGGCTGAATCTATTGTCACTGTCGAATTTAATAATAAAAGTTAGAAAATGTCAACGAATAAAAATCTTTTTACATACGATCTTTTTGTTTTATACAGAAAAAGTTTGTTAGTGTTTCAGTAACACCTTATTCTCCCATCCCACCCCTCCATTCTCAACCTTTAAATCATTAATCCTCAAGTGTGGGAGAGCCGCATGGCTCTCCCACACTTATGTCATAAGACATATTAGACCCGAATGGGTCGGTTCGACCGGAGTGATTCTGTGAGACGGCTTCACAGAAAACCAGCTTGAAACAATTACAACGTTGTGTTTCGCCGTGTGAGTGAGGTTACCGGAGGCCCAATCCTTCCCCTCCCCCAATCCATCCCCAATCCCTAAATCTCCAAATACCTAATCCCCATAAGGTCAGCAACGCACTGATAAATCCTCTATTGTTGCGGGTGTAATCCGTCTGCTCGTTTTCTGACTTATGAACATAAAAACGTGAAGAATTAATAAATATTATCTGGTTTTATTCCTTTCCAAATAGCTATGCTGTCTTAAAAAATGTAATGCCCTTTAAACGTTGGTGCTCAAATAAACTGATAGTGATGGTCTTAGATAAATATTACGCACATGTGACATGATATAATATTGTGATAACAATTTATCTACCAGACAAAATTAACTAGAAATAGATTTTTGTTAGCAGATCACGTGGTTCAGAGGTTTACGTACGTGTGGAATGTTTCGACAATATTAAGACGCTACATTTCCATCTCAAAAATCTACAGCTGCAGAGTGAAGTTCGTTACTTTCGGGATATAAATAATAGTACGGTAGTAGTATATCATACGACGCTTTTCAACACACTTCTGAGACGAGATGTGAAAAATGTAATGGCGGGAAAACTTAATCAGTTTTCATATGCGCGCGCATCGGCCATAGACTAAAAAATGAGGTTTCATTTTTTGGGTTTGTCACGGATAGCATTTAGTCCAAGTGTGGGCGTAACTCAAACAATAATATAAAAAAAAAACTGTTACTCGTGAAATAGTCATGAAAAAGTCCCAGTTTGATTGATTGATGATTGACTCGTACGGACGCTCCATGCAACGCGTGACGCGCCGCGTTTCCATTTATAGGACATTAGGCATTAGGTTCTCAGCTGAGGCTGGGTGCAAGTTCTATAATATACCTCAGAATCAGCTCAAGGCTGGAGAAGGGACGGTGTGGTTTGTAATCAGTAAGAGCCTGACACTAACTCTTGCTATTTAAAAAAATAAGGTCTTGATCAGCTGTGCTGTGTAAATAAAATGGACGTCATGTCAATGATAAATCGTATTTTTGACTCAACAATAAACAACTAGGTATACCCATAGTTATCTAACGTGTCAGAGAAACGAAAACGATTATAGACAGAACTGATAATGATTACAAAAAGACATTCACATTCACACAGGTCAATGGTTATTTTCATCATTTTAATTTTGTAACAATATCAGTCAAGTGCGAGTAGGTTATACACACGGAGTTTTGTTGATAATAACCAGCCCGCCAGAAGTAATAGGATGATGAAAAATTGTTACATAACTGCAACACGTTATGTAAGTCGCTCTTTGAGGAGTGGCTTGAGAGACGCCATGGCGTCCTCACCTTCCGCTTGACGCAGGTGCTTAACGGGCACAGCTTCGGTAGGTTCCTGTTTCGATTCCGGCAGGAGGTAACGTCCGAGTGTCGTCATTGTGAGGACCACCCAGAGGACACGGTGGAGCATAATATGGTGGGGTTGTGCTCTGCTTGGGCTGAACACCGTTGTGTCCTCAGGGAAGTGATCGGCGGCGGCGGCGGCGGCGGCGACCTCTAGCGCCTGGCCTTAGTCGAGGCCATGGTGCGGAGCGAGAAGAACTGGGACGCCGTCTCCTCTTCTTTGAAGCAGTTATGATCGCGCGCGCCTCTAAGAGCCAATAGACCACCACAGACGGGCCCTATAGAGCTGATGTTCAGTCGGGGTTGCGGGGTAAGCGCAATGAGTCACCGCGACCTTGGCCCAGAGCAGGAAAAGGAACAGGCGGGTTTTTAGTCAGTAAGAGTCTAACACTCCCTCCCGCCCGACCCTAGGCAGTAGAAGTCATTAGATGACTTTCCCCTCACAAAAAAAAACATTATGTGGGTAAGTACCTATAGTGGGTAACCACTGTCTGTGGTTTCGGTTGAAGAAATAAAAGTAAGTTAATTTGTTATCAAATAGAATAACATAGGTGGGATTTATTGAAATACTTTAGAAGGTGTGCGCTGTCTGGAGGTCGCAGTCACAGAAAATGGTCGATTTCCAGTGAGCGTGGGCTGGCCAAATTAAGGAACTTATTTTTCTATATAGTTGCGCGAGAAACTTAAGAATTTCTCGAAAACTGATTTTTGTTATTCCATGTGATGATGATTGAGAGTTTCTAACCTTACCACTAATTGTTTAAGAAACATAATATGTATTCGTTTTTTATTTTTGAAGGGTAAAAATCTTCACTTTCTTACTGAATTACTGTCTGAAAATCAGTGTTCTTTCGCCTGGTCCGAGTGAACTCAAGACCTTCAAAGTTCCAGTCAAACTCAACTGCAATTTTGAAACATATTGCATTTGAGTCAAGTAAGAATTTGTCAAAGGGGTACTCGCTCGAATTACTTATTGAATTACGACACATGGACGAAAAAAGGTCGAATTTCGATGTAACAATTGACATGCGGAACTCTAAAAAGTTAAAAATAGATTAAACCTTTTTTTATTCGTAGTTTTATCATTCAAGTGATATTGTTTAACCACGCATCACATCTCATTGATAGTCTGTGATGGAGCTCCGAACGTACTGGCCGGTTTTACTCGCTGTTTTGGCGGTATGGCCCGCCGTGGCTGCGGACCTAACTGGTGAGGAAACAAATATGATTTAAATAATTATCTTATAATAATTAATGTTATCTGAGGAATCAAATTGTTGGCGTCACTGTCTTATACAAATATTATGACGCGACAGCATCATAATTATTCCCCAGGTAACTTTTATTTAACTATTGAAAAATCAGCCCTAAACACACAAAAAGAGCTATTTTGAATTTCGAAGATAAAAGAAACAAAACAAAAGGACGCAGACGAATCTTTCGATTTTTTTTTATAAATATAAAATTTAAACCAATACCTACTTCTTTAAATTTCTTTAGATATGGTTATGGATAGATAAAGCGATATTGTTTTGTGATTGCTATATGACTTTGTAATAAATAACACAAAAATATTTTCAATCAAATTATTGGTCTGAATTTTAGAAAGTGCTGTACCTATATTTCGAGTAGATTTCCTACTCATAAACTAATTACTAAACAAAGTCATAGAACAATTTACAAACTCATATAGCAATCACAAAACAATGTCGCTTTATCTGTCTTCATATCTCTATGTATGCTTAAATCTTTAAAACTACGCAACGGATTTCGATGTGGTTTTTTGTAATCTATAAACAGGTTGAAGAGGAAGGTTTATATTTACATATCATCATCATCATCATCAGCCTGCATTCGTCCCCGCTTGACATGGGCATCCCCAATCTATCTATCTACATATAATAACGTCTATTATTGTGGAGAAATTTAGTTACAGATTAAAAATTGCATCCGTTCGAACCCGGGGCGGATCGCTAGTTCTTCATAAACTTTTATGAATTTAAGAATCAGATCTTACGCGGGTTTACACAGATGTTAATCATTTTACGTAGGTAGGTACTTAATAAAAGATAAAACATATTTTTTGTAACACCATTACAGACGTAATTACATATATGTAAATACTACCTATATTAATATGAATTACATTACTTATTCACAAAAAAAAGAATGTTTCTTTCAACAAGCTATTAGATATTATTTTCGACGCAGTTTTATTTTATTTATTTATACTTGCTACTGTCCCGCGGTTTCACCCGCTGCTCGACTCCTACATATCGTAGCGCGATGTTTTATATATATGTATATAGCCTATACTTAGCCTTTCTATATAAATGAACTAACCAACAGAAAAAGAATTGTTTTATTCGAACCAGCAGTTCCGGAGATTAGCGCGTTCAAACAAACACATTCTACAGCTTTGGAATATTACTTAGTCTGTATATATAGATTGGTTAATTTATGCACACAAAATATTAAACACTAGCTACTCTCGCACGGTTTCACCCGCTGCTTGGCTCCATTTAATCGTAGCGTGATGTTTTATAGCCTATAGCACCCAGAAACATTGTAATATTAAAACTGTCAGTGAAAGAATTTTGGCAATCCGACCAGCGGTTCCAATTACAAATTTTATAATATTATATTAGTATAGATTTATAGACAATACATATAACAACAAAAGAGGTGCAAAGGTACTGCAAATGCAAATTTCATAGAAATCGGTTCAGTAGTTTAGGCGTGCAGAAAAACAGTCAGACGGAGTTACTTTCGCATCTAAAATATTAGTTTGGATAAAACAAGCAAAAGTTTTTATTAGTACCGGGACTATTACTATTACTTATTACTGTACTTTATAGTATTTTTGTGGATTTAGAGTAAAATATGTTGACACAGCTTAACATTGTCATGCAAACTAAAAGTGTATGTACCTATGTAAAATTTCAAATTTCAAATCGGTTGCAAAATATTTGCTGCAAACTTTTGTTCAGATACTTCACAAACTTATATACATACATACATATATTATATTGTACTTTAACGTACAAGTACAAGACTTTTTTATGGCATAGTAGGTCGACAAATGAGCATTACGGATTACCTGATGGTAAGCAATCAGCGCCGCCAATGGACACTCGTTATACCGAAGGAGTTACTACAATTGCGTTCCCGACCTCTTGTGGGCTATTAGGGGTTTATGGATAGGGGGAAGGATTGGGTAAGGTTGTATACAGAAAGCAGATATGGTGTCCAGAGTAACCTCGGGGCACCGCGACCTGGGGTGTGATTCTGTAAGACTTCATTCTAAACTTCGAATCTGAGTCCGCTGTGAGTAGTAGTACACTAGCGCTACACTTGCGAGTTGAACTAAATTGACAGCGACATTTTGATAGAGAAAGTATGAGATGACGTAAAAGTGGCATTCTAAAATTTAATTTCGACGCTGACTTCGCACTCGCACAAGATTCAAAATAAAACAAATTTTATAGAATCGACGTGCTGCTCTGCAGATATGACCCGCATTTCATGAATGAGATGGTTTTATCAGAGTTTTTTGTATTTTCCAAGCTGACATGCAGTCGGTCAGTGAAGTAACGTGCATGTTTCATTCGAACTGCATTTACTTAGAAGAAAATCTGATTGTAAGTTCGCTTATGGGCAATGCTCATTAAATTCTGTAGGTGAATCTTACTTGCACATATAATATATAGTTACTGCCTTATTCCGTAGCGATAGGTTGTGGGCCCAGGACTAGCAAATTCAGGAGGGGCGCCAAGGTTTGCCGGGTTTACGGATCTAGTGCAAAAAGATAGCGCGGCTTCGATCTGGAGCAGGGGACGGGGGGGTTTTTAGATAGTAAGAGTCTGACAATTCTTTATCGCCAATAGTGGCGATAATAGAAATAGAAAAATCACTAAATGGTTTCTCTCGCCCAGGATAGCCTGGGCGAGAGAAACCATTTAGTGATTTTTCTCACTAAACAAAAAAGGTGGAAACCATGGTCTGCTGTTGAGGGGAGGCACCCCTGGTGCAAACCCTATCGAAGAGCAACTCCAACAATATCATTCGACTAGATATTTTTGAGGCTGTGTACGCTAATACCTCTAGGTAACGCTAAAGAAAACAACGTTAATAAAAGTTTACTTGAGATCAGCAAAATACAGACAAAGACTTGGAACTCCCTTAGGTGGTTTCCAAAATATTTTCGCCTATAGTGTCATTGATCCTTACGCCTGTTTTATTTATTACTTCGATAAACGAGACTATCGGACTGGTTATATCGGGTACGAATTCCGGATCTAACAAGTTATTATTGTGACTCTAATTTTATCCAAGTGTATGGAATTATGTGCAGTGATGTAACCTACAAAATGATAACCTCTGTTTACTTAACCAAGTAACAAACTGCACGATTGTATGTTGTTCTATCTAAATGTAAAACAAAATCGTGTTGTTTAGGTGGCAGCCTTCAATATACCTACCTAGCTTACTTACTCTTACTTTATAGCAACAGTTACAGTTATTTGTCACTATAAATTTGTACTCTTTTTTTACAAAAACGTTGCCATACTCTAGGATTTTTTCCTATGTCGTGAGTGCGTTTATAAAACTCTGGCTACCCTCGCGCGGTTTCGCCCGCTGCTTGGCTCCTACAGATCGTAGCGTGATGTTTTATAGCCTATAACACTCAGCATTGTAGCTATCTATCAGTGAAAGAATTTTGGAAATCCGACCAGCGGTTCCAAAGATTACGTCCTACATACAAACTTACAAATTTGACCTCTTTATGATATTAGTATAGATATAATTTCACGTAGTCAGCATACCCAAACCCGGTAGAATAATGTGGATCACAAAAAAGGTTGTCTCGTGCTTGGCTCGAACCCACAACATGTTGCGAAGAGTGCAGAGTGCACTCAAGCCAAGCGTGCTGCCAAGCTCACGCTCGCAGCTCACAATGTCTGATTCATCTAATCATTCCTTTGTCCGATCTTTTTAAGTATAGGAGAGCCATGTTGCAGCACGAATCGGTCCGCTTGGAGTAATACCACGGCTTCACAAAATACCGGCGTGAAAAAACCACAGCGTTGTGTTTCGTCGTGTAAGTCAGGTTACCGGAGGCTAATCCTTCCCCTCCCAAATCCCTCCCAATCCTAAAATCTCTTAATCTCTAACCCCCAAAAGGTAGGCAACGAAATGGTAACTCCTCTGTTGCTGCAGAGCTCCATGGGCGGCGCTGATTGTTACCATCAGGTAATACGACTGCCCATTCGCTGTCCTATCACATAAAAACAATCTTTGATTTGTTGTATTTGACGTCTCGACAAGCAGACCGACTATGAAATCGACAAAACAAAGGAAAATGTGATGTAAACAAATGTTACCCACGCTTTTGTTGAATCTAGTGAGGTACGAAGTCCACCGGGGCAGCTGGTTATTGATAAATACCCGTATCTATGTACCTACTATCAAGCATGTGTCTTTTAAAGATTAGAGAATGCGGCTTATTAATTTCCCGTCAATGTATGAATGAGTGTAGGTACCACAGTAGGTTCGTGTGATGTAAGTATATACGTATGTAACAAATAAAATAGAGAACGAATGACACCGTGTGTGTGGGAGAGCCAAGCTTCGGCACGAATGTGAGGGAGTGATACCACGGCCTCACAGAAAACTGGCGTGAAATAAGCACATCGTTTTGTTTCGCCGTGTGAGTGAGGTTACTGGAGGCCCAATCTTTCCCCTCCCCCGATCCCTCTAATCCCTCTGATTGATTACCATGAGGTAATCTAAAAAAAACCGTGGATGCTAGAGTATGATGTTTAGCCAGGGTTGTGAGAGAAGTGTAATTAAGAGCTGCGGCCTTGGTCTGGAAGGACCGGGCTGGTTTTTAGTCAGTAAAAGTCTGACACTCCCTCTCGCCCTCCATATAAAGTGTATGGTTGTGAATTCTGAACTGTCTTTTCGAACATATCGTAAACTGACTACACTGGTTACAGAACATTTAAAATTTCAATTAACATTCATTGATTCATGTATTCCATAGTTTCTTTATTGTTAGGACGACACACGTAGGTACGATTCTGTAGTTTCTATCTACGGTTATAGAAAAAGCCATTAATTAATGAGTATATGTTTGTTGTGTTCCATGTTTCAGACCGTCCCTGTGCAGCCAGGCACGTGAAGAGTGGGCAGGTGTGTGTGTGTACAGCGGAGTACTGCGACACGATCACGAGGCAGCCTCCGGAGTCCGGTACATTTGTGTCCTATGTGTCGTCGGAGGTAGGTATTTGGTTTTCTTTACGGTTTCTCAGTTCATTTCACTGTTTGCAAAAATCTAAAGTATAACGTACGCTTATGTTATAAAATTGTGAAAAATTTCAATGAATTGTTACCCAAAGAACCGTAAATGCAGCAAGGGACGATGGGAAGAAGAATTTAAACCAAGCAACAACGGCGGGCTCTCACTGGAGGAGAGTAGCTCGTGACAGAACTCAGTGTAAACAGCTAGAGAAGGCCTTTGCCAAAAGGCACACTGAATTGAGGGGTATACCTAATGTAACGGCTCAAACACAATAAGAAACAATTCAGAATTAAGGGCATTATAATTATAAAGATGTCTATTCAGGGCGGTAGAAACCATTTGATTATTTTCCACCTGCAAAAAAGGAGCAAAGCTCAACTAGTTTCAAGACACAACGGGACTCTTATTCACATATGAACTTGCGTTAATTTTGTTTTCAGGAAGGACTTCGATTCCATAAGTTTGTCGGATCGCTAAAACATTATGAAAAGGGTAAATATAATCACTTTTATACGCAGTCCTTTCATCTCACAGAACGTTCTATAACATTTTACTTAGAATATAAAAAATTACGCTGATTATAATTTGACACATACGTGCTTGCTTGCCTATAGAACTGGTCTACTAAAAGTGTTGTGGTTCTTTTCTCAAAAGACCGCTACAAATCAAACAACATGCATCGTTCTTCCATTTTTGTTTTATTTTATACTTAAAGTCATCAAAATGTTTCGGCGATCCTTTTAAGAGCAGACAGATAGAAACGCGGATTCTCAACAAAAATAAACCAAAAACAATCATCATTTATAATAATATGATCACAAATTATAGACTTCAACTATGCAGTTTTTTTTTGCATGGAATAGCTACTTAATTCTAGTAAATCTGGATTTTTATTTGCAGGTAGCACTAAGGAGAATGTTCTGGAACTAGATGTGGGAACGAAATATCAGACAGTGAATGGTTTCGGAGGTGCTGTCACTGATGCAGCTAGCATTAATTGGAAGAATTTGACTGATCATCGACTGATGGACCATTTAATAGAGTAAGTATTATTATTTAACTTTTCGTTTGCCGGTATATGAGACACAATAGAAAACACATTGTGTCTCGCGTAGATCTACGTTCCGGCTGAAAACGGGGTAATTCATACTTAGGTATATAACGAGTGTTAATTTTGTCTAATTTTGCGGAGGGATTGTCAGGCTCTTACTGTCTAAAAACCACTCCACTCTTTCTCTTTCGCAATGCTGAAGCCGCAGGACATTACTGCGCTTCACCCGCAACCCGGGCTACTTTGCACAAGGTTGTTGCAAATTTGTTTCAGATTTCAAGATTCTATTTTAAATGTTGATACTTTTAGGGCTGATTTTTCAATAGTCAGATAAATTTTATCTAAGAAATAAACTTGTTGCTGTCACTGTCTTATACAAACATTTTGACGCGACCGCATCATTTATTCCCCAGATAACTTTTATCTAACCATTTAAAAATCAGCCTTTACCAGGGTTTAAAAAGACACTTAACGAAGCCGTTAACTACGCATACTGCACTTCTAACTAAGTAGCTTTACGCTAAAATTATCACTGGGAAACGACTTTTATTTTTAGGCATCAAAAAAATAATAATTTTATTGCGCGCAATGTAAAGCAAACGGGCTTCGTGTCATTGTGTGCGTAGGTACACAGCTTAGCATTAAAACGCTGTGATAAGTACGTAGGTCGACGTTTTACTTCGCAACAACAAAACAATTCTGTAAAATAAAAATCCTACTGAGATGCACGATGTTTTTTGTGCGGGTCTGCATTTATTTATTACGTACATTACTGTTCGTAACTTCAAATGCGTAATTTATTTAGAAAAATCGAAAATTGAGGTAATGTTTGTTTGGAAAAAAGTTTTGTAATAATATTTAGAATTCGATTGCGCAAAAAAATAATAATTTAAAAATGCATCTTTGACCTTCAATATCTCGAGAACCCGTGAAGTCCCAGCTATGGTCTTAAAGAAAAAAAATGATCCAAATAATGGGTAGAATACGTGGCTTTCGGCTTCGTTAAGTGTCTTTTTACACCCTGTATTTATTCAGTCCACACAAAGACTCTCTTTTACAACACACATTGGTACAGATATCACCATTTATGATTAATGAAGATTTCTATACATTTCAGGTCGTACTGTGGTGATTCAGGAATTCAATACAACATGCTCCGTGTCCCAATCGGTGGCACTGACTTCTCCACACACGGGTACGCGTATAACGAACTCCCTGAAAACGATGTAACACTGAGCAACTTTACATTGGCTTATGAAGATTACGAGTATAAGGTAAAAACTAATGTAATATTGAACTAGGTAGCGTACATGATTCAATCCAATAGTAGACGAAAATGGGATGATGATGATAATTATGAAAATGTCCCTTGACCAATCCTTGAATCCCTCACTCCCGAAAGGCTGGAGGAGTTTCTATGTCTGTTTAGGTCAATCAGGTCTACCACAGGGACTCACAATAGGTCCAATAGGAATTGTAAAGGTGAAATTTGATTGTGGTTAAACTCTTTTCCTCTCCAGATTCCAATGATAAAGGCGTGTATGAAGGCGGCTAGTGCTCCTATACACATAGTATCAGCGACTTGGTCTCCTCCGATATGGATGAAAACCAACGACGCGTACTCCGGGCACAGCAAACTACGGAAAGAGTATCGACAGACTTATGCTGATTACCATTACAAGTAAGAACCTTGTACGTTTAAGTACCTTACGAGTATATCGAAATAACCCTAATGAAATTTTTATAAATAATAGTATTAGAATATAAAGGCAAGTGCACCCAACGCGGCTTCGTCTTCTTCTTATCTTTCTTTAGATGTCCCCGTACTTAGAAGGCTTTTTGTACACATCATTATGTGGATCTAATATCAAATATAATAAGAAATCTTTGTTCAACATCACGGTTATGTTAAAATTATCCTTTTTCAGGTTCTTAGAGCATTATGCAGCTGAAGGTATACCAGTGTGGGGCGTGTCTATTTCGAACGAGCCACTCCATGCTAGCGTGAACTACATCCCAGCTAAAATCAACAATATGGGATGGACCTTAGACGAAATGGTATTTTAAATTGAATTCCTTATTTTATTTTTAAAGGAAGTTAATTGTATTTATACATTTGCTTGTAAAAAGGTGTTTAAGTATTGTTTAGTCGAAATTATATATTCTTAAAATATCTGTTATAATATTTAAGTCAGAATTTTGCAAGCATTAAAATAAATACTTATTGATATTAAAAACCATCTCTTATTATGGATAGCTTCATCTCTGTTAATATAAATATATTTTTAAATCTAATTTCAGAGCGAATACGTAATGGAGAACTTGGGCCCCACTCTTCGAGGTAACAACTCCAACTTCAAACACGTGAAGATCATCGCTGGCGATGATTTGCGGTTCACCATCACTCTCTTCTGGAACACGGTACGCTTGAAAACTGACAGCGAAAATATTTTCAAGAACTTATCTTTTAAAGAATTTAAGATTTATTTGGGATTCTCAGCCCTGCCCCCTTTCGCATGAGTTTTCAACTAAATTGGCGTCAGTCATTTGTTTTTTGTGGCATCTAAAGGATTGCTATTTCCTAATTTTCCCCGATATTTTTTTGCTCCCCACCTCCTTCTCAGCATGACTGCTTCGCACAAGGAGGAGATGGCTTCCAAGTTCCTTTCGCTTCGTATCATGTTATGAACTATGGCCGAGCGCGATATGCACCGCTGGCGAGTGTATCCCTGATGGTACGGCGATGCTTAATTGAAGCAGGATACTGCACCATAGATGATAAAGCGATACGTTTGCTTCACTAAAATTGTGTGAAACGACAGAACCGACTTCAATTCATCATATAAATAATAATCCAAATATTTGGACATTGGGAAAAAGGCGACTCGACACAGTTAAACCTCTGGTAATTCCCATCACTTGGTGAAACTGTGCAAGAGTTGTTTCACACCCGGATTACTGTGAGGCCGTGATATTACTCCGGTGAAGCCAGCCTACTTGTTCTAAATTCAACATTTTTTAATACCTATATTTTTCTTCAGTTTGTAGCCGTCTACCCAGAGACCTTAGAGTACTTGGATGGCGCAGCAGTACACTACTACATGAGCGCTTACGTGCCAGCTGCGATATTGTCGAAGGCAATGGAAGGATACCCAGGGAAGTTCGTGCTGGCTACGGAGATCTGTGCAGGTATACTTAGGTTTGTTAATAAATTATTTTTACACGCCTTTAAAGCCTTGGAAAGGTAGGTACAAAACAAGCACTCGTGTGCTTGTTTTGTAACATTTGTCTTGGCCGAAGAATATAATGCCTTTTGCTATTTACCTAGCAGTATTCCAGATTTCCTGCTTATTACTGAGAAATTACCGAAAATCCAATAAAAGTAATATCCGACCCGGACATCCCACCTTGGATGATAAACTAAGCCAAGTTTAAGCCGAGCCGAGCCGGGTTTATTGCATTTATATTAGAGGAAGATGTGGTTTGTTATATATTATGCTAGTAAGGTTTTTGTAGTGTATGTGAATGTGTAATTTAGTATTTTATGTTCACAGGCGCTCTTCCGAGTGACACCGTGAAAGTAGATATAGGGTCGTGGAGCAGGGCACAGTTGTACGTCAATGATATCATGCAGGTATGCTAGTCCGTGTTTTAAAAGTATTAATAACAAGGTTTTGCCCGCGACTCCGTTCGTGTATAATAGTGTCTTCCTGCAGATTTTTGGTATAAAATTATCCTATGTCCTTTCTCGAGTTCCAAACTATGTCTGTACCAAATTTCACAGAAATCGGTTCGGCAGTTTAGGTGTGAAGAAAAATATAGAATTACTTTCGGAATTATAATATTAGTTTGGATTGCCATTGTAGTCACTTTATATCTTGACAAAAACAATGTTTTTTATATTTTTAGTTGTGCCATGAAATATGGAATTGTTTAATTGTTCGGAGTTGTACTCGAAGCCGTAGCGTGATGGAACTGTCGATAGAGTTCGACGATTGAGTGTAACATTTTGTCGTTAGATGGCGTTAGTATCGACATAGATCGCCTATCGTTGTTTGGGTTATCAATCACTGCATTTTTTGTGTGCGAGTCTGATGTTACCCTTTATTACATACTAGATATAAAACTGCCCCTATATCCCTATATATGCTTTAAAACTAATCAACGGATTTTGAGTAATGCGTTCTTTTTAATAATTTATATATATGTTTAATAACATCCAATAAATATTGGAGGTATTAAGAATTACAATTGCACCCGTGTTTAGCCGGGGCGGGTCGCTAGTATCCTATAGTATGTATAATATTATTTACTGGAAGTTTATTCAAGAATCGTCAAACAAATAATTTTTTATTGAGATGCTTATTGTTTCTCCACAGAATCTTGGCAATGATGTGATAGGATGGCTGGACTGGAACATGTGTCTGAACACTGAAGGGAAACCAAGCTACATAGGATCCAGTGTGGACTCCCCAATACTTGTCAATGCAGAAGATGGGGAGTTTTACAAGCAGCCAATGTTCTACGCTATTGGACACTTCTCTAAATTTGTTCCACGAGGTTCTAGAAGGATTAGAGTTAATGTAGACTGTGGTACGGAGATTCAGAACATCGCGTTCCTAACGCCCGATAACACCGTCGTTGTTGTTATCCATAATGAGTAAGTGCTAATTTCACAGTTTTTTTATTATGTTCTAGGCTTTTCTTTTTTGTGAGGGGATAGTCAGCAAATTACTTCACCAGCCCTTGATAGAGTGTATTAGCCTTTTATTGACTAAATGACTAAAGAACTCTTTTAACGTTTCTTCTCCTGCATTAGGCCGGGGCCATGGCAAGATCGGGTGTTTATTTTCTAGATGGTGCTCTGACTTTGAGATTTTGGGTGTTATTATGATTTTTAACCATACTTACATGTCCATATCTTACCCTAACCATTTTCACTAGTATTTTAAAATGTTGTTCTACTAATACATCACATAAATAAAATTGTGAATAAAAAACATAGACAAATCGTTCTTGATAAATGTACCGACTGCTTGGCTCCAATTAATCGTAGCGTAATGTTTTGTAGCCTATAGCACTCAGGAACATTATAGCTATCTACCAGTGAAATAATTTTGGCAATCCAACCAGAGCGGTTCCAAAGATTACCCCCTACATACAAACTTAACAAATTTGACCTCTATAATATTAAGTACAGATTATTTTTATTATATTCTAAACTGGTTATATGTTTATTTTTCAGAGGCCCTGAAGAAACCGTAAGATTGCGGTTAGGAGATAAAGAGGCAGAGTTAATAATTAACGCCAACAGTATTACGACAGTTGAAATGTTGAATAAGAATGATATAGAATCGAATGAGGAGGATTAGAATTTTAGCACTGAATGCTGCTACGGGACTGACGACCTTTGATCAGTACAATACAGTATACAACAACCTGCTTCCATCTTTGAATTATTCCATTTGAATCTCGACTTTACACAAAAGCTAAAAAGTTTAATATTTCATAAATTTAATCTGACAGAACGGAGTAGAATTGCTTACTGGCCGTCCACTTTTAGTCCCCAAACTGACTTCAAAATGCTTGCAGCGTAACATGTTGTGTAACGTAACATAATGATGCCAGCATAAACCCAGTAAGATTTAGTAGTAATTTTTACCTACTAAGTTTTAAATTGACATTGTAATTGAAAATCAACCGTAAATAAATATTAAGTACAATTCAGAATCGTTTGTTTGATTTTCGCCTTATAAGTTATTGATTTTTTTTATTTCCCCTTTTACACAACACAGCTTCACACGCTGATAAAATGTTTTTTCCCGTTTCTATAGCAATTTCAAGAAATCTACTTTGATAACTGGTAAAAATTAGTGTATGTAAGCATCTCTGTGTACTAATTCAAAGAAATCGCTATCTTAGGTAAAAAATAATATATTTAATTAATTATACTATAAGTGACTTCTTTACCATACAAAGTTTTGTTATTCTTTGAAATTGATACATACAAATTGTATTTGGATAAGATAAAGTTATAAAATAACAATAAGTTAGTTGTTACTGTTAACAAAACAAACATTTTATTTATACTTACTCAGGCTTATCTACCTACTTTAGTAAAACATTAAGATGTTACGGAGTAGAATACGACAAAAGAGGAAAAAATAACGATTAATAAGTACTTAGTTATGCTACATAAGGAAAGAATACGGTAGTTTCCAACTAATCAAATTCAATACTTTTATCCAAATGTCAAAAATGGTACTTTTCTATGAAATTTGTATGAAAAACTGAGTTATGACGTCATAGTATTTTTGAGTCAAACAGCTTACTTATATCAATAATTAGCTACAAAATATCAAAAACTTAGCGTATCGATCGATCGATAAATAAAAGTATACTTCTTTTTCGTCTTGAAACGTCGAATTAATTTATGTTTCACTTAGGAAACTACACAATTATATTGACACACAAAATCTACATACAAAACGCAGAGTAATGACACAATAATAACTCGTACCATGATTAAATATAGGGGTAAGTCTTAAGTCCGCATTAAAATGGGCTCCAGAAAAAAAAACCTAGTCTAAGAGAGGCTGCGCAAAGATAGCTTACCTCCCGATCAGAACTAGACCCGACCGACAGGGCTAGGGCAAAGCGTTCCGTGCCCCAAAGACACAACAGATCACCGCAGTTGGGGCTGATGTTCAGCCGAGGTTGCGAGTCAAGCGCAATAATGTTCCACGGCCCTACCTGGAGCAAGAGTGATGGTTTTTAGGCAGTAAGAGTCCGGCACTTCCTCTTGCCGCAGAAGACATTCGGTGACTTTCCAAGGTGGAAAGTCACCAAGTGATAAGAAGTTATCTCTTAAGAAACGAAACAAATCTATGTGTAATTCGTAAACCACGTAACTTTGAGACTTTCAAACTTTCAAAAATCTCCATACATTTATCAATACTGAATTTGGTTACAGAGGCAGTTCAGCATAAGCAGGATAAGGCCTTGCGTTGGCATTCTACTGATTTCCCTTTTTGCGCTTGAACCTTAAATGTTTTTTATGAGATAGTGCGGCAAACGAGCTTACGGATTACTTGATGGTAATCAATCAGCGCCGCAAATGGGAGTGTCCAAATGGGGGTGGCAAAAACATAGTTTTGGAGATTTAGGGATTTGGCAAGGATTAAGTAAGGAAAAGGAATGGGCTCGGTAACCTCACTCTTACTGCGAAACACAACGCTGTGGTTATTTCACGCCGTTTTTCTGTGAGGCCGTGGTATAACTTCGGTCGAGTCAACCCATTCGTGGCGAAGCATGGCGCTCCCACATTTCTGGTTTGTTTTTGTTTATATTGTGTGCTATGATTATAGTAGTGTAGTTGTACTAGAGCTAGTTGGCCGGACATAGAAGTCGGACACAGGTCGTTGTGCCCGCGACACACATTACATCAATTTGACCAACACCCCGTATCCGAGCGTTCAACTTCCACACGTACATCCTGACCTTAAACAATTACGATCTTTAAATAACCTCACCCTTGTGCTAATCATTGCAGGGGTAGATAACAGAGTATTGAATCAACAAAGTTTAAAAACTCCGGACTATTTGCTACCTTGATAAGTAATAATAAAATTCGAACTCGATACTGTATTGTCCACAGCGACTCTTGTGATCTCTCGGCCAATAAGAACTTAAGACAGTTCACAACTTAGGTTATTTTTCTATTGGTAATAGTGCCAATAACATTCTAAGCAAACGATATCTACAATTTATCTAGTTATCTCTCTCTTTGTTTACAGAACACCTGTTCTGTTGATTCTACAAGCAAATGATTCACAAAGCTGTTTTTTCTTGTGATAAGATGTATGTTCTTTTTGATAATACATATCGCTAAGTAGTTTACTGTCTGATTCACGCCCCGATGTCCACAACAACACTTATTAATCCTCTGTGGTAACTTGAGAACTGTTTAACCAATCAATGAACGAGTCTGGCCCTCAGTCGTCATTCATATTGCAACCAAAACTCACATGCGCGTAAATAAAACCTATTTTACGTTTAGCCGGAACATTGGTACCGGCCGGTAACTCATGTAGTATTGTTCTTTTTTTAAATATTAGTTTTCCAAAATGGCTCCCTATAAAGTTTGTTTTTTATTTGGAATATTAGCTGTTTGTTTCTTTGGTGCTTGTTTGGCCGGTAAGTTACAGTTTATTAATTTTGTTTTCATTTAAATTTGGCCTATTTGACGATTGTTTAATGTTTTTCTTCCTTGAACCGTTCTTCACTTTTGTTATGAGTGACATAATAATTACCCGTTTAGCTATCTAATGTAATGTTTAAAAATATATTATGTCGGTTAATATCTTTCCCTACTGAGCTATGTTGGTGCTTACTTAATATTTTTTATTGTTTCTTTCCCTGGATTTGATCTAAGAACGACATTTTTAAATATAAAAATAGAATAAATTGTTAACAATTCTCTGCATCACTTGATGAGGTTGACTGGTAGAGAATGTCTTCGGGCATTAAGTCCGCCTTTGTATGTTTATGTACATAAAGTGTTAAATAAATAAATAAATAAATGCTAGCAACTTGGTTCCTGATTTGTAAGACATTACATGACCTACATAACATAATTTTTAAGTTAATTTAAATCCGTGCGCCCATCAACAATGTAGAATATTATCCCTACGTCATAACAATGGCCTGACAATTGCCTAATACTTTTAAATTGTGAATTCCAACCAGCCTGCAAAGAGATGTTGATATTATAGCGAACCTTTTTATGGAGAAGAGGTTTATAGGCCAGGAGTAGACAGTCTGGTCTGGTTAATTTTAAAATCCTTTTTAAAAAATTTAAGAGACCAGGGGGTAGATAACTTGTCAACCCCCTGGTCTCTTAAATTAATTTTTTTTTTCGTCAATTTACTTATTGAGTGTGGAGCATGGCATATTCTTCGTTCTTGCACGAGTGGGCCCGTTCCACCACAGTTTACGGCTTCATAGAACCGGCGCTATGACGGTAAAAAAAGCTTGCATTCTGATCTGTTGTGTGAGTGAGGTTACTAAAGGCTCATCCTTCCCTTCTCTTTTTCAATTTCCAAATTGCCAATCCTCTTTTCCCTTACAAGCCCAAAATAGGGCAGCAACGAAGAACCAACCTTTAAACCCCAAATCTCCAATCTCGAAGTACTTAACAACCCACAAAAAGCCGGCAAAGTAGGAACATGTAACTTCTCTAGTTTTTGCTTACCATCAAGTAATACGTCTGCTCATTAGCCACCTTAAACTATCCATACTAATACATATTATAAAGAGGTAACATTTGTAAGTTTGTATGTAGGGGTAATCTTTGGAACCGCTGGTCGGATTGCCAAAATTCTTTCACTGATAGGTAGCTACAATATTCCTGCGTGCTATAGGCTATAAATCATCACGCTACGATCAAATGTAGCCGAGCAGCGGGTGAAACCGCGCGAGATTAGCTAGTAAAATATAAATGTAATAACAAAATCAAACGAAAATATTTATTGAAGCTATTAATAAAGTGTGGCTTATCTTGTTATTTTTACATAAATATTGAATGTATTCCTATCGCATCGCCTTGTTTGATAACAGTAGACTAACAAGTATGAGTGTATGACTAAATCTAATGATAAGGAATGAGTATATGGTACGATTGTATTAAATTAATAAAATAGGTAAATATAATTGATTTAAAAAGTATGTTATTAAGTCAGAGTAATCATTTTTTTTTATCAAAAGAAATTGTAACTAAAATGTGTGGATTGGAACAGTCTGCCGGCTGCAGTCTTTCCGTCCAAATATAATTTAGGTGTCTTCAAGGTTAGAGTGAATAGGCTCTTAATAAACTAGTGCGCCTTACCATCAACGATTGCATCACTGCTTACTACCAGGTGGGATCACAGCAAAGCACTAGTTTATTGCAGGTAAAAACAAATGTTTCGATCGAATAGCTGTATGATTTAATAATAAATACTTAGTAATGATTTGAAACCACCCGGTTCCTTCTCCTACTCTGGTCCGGGGCTACGTACGGTACAGTCCCTATGAATGGTGGAAACGTTGAAAGGCGGATTTTGTATGAACAACAAAACACCAAATGCAAACATTCATCGTACAATCGTCACTTTATTGACAAAAGCGCGCTCACAAAGTGCAAGTGTTTAAGTAATTTGTAAGTTTGTTTGTAATTAGATTAGTTTATGATGGAACTAGCGTAACATATTGTTAAAAGTTCCTAAAACAAATAAAGAGAAAAAAAAAAAAAAGTGTTTAAGTGGGAAATTTAAATAAATAAAATAAAATAACCCTTTATTTCTGAGTACCAATTAATTCTTAATTATCATAATTTTTTATCTGTATGTTTATTCTCAGTTTGTCTTTCGACATAGGCCTCCTCTAATACACTCGCAACTCTCATCCACAGTGGTCCCACAGTTCCTTTTAAGTCGTCTTCCCATCGTCTTGATTGTCGACCTTTGCTCCTTTTCCCATCCCTCGGGAATGAAAAAAAAGTGAATGGTTCACTTATGTTTTCCCTGCATCTTTAAATTTAGTTAGTTGTTTAATATTTTGTAGTCTTACCCTATCCCGTCTTTTTACTCCAATTACACTTCTCTCTATTCCCTTTTAGTGGGAAATTTAGTAGTCCTTTAATAATCCTTTCTTTTTTAGACATCCCGTGTGAAGCTAGAAAGATTACGGGCAAGTCTGTGGTGTGTGTGTGCAACGCTACGTACTGCGATACTATATCGAGGGAACCTTTCGTGCCCAACACATATGTTGTGTACTCCAGCTCACAGGTATGTTTGAGATTTATACTAAAACCTTAATATAAAACAATAGATTAATAAGTTTCGCACAAAAATTATTAATAAAGAGGTCTGTATAACAAGATATGTGTGGAAGGGCCAAACTTCGGCACAAATGCTGGCACGATGGAAAAGATACCACGGCCTTACAGAATATCGGCGAGAACTGACTTCACTTACAATCCTTCGCTGGTCCATCCTCAATCCCTTAGAACCCTTTTTTCAAATCCTTAATGACTAACAAGAGACCGGCAACCAGAAAAATACTGCTAATAAAGTTTTCATATTTATTTTCAGAGTGGATTACGATTTAGCAAGAACAGAGCTGAACTGAAACAAGCGAATTATTCCGGTGAGATTAAATGACATTTTATTTACTCAACGCAGAAAAATAGCAACATATTTTTAGAAATTCTTTAAAATAATATAACAAGGCAGAGAAAATGGAACACTAGGATTATCATAAATCTATTAATATGGCTAACTGAACAAAAGTCGTTTTACATTTTAAATGCCAGGAACATACAGCTACACTTGTCAATGTTTAACTTTAAAACCTAATTTTGATCTATGCTGCTTAAACAAGTGCATTTGTGCATGTGTATTTTGCACGTACATAATTATGCGTAGTACGTGCAGTAACTTGTACTCTACTTGATGTAGGAAACTATATCAGGATTAACTGCCTCCATACCAGATATAGATATACATAGATGGTATCTTAGTAGCCCAGAGGCTCTCATGCATGAGGATGCGGGTTCGAAACCTAGCAAGTACCAATGTGACTTTTTCCGAGTTATATGTACTTCCTATGATTATTTAGACACTACTTTCACTAAACTTATGAGGTACTCATAAGGTTAAGTGAAACATCAGGAGGAAAGCTAAACTTATATTTTTAATTATACATAAGTTTTAAATCGCCAATCCGTTTTGAGAAAGCATCGTGATTAATGCTAAAGAAGCTATATGCTATATGCTAATGTGAGAAGAGGCCTTTGTTGAACAGTGGGTTCTTATACGCTGATGGCGTATGATATGATTCCAGATACAGGATGTATTCCAACATTAGTGCTGAACCCCAAAGTGAAGTACCAAACGGTGGAAGGTTTCGGAGGAGCGACCACCGACGCCGCTGGTATCAACTGGAAGAACTTGAGCCTGCCTCTACAGAAGTTCCTGATTGAGTAAGAATTCTTTAAAGTTACCTTATAGATGTTCTAAAGTTTGAGAAGTTCAGAAGGTATTTGTCCTTTAAATATTTAAGTATTTGTTTTCTTAATGTAAGTAGAAGACGTCTTTACTGTCAGCTTTATCCTATTAAGAGTCAGAGGTTTTCAATGAGAAATGGTAAGTATTGTCTTAATATAATTCCTTTAAAATGGCAATAGGTGCTATGGTTTGGTTTGGGTAAACCCCTTTTGCATCAGTCTCTCGGAATGAACGTGATACACTTATGACCAATGAACTGATATTTATGGTTACCAATAGATAGTGTGAGGGTGTGAGATGCATCGTTTTCTGATCATGCAGACAATGCCGCAAGTATTAGCTAGTATATAGGTATAGTTAGTCAACATAAAAACCTGGTTCTTTATCAAGATGGTCTTTCAAAACTTAATTGGCATGTTTCTTTGCCACCACAGCTCATACTTTAGCGACAAAGGTCTGCAGTACAATATGATCCGCGTTCCCATCGGCGGCACGGACTTCTCAACTCACGCGTACGCGTACAACGAGCTCCCTGTCAACGACACCAAGTTATCTAACTTCACGCTTACTTACGAAGACTTCCATTATAAGGTGAGTTGTTCATACACTTGGTAATGAAAAAGAATTTAATAATTTTATAAAATAAAATAAGAAACTTGATTGCTAAGGAGCGAGGAGACAGTAATAAAGAAGAAAAGAAACGTGGAACGTGTTACAAAATATTCTTATCGTAGTAATCTGAGATGACGTGACTAGTCTAAACAGTTAAAAGTAAATTATTGTTCGATCCCTAAAAAAATATAGCTAAAAATACATTTCGTGACATAACTATTAAAAAATACAATCAATAAAACTTGTATTAGGAGTTTCAAACAAAATGTATAGGAGAGCCATGCTTCAACATGAATTGACCGGCTCGATCGGAGTGACAATGAAATATTAAAAAAATTAAAGGCAGCAAACCCAATACCCAAATTACCAATCCTGAAATCCCTAACAGATGAAGAAGGCAGGTGTTCACATTAGAAAAAAATCAACAAATCTTTATGATCGGATTATTAAAATCTGGTTGCCATTAATCATTTAAATCTATTAAGAAACTTGAAGCTGAATATGAAAATGTTCATATAGCTAGCCAGTGGCACCGACCTGGCCCATATAATCTTCCTGTCTCCTCAGATCCCGATGATAAAGGCGGCGATGCAAGCGTCGAGCACGCCGGTCCACGTGATAGCGACGACATGGTCCCCCCCGCTGTGGATGAAGACGCGCCCGGTGTACAGAGGCCGCAGTCTCCTCAAGCCGGAGTACTACCAGACTTACGCCGACTACCACTACAAGTAAATATTTTAGATCTTACCTTGTAGCTGTAACCCCAAATGGTTTAGGTGGTCGAAAGTTTGGTTGTCGAACAAGGGGCCTCAGTTTTGCTAGAGCAATATAAGGGACTCCGACCTCGGCCTAATACAGGAGAAGGATCGGGGGTTAGTCAATAAGAGTGTGAAACTTCCTCTCGCCTTACCCTGGGTGCGATAAGTCTATTGATATTCCCTCCCAAAAAAGGTTGAGGGAACGCACTGTTCATTGGTATTTTATCGGTTTTTCGGAACTAACTCATAGTAGCACGGGTGCTGTGTACTCGTATCTGTAACATTTTAAATTACCGGATGGTTGACGTTATCTCTGAGAGCTTCGGACTACACTTTCACCAGCAAGGTCTTTACGGGAGCAGCAAGTAGAGGCAGGCTTGGTTACATTATTGTATCAGGCACTTAATGATATCAGTAAGTAAACATAGCATTCGCCATATTAATGCCAAACACTAGGTTTAACCAAAGAGACAATCCTGATTGAATAAAAGTTGCTAAAAATTTTTTACATAAATAGTCTATTTTATTTCTGTAAATGTTAGGTCAAAACTGGGAAGAAACTAATTTGTTGAAAATGTCGCCTTACTCACGCGAAAACTGAGAAAAGCTCAACTAGTTTCAAGTCATAACGGGACTCTTATTCATGAGTAGCGTGTGTATCACGGCGACGTCGTGCAGCCAACTGAAATATAATGAAACTAAATAATCGCAGGTTCCTGGAGAAGTACAAGGAGCAGGGTATCAACGTGTGGGGTATCACGACCACTAACGAGCCGACAACGGGACTCGTTGGGTTCATTCACTCCGTCAACAACCTCGGGTGGACCGCGGCGAGTATGGTAATACTATAAGTATTTATTATTTAATTAAAAGGGGCATAAATACCGAAATGCCCGGTTGCAGAGACCGCTTAACCGTATTGATACCACGGCGTCACAGAAAACCGAATGTACATATAAGACTGTACTTATACATATTGTATATAAATCAATTCATTTTCAGGGTAGATGGATAATCATGAACTTGGGGCCTACCATACGTAACTCGACGTTCAAGGATGTTAAAATAATAACAGGAGACGATCAGAGGCTGACACTGCCGTACTGGGCAAATGTGGTAAGGACATGATGTTACTTTAACTATAACTATGATCAGTAAGACCCCTCTTTGAGGAGTGGCTTGAGCGACGCCACGGTGTCCTCACCTTCCGTCTGACGCAGGTGCTTACCGCGCACGGCAGCTTTGGTAGGAACCAGGCCCGAGCGTACGGCGTGTAGCATTCCGCGCGCGTCTCAAAGAGCCCAAAGACCACCACAGGGTTAGGACCCTAAAGGGCTGATGTTCAGACGGGGTTGCGGGGTAAGCGCAATGCGGCACCGTGGCCTCGGCACAGAGTAGGAGAAGGAACGGGGGGTTTTTAGTCAGTAAGAGTCTGACACGACCCTGAGCGGGAGAAGTCATTTGATGATTTTCCCCTTAATAAAAGTATGTTTTGCTTTACCCCAGCTGGTGGCCGAGCACCCGAAAGTACTGGATTACGTGGACGGTATCGCAGTGCATTATTACACGGACTTCCTCACTCCCGCCTCCATCCTCACTGAGGTCTCCAAGTCGTTCCCCAACAAGTTCATCATTGCCACCGAAGCTTGCGAAGGTAAGTGCCAAAAACTAGAGAAAGGTTTTTAAAATACTTAATTTAATAATATTTCACAAATACAACTACGCAGTCACGTATTTTGGCGTGTTTGGATTTTTATTTGTCAATTAGGAGACTTAATGACTTTTATACTAGATTAAGAAAAAATATATCCCTTTTGGTATTATACTCATTAAATGTGGAGAGAATGACATTCTTAACCAAGCATGAACCAACAGACTATAATGGGGCCCAATAGAGCTGATGTTCAGCCGGGGTTGCGGGATCAAGCATAACAATGTATCGAAATTTTTGACAAAATATTCAAAAATGTATAAAATGATTTAATTTTAATAATAAATAAAAGAAATTAAACCGTTTAGAACATTTTTAATATTTTCTGATAATGTGTTAATTTATAATTTCAGGAAGTATACCGATACTCGAGAAACATGTCGACGTAGGGTCCTGGGTGAGGGCGAAGAAATACGCGATTGATATCATTGATGTAAGTATGCACATTAACATAAAGGTATCTAATAAACTCCGCTGCAGAAAGTAGTATAGATTGGGGTGAGATTGTAACTTAACTTTAAATATAAGTGTGTAGACTGCTTAATCGGTAGGCTTCAAGAACGAATACTAACTACCTCAGTTTTAATGTCGTCGAGATCTGTTTCAGAGGTTCCACACTATTTCTTTGCTTTATTATTTTGCCCTTATCTGGTGTCGTGAGAGCGTTTACAAACACTATTAGATGCACACGGCACTTAGACGTGGAACAACAATTTGTGGATCACACATAGATCGGGATGATCCACCAATTTTAAGTGTGGGAGAGCCATGCTTCGGCACGAATGGGTCGGTTCGACCGGAGTGATACCACGGCCTCACAGAAAACCGGCGTGAAATAACCACTGCGTTGTGTTTCGCCGTGTGAGTGAGGTTACCGTAGGTCCAATCCTTCCCCTTCCCCAATCCCTCCTCAATCCCTAAATCTCCAAATCCCTAATCCGTAAAAGGTCGGCAACGCACTCGTAACTCCTCCGTTGCGAGTGTCCATGGGCGGCACTGATTGCTTACCATCAGGTACTCCGTCTGCTCGTTTGCCGATCAATTACATTAAAAAAAATGGTACTCGCGGAACGTTTCGTGACAGACTTATTGAGTCCTAAGAAGGATGTTTAATAACTTTAATAGAATAGTATGCTATAAACATCCATGTAAGCACAATCTCTCAACTTAGGACTATTACAGAAGATGTTTGATTTTGTCTTTCAAAAGTCCCGATAGTGGTCTATTTGAAATTAATGATTAGACTTTTTTTGATCGCACAAAAAATGTTTTAGGACATAAACCATGACGTAGTGGGTTGGATAGACTGGAACCTGTGCCTCAACGTGCAAGGTGGGCCGTCCTACACAGCCAACCACGTGGACTCGCCCATCCTGGTCTTCCCAGAATTCAATGCCTTTATCAAACAGCCCATGTTCTACGCCATGGGACATTTCTCCAAGTTTGTCCCTCGAGGGTCGCGGAGGATACAGGTCACCCAGAAATGTGGATGGAAGAGGTCTCTATGGACCACTGCCTTCATTACTCCACAGAATAATGTCGTTGTGGTGCTTTATAACGAGTAAGTATCTTCATAATGATATTCAGAAAACAGCAGTAGCAACTAGGTCCTTATGGATAAACTTTAACGATTTTTAAAACTGATTGCTTATCGGCGTACATACGGTACATAAATATATAATGCATTGTATGCCGTTGGTACCTAAACTTACTAGTATAGAGAGGCCAGATACCTGAGATTTTGGATTTGGATCATCTTTTAAAGACTTTTATTGAGCAGTTTTTAAAGGCTGTCAACAAAAAAATATCAATACATACTTTTAGAACCAGGTACCAAAAGTTGGAGCCAATATAATAACTTTAGGAAGTTATGCGTGTTTTAGGACCCATTTTCATGTACTCCTTACTTTATTAAAAAGGTCCTAAAGGAGTTGTTTGATAGTTCGGCATTTTCGAAAAAGGCCCAATAAGGATGGAGCTGGAATTATATCCTTTGGGCCATAAGTAGCCTGTAAGTCATTTTTGACAATCCCTAACTAATTACAATGCTTAATTTGATAAAGGGCTAAAATTATGTGAATTTCTTTCGCAGTGGTAAGGCGACCAAAGTGATCCTTCAGTTAGGAAGTAAGCAAGCAGTCGTCGAGATGGAAGCTAACTCTATGGCCACCGTGGAACTACCGCCTAATGTAAACTTCTAGAATACATTTTATTGTGATTATTTACTTACGTAATATCTTTTTGTTTTTCTATTAGATATGTAAGCTGGTTAAATATTTCATTTTTTAACTATATATTAAGATTTAAGATTTTGAAGTCATTGTTCTAGATAGAATTGCAATGTTATTTTTTTTTATAATTGAATGCTAGCGTATGAAAGAGGTGGCAAGATATTTCAACTAAGTGTAACTGTGTAACAATGCTTTTAAGTATTAGGTAGGTACTCATGTAGGTATTGCTTTTTGTAATTTTTTTTAAATAAAATTTTTGATATAATCTTTTGTCTTATTCTACCATTTTTCTTAGCATCTTTATATTTTATATGGTGAATCACGGAAGAGGAAATATTTACAACTTGTATAGGTAATTAACGGAGACCTACAAGAGGTTTTATTTAGGGCGAGAGTTTTGACGTAAGACTTGGAAAATTATCAATTCGGAGAGCAATAACGTAATGAAACAGGGATTACTTTTGATAGAGTATATTAGCCCCCAGTAAATAATACAACCCCATGAAGCAACAATTTCTAGACATTACCTTTATTTTGTGAGGGAAAAATCATTAGGTAAGTGACTTTTCCCGCCCTAGTGTCAGACTCTTACTGGCTAAAAAGCACCCCGTTCCTTTTGCTCTAGGCCGAGGCCGCAGTACAACCCGGCTGAACATCAGCCCTATAGGGCCCCGTCTGTGGTGGTCTAATAACTCTTTGAGGCGCGCGCGGAACGCTACGCGCCGAACGCTCGGGTCTGGTTCTGGTCGGGCGGCGAGCTACGCTTACTCGCCGTCCGCAGGCCCGTGCTTACGGTGGTCGGAGATCGTCCTTTGATCCCCGACGCCCGTAGTGTCGCCAGTTGCGGCTGCTGGGGCGTGAGGAGGAGGATTGCTCCCTCACGCGGGCCGCCTCTCTCTTTGCGAGCATGACTGCTTCACAAAAGGAGGAGACGGCGTCCCAGTTCCTCTCACTCCGCACCATGGCCTCGACTAAGGCCGGGCGCGAGAGGTCGCCGCCGCTGATCACTTCCCTGAGGACACGGCGGTGCTCAGCCCAGGCAGGGCATACCGCTTCCGTATGCTCCACCTTATCCTCTAGATGGTCCTCACAATGACGACACTCAGGCGTTTCCTCCCACTGGATCCGAAACAGGAACCTACCGAAGCTGCCGTGCCCGGTAAGCACCTGCGTCAGGCGTAAGGTGAGGAGCCCTTACTCGCCGTCCGCAGACCAGTGCTTACGGCGGCCGGAGATTGTCTCTCGTCGAATCATTACCTGATAGGTATATACATGTAAACATAGTTGATCATTGACCAACTGAATAGTTTCCTAGGTCAAAAATTCAATACATTGAATAATTATAATGAAAAATGAAATATAACTTTTTTTATACAATGAATTATTCAAATATAACCACACTTTAAGTACAATTCAGTGATATGACGATATAGTACATTATATATTTAGGATATTTTTAGTTACCGTTTATAAAATATGTATGCCGTTTTACGTAAAAACATTGACGTCACACGTAACGATTTCATACAGAATTCATAAAAAAGTACCTACATGTCGTTATTACATTTCAAAAAAAACTATTGAATTTGACTAGTTGGAAACTACCGAATTATTTAATCGCCTAAAAATTTGTTACCACAATTTGAATAGTAGTTTTCTCGAATTTATATATAATACTATGTATACTATATTTGCGAAGTAGGTACATAGGTACAATAATGACAAAGTTCAAGGCTAAACATTCCATTTATTTCTAAACTTTATGCTTATTACGCTTGCGAGCATTAGATAAGCGACAATCATCTGCTAAACTAACTGAGACACGCACTCACAATCTATTCTTCCATTATCTACAGCAGCGCCACCAAATCGTAACTGCGGGTGGTGAAAATACCAAACTAATAATCACTGTAAGAAATTCATTTTATAAGTTACTGCTTAGCTACTCTCGCGTGGTTTCACCCGCTGCATTTAATCATAGCATGATGTTTTAGCATTATTGTAGCCTATAGCACTCAGGAACCGTAGCTAATCTATCAGTGAAAGAATCTTGGCAATCCGACCAGCGGTTCCAAAGATTACCCCCTATATGGCTTACATACAAACTTACAAACATCCAAACTTACAAACTTACTAGCTTCCGCTCTCGTCTTAGCACGTGTATAAAAGTAATGTAGGTGTATCAGGATTTTAAAAACAGCAAGTCGACAAAAATACGTGTATCAAGTATAATTTATAATTTACAGCACTCAGGAACATTGTAGCTATCTATCAGTGGAAGCATTTTGGCAATCCGGCCAGCGAGCGGTTCCAAACGTTATCCCTACATACAAACTTACTTTTACCTCTTTATAATATTAGAAACTAGTGACATGTAGAACAGCATTGTTATATTGGTATTTCTTCTATAAGTAGACACTGTTATTGTACGTGACACAGGATGGCGTTGTTAAGCCGATGACGAGGACGCTGCGCGCGTCACTCACAAATCTCGTTCGTTCAGCTAATATTACTTGCTTACTGGGTGGGGTGACACACATTCTCTGTTTCTTGTGAACATTATTTTTTTATGTGATAGGGACAGAGGGATAATCTTTGGAACCATGGACGGATGGAAGAATGGATTGAAAAATACAGACGAACGACGAACCATTTTTATAACCTGTTTTTAAAACTAACATATATCTACAATACACGTAAATATAGAACGTTAATTTACTGATAATCTCACTTCTTAATATTATAAATGCGAAAGTTACGATGTTTGTATATTTGTTACCCAATCACGCTAAAACAGCTGGATGTTACTGGATGAAATTTGGCACAGGCATAATATACCTACACTCCGGAATAGGACATGCACTAGGTACAATTTATCATAATACCACGCGGGCAAAGCCGCTGGCGGAAGCCAGTTTGTAAACAAGTTCTAAGAAAATAATAATATAGAATAAAATATCCACTCTCAGTCAGAATGAGCTAATAGCTGAATACATAAAACATTCAAAATTGCGTTTATGCAAATTTGAATATTATTTCCTCGTGTAGAGCGGTGAGTCATGGCTGTTTCGTGTCTACTAAGCGAGTGTGGTCGCCCTACTGACTACGGCTTCACATGAGTCATGCAGTAAACAGAATTACCTACCAAGTACCGACCGTTATTTATTACGTTACCACTAATAAAACCATCAGCTCCTATGATATTCTAGAGAATTTTGCGTAGCCTACTTATATATAACTTAGGTTTTCTCTATGTTTTAGGTCGGCAAACGGACAGACGTATCGCCAGATGGTGAGCAATTAGCGCCGTCTACAGACACTCGCAATAACATTTTTTTTAATTTAAAAATTTTTTATTAAATAAAAATATTTTACAGTACTTGAGTAAAGATTTGCCCCCCAAAATATCCTTCTGTGTCGTGAGTGCGCTTACAAACATACAATTTCACATACACCTCACACACATTAGTCACAAATGCGTTGCTGGTTTAGGGGATTGGGATTTTGGAGATTTATAGACAGGGAGAGGCGAAGGTTTTAGCCTCTGGTTTCCTCACTCACACACAAAACGAAACACAACTCTTTGGGTATTTCACGCCGGTTTTCTGTGAGGCCGTGGTATCACTCCGATCGAGCCGACCCATTCGTGCCGAAGCGTGGCTCTTCTACACTTAAATAAAAAAGCATTGCTTACATTCCATAATTTAGTAGTACATAATTTTAAGTTCAAACAAATACTGTCATTTACGTTAGGTACCTTACAGTCACAACTTGCCTCAGAAAGAAAACAATCTAAGATTTAAATTAAATGCATTACAATGCAAATATTCTCATGACGACATTAACAATTATTATGTACTTAGGCAGTAATAAGTCCAGTCATCTTAGAAGTAGAAATTAATAATATGACTGGGCTATCGAGTAAGTATAATACAATCATGTTACTTTTGGAGGACTAATGGTGTTCCGTTAAATAGAAAAATTCCACTGTCAAGCGCAAGTCAGTGAAATGAAATTCGCCTAAATTAAAGATATATATTAAAGTATTAAGTATAAAATATAAGAAAGAACATAAAGGCTTAAAACTGCAACCTCATTTCGAGCTTTAGGGTCCTCGGAGTTCTTTTGGAGAACTTTGGAGCTGTTTTACTTATAACCTATTTGCACAAATAAATTCATTATTTCATTGATTCTGTGAACTTCACAATTAATTAAATAAAGTTTTCGTGGACTTGTTTGTTCTGGATCTACTTTTATTGATCTACACCGCAGGACAATGACATGTAGGTAATGACACATTATGGTTTCTTATAATAATTATTATATTGTTCTATGATTCACCCAATAAGTGACACATGGCTTACGTTTAAGTTATTTACATACAGAACAAAAACACAAAATTGGCACAGTCTTAAAATGACTGACGTGCCTCATTTTTTAAGGCTTTTTAATAAATACCGAGAGAAAATAGGTAATAATTAGGTACACGAAATTACTGTTACTGGCCATATCTCTAGGCTCAAGGACAATAGATGGACCATTAGAGTGACACGCTGGAAAGGACTACCAGGAAAAAGGAATGTCGGTAGACCTCTAAAACGGTGGACTGGTGATAAAGTTAGAGAAGCAGGGCAAGATTGGATGACTCTCAATAGAAATAGAGACGTCTGGAAGGACCCTATAGGGCATCGACATCTTAAGATCAAAATTAACCTCACTAACATTTTTCGATAAGTTTCAATAACGTTAATCAGTGTTTATGTAGGTACTAACCTAACTAACAAACATTTAAATTGTGAAATATAGATGTGGCAAGGAATAAATAGGCTTAAATAAATAAATTACTGTTACGTGGTTACATTTATTTTTTAGAGAAATAAATAAAAATAAAACACAAACCAAAACTAAGTGAACCTTTCTCTATGCACTCCAACCTGAACAACTTACTTACAGAAAATTAACTACTCTAACAGGAAAATGCAAAATACACACCCTATACCAGCACTCAGAATCATTATAAAATAGAATACACCTAGATAAAATTAAATACAGCGAGGACTCTACACAAGGTTCTTCTTTCAAAGAGATGTATTATGTATCTCTGTTTCTCGACCATTAAGATGTGGGAGGCGACCAACGGAGAGTTTCAATAATAACCCTGCAAGTGTAGATACGCATCGATCATTTTATATTGTCCTTCCAGATGAAGTTTTGCTGCCAGTGTCTCTTTCCTTTCAACTTTAGTCGTACAACTGCCCTAGTCATGAACACTTCCTAACACGAAGCCATAATCAATGTCGCTCTCGAATTACAGTGACGTAAACAAAATCGATTTACGTTGTTTTGTCGTAGCATACCGAGCATAATTATGTTAAAATAATATTGGAAAAGCTAATCAAAGGATGTTCTACGTGCTAAAGATGTACCTTCTCCATTACTTAGTCTACAAACGCATAGTAAGTAGAATGAGCCTTTTAGAAACGTAAAAGAAGTAGGCCCAATTCATCCCCCATATCCTCAATCCTCAAATCACCTTCCCTTAAATCCGTAATAACACAGAAGAGGCCGACAACGCACTTGCAGTAACTCCTTTGATATGGCGAGTGTCTATGAGCGGCGAGGATTGTTTACCATCAGGTAATCCGTCTGCTAGTTTGCCGACCTATTTCATAAAAACTACAAGAATAAACCAATAAAGTTGGAGTAAATTAAACAACTGTAGTTAGTACATAGGAAGGAAGTGGTAATTCGTAATTAGGAAACTAACGATACTATGACATAAAATAATTAAATTAATAATCAAATTACATGTTCACGTAACAATACAGCTATAATTTACTAATTATATGCAGTTAGGTAATGTAATTAAAAAAAATATTGGTTGCGACCTGCGAGCTTGACAAAATGTTATCTTATAATTAATTAATTATATACTGGGGATTTTACATTTGCAAAATTTTAAAGCAAAATAAATATGGTTTAAGGAATGATAACAAAACACGGTAAAAACTTGGTTTAGGTACATAAAAAAATATATCTTGGGGAAAATAGTTACTTATATTTGATCATATTTGATTTACATTATTTTGTTTTGACTACAATAATGTCATCGGTTTTGACATTGTCTATATTATTATCTATATATAATATAAATCAATGCGACTCTTCGTTGTAATGTGATAACTCAACAATGCCTTTACCCATTTGGCTAATTTTGGTCTTGAAATTTTCGTAGAAGTCCAGGGAAGGTTTTAAAGGCCAAAACAAATAGTCATATTTGAGGCGATACTGAGTTCGCCAGGTCAGTAGTATTATTTATGTTTTATCTGTGTACTATATTATAATCCTATCCGTTTGAAATCCCATGCACTACGCTACAAAATTGTCATCTCGCCTACATCTGACATATATCGAAAAGGACTGCACATGTTCCAAAAATCAGCAGATACACTATCAGACAAACTTTTTAAAACTAAAATTTCCAACCCGCCTTCCGAGCGTACGGAATGTGTTGAAACCTTGAAGAGGAGGTTTAGAGACTAGCTAGGCGGGAGAAATTATATTTTCCTCTCACAAAAAAAAAGGATAATCTAAACTAATATTATAAATGCGAAGGTAACTCTGTCTGTCTGGCTGTCTGTCTTATCTTCACGTCACGCCTAAACTACTGATCCGATTTCTGTGAAATTTGTTATAAACATAGTCTGGAACTCGAGATAGGACATAGGATAGTTTTTATACCAAAAATCTGCAGGAAGTCAATATCCCACGCAAACGGAGTCGCGGGCAAAAGCTAGTAGAAAATACGTATAAGTAGTACCCATGATGAATGCAAAGGGCCTGCATGTCAGCTGTGTTTGTAAGTCATTGTGACCTATAAAAGTGTAGGTCAATGACATTATTTTGTTTTTCTCTCAATTCTAGTAAACATATCTTTCTACCGATACGAAGCACAGACAATAAGATTAGAAACGATAAGAAATTCAAATCCTATATTCCTATTGAACAAACAATATGTAATGACTTGAAAAGAGACGGACCTCTGAGTTTGTTTCGACATTTCTTCTCAGAATAATCAGATAGGAAATGCCGGCTTCATCTAGTATTTTCAATATAATTTTGACGTGTAAAAATGCTGTTTTATGGCCTATTTACAAAAATAAATTCATTGCTTCATTGTTTCAATGTTATTTAAAAATGGCTAGGTAAGCGTGGCCATGCAGGGTAAGCCGCCGCAACAGCAAGAAACATAATTTTACGATTAATTTCGTATTAAAAAACTATTAACTATACTATCTATTCTAGTTCAAACCAACTTTTAGTAAAGGTTTGAATTATAATGGATGAACTTTTTTTGTTTTAGTGAGCGGATGCATTTTACCACTTGTGAAATGCGCCCCTGGTGGCACAACTATTCAACTATTTGTTTTTGAACGCCAACCAATGGCCTATGGCTTTGAGCGTAGTCTAAATAGGTACTAATATCCATAATATACATACAGTCTGTAGTCACAAATACACGGACTCCCAAAAGTGCCTATTTGTGGTTTAGGTAGAACAGATGATTTTGACCGTTGATCTCATTAATGCCCCTTGGGTTTCCTGAATGTACTAGTTGTGGATGACCTAAGTATAAAAACACTTACTTAGCTATATTAGGTATCTATTTTTAAGTTTCTCAATAAATAAGTTAGTGAGGGTTCTAATTTATGAAAGCTACGTCAGTCGTCCCATAGCGCACGGGACATGCTTTCGATTATGAGCCCCAATTGTGAATTGAAACTAGACGAGCAACTTCCTGGAACAGTTAATACCTACTTAAGTTATACGTACTATTAAATAATGAACCTAATCTTGTTAAGTATAAGTTATGTGTACTACTTTCATAACAATATACATAATCATTATTTAAATACCTATCTGATAATTAACATTTAATTAAAAAAATATATTTGCCTACTCAATAAAATCCACAGAAGTTAGGTACATTATTTCTTCCGTTCTTCCTTTGTTTCCTATAACTGTTACAAAATTCGTACGAGTTTTATGAATGAACGCACGCATTATATCAACAACGTTTCTGAGAATTCAACTTCTGCGCATCGCTAGCGTTGAAAGGTCAGAGACGTCCAATCGTTTAAAACGAGTAGTTCGCGGTGTTCCAGCCAGTCTCAACTCAACCGCCGACCGGCAACGGCGTGCTTTCGAATTTCAAATTTTAATTTATAGTTCGATATACAAAATGTACAGTTTAACGGTCGTAGGGGTGTTGTTGGCGGTATGTGGGGGTGCATTCAGTCACAGTTACCACTTGGGGGCATGCCCTGTTGTGGAACCCATGCCTGGGTTCGAAATGAACAAGGTCAGTACATTATGTGTCTATTTTGTTATTTAATTTTATTATCGTGCCGGGATCAGAGGGACCAGGGTCATGAGAGATTATAATGATCTGCGGGCAAGCGTGACTCTCTCACAAAGAGATTACTCACAAAGCAGTATTTGCTTGGAGTGCCTTTAGTTAGAAGTGTTTTGTTTCTAATAATAAACAAAAGATAACATTTATATTCTGTCATCACTCTCTCCCTATTCTTGTATTCTGGTAAAAGGAACGGAATATTAACTTATTTATAAATGAATTGCCCTTCGTTCGCGTTAGTTCTAAAACGACTGGACCGATGTAGTTAAATTTTGTATCGAAATGTGGAAGTTCAGAGAAGGAGATATGGTTAGAAAAACCAACTGCCCTATAAATGACATTCGATACGTTTAATGTGAAAGGGAATAAAACTTTTTGAGATGATTCGAAGAGTTTCCCAGATCAACTAGGTAGTAGGTAATAATTAGAAAAGTCGCCAAGATAATACTAGAAAAGTCGCCAGCTTACTGCTTCGCTTTTATAGAATAACTGGGCGAAAAAGAACTTCAAAAATCTGCAACTTTGTAATCTCCAGTGATTAAGAGCAATGATGATGAGTTTTGTTTTGATTCTAAATTTAAAAATTATTGTGGAAAATATTCATAACAAGATCATATAACGTTTTGATACATCACCTTTCTGTTTACGTTATCAAAATGTATGCGCTTCTGACTAAGCACTTATGTAAACATAATATTATAATATACTAGCTATTCTCGAGCGGTTTACCCGCTGCTCAGCTCCTACAGATCGTAGCGTGATGTTTTATAGCCTATAACACTCAGGAATATTGTAGCTATCTATCAGTGAAATAATTTAGGAATCCGACCAGCGGTTCCAAAGATTACCCCCTACATACAAACTTACAAACATACAAATTCTACCTCATTATAATATTAGTATAGATTTACTTTACGCAAACAATATTTATTCAGGACATTTTTGCAAAGAGGTAACCGGCAGTTAAATAAAATATGAATAATTATACATATTAGCATACTAATCACAACTTTGGGACATTTCATTGTTATCATCATCTGCCTATAGGTGCTGACTACTGGGCAAAGACCTCTTCTTTCACAAAGTAGGATTTGGCATTAATCGCTATGCTTGCTCAAGGCCTTTATTGTTATACTAGCTTCCGCACGCGGCTTCGCCTGCGTGGTATGTTGATAAAAAGTAGCCTATGACCTATTCCGGAGTGCATCCTATGCCTGTGCCATCTTTCATCTAGATCCGTCCAGCCGTTTTGGCGTGATTGAGTAACAAACATTCAAACATCGTAACTTTTGCATTATAATATTAGTAAGAAGTAAAATAGTAACACTGAGGCAGTAATGCTATACTTACTATAGATTCCATAGATAAGCAGTATTAGTAAATAATGCCTAATATGTGGAATGAAGTTCTGAAGTCCGACACAGACCTACCTTAGATATAAAGGTTAATAAGATTAAAATCCTTCATGGTCGGCAACGCACCTTGGTGTTTTTGGTGTTGCTAGAGTAATACAAGGGTAGGTACCTAACAATATTTGATTACGGTGGCCAGACAGTCTGTTTTTTTTTGTGGGGAAATCTTTCGAATGCCTTCTCCTGCCTTGGGTGGGGTGGAAGGAGTATTATTTTTTTCTAATCTTTATGCTGTCGTAAAATTGGATCATAAAATGTTAGCGTAAATGTACAAGTGGAATGGAAATAAATTTGTTTTTATGGAACACGCAATTTTTTTATCGAATGGGATTTTTGTTGTTAAACTGTCAAAATCTCACAAATCATCAACAATTTACGTAATAGTGGATTTTTTCATCATTATAGTTAAACGTTTCAAAATGTTATGTTTTTGTATAAGTAGGTAGGTACACATTAGTGGCTTTTTACCAGCTGGGAAAATATAAATTATATTATTATACAGAGGTAGACTGTAAGTAAACACAAACTTTATGTAAGTGCTCATTATCGCACGAAGCTACCTGCTTACTATGTAGTTTCAGCCGGGGTTGCAAGCAAACTCAGCCGGGGTTGCGGGGCATGACCTATGGCGCACCGCGGCCCCGGCCCAGAGCAGGAGAAAAACCTGGAGGATTTTAAGTCAGTAAGAGTCTGACACTTCCTCTCGCCTCACCCTGGGCAAGAGAAGTCATTTGATTTTCAAAGTCAAAGTCAAAAGTATGTATTTAGTAAATATATTATAATAGGTGTATCCAACAATCTCGGTGCCTATAATTTGTTTTGTTAGCGAACAGCATCTAAACGAATGGTATTTCCCGATTTACCTCTATCTCCTTAAAAAAATCCTTTTTAAAAATTATCACCTTAGCAAGAGCAATTATTCAAAAAAGAATTACTTATCGAAAATGGTCGAGTCGTTCACACGCAATCATGCCATCATCATCATCATCATCAGCCTGTTGTCGTCCACAGCTGGACATAGGCCCAATAGCACGCCACTGAGCTCGATGTTCAGCTCTTTTCATCCAACCACTGCCAGCCACCTTGCGGATGTCGTAGTCCACCTAGCTGGAGGGCGCCCTACACTACGTAGTGTAGACATATACGTAGACTTCATGCCATGTCCAAAAAAATGGGGATTTTTATAAATAATGTACATAGATATGTTTGCATGTATAAGTAAAAGAAAAAGTGAAAACAGATTAGTTATAATGTATATTCTTACTGTGTAGGTCATCACATTAGTAAGTTCATTATCGTAATAGTTAGTTAATTATTTTTCTGTAATAGGCATTATGCCTATGTTAATAATGTATTAGTTAAATGAGTAAATAACCCAATGAAATTATATTTTTACTAATAAGTAATTCTAATCATTTCACCGGCTTCTCGCTTTATGTAACTTAGGACCTCATACGTTTACACACATTGTTTACAAATAAAAAAATAGAGAGATGGCCTCAAATTACGTTAATACTAAGTAAGTAATAAAAATGTTATATTTAAAAAAATTGTTTGTGAAGGAAAAGGAAACAAGTCAATGTTGTTTTAAGCGTATAATTATTATAGTAATTACCTGAATGGTGATTTGCTAAAGATATATCTATAGATACTAATGTTATAAAGCCGAAGCGTTTGTTTGTTTGTTTTGAACGCACTTATCTCCGGAACTACTGGTTCGAATTGATTTTTTTTTGTGTTTGGACTAACACAATCGAGGAAGGCTTTATACATATAGGCTATTAAACATCACGCTACTAGCTGTAGGAGCCGAGTAGCGGGTGAAACCGTGCGAGAATAGCTAGTTAACCAATATAAATCTTTACACAAAAATAAATTAATAAAATTGGGCTTCGTAAAACGAACAAGGGACAAGACTGCATATTCCGTAGATACAAATGACCACTCTCTGAAAATTATACAACCTATTTAATAGCTAGTGTCTAAAATGTAATGCACTAGGAGGAGAAATTGTGCTTAATCCTTTTATGTGGAGGGCTATCACGACCAGAGAAAACGACTTGTACTTAATTTTTCGTATGTTAAATTTAATGTTAATGGTACGAGTATCAAACTATAATTGATAAGCTTATTGATGTATTATTTCCTTCTTTGATTCCCACATCGGGGAATAAGTGCTTATGATAATTATTATGTTGTACGGAATGCTGCTCATGAATATGGGCCTCTAGCATGGCTTGAAGCTAGTCGAGTATCTCGTCAAAGTTATTACGTGAGTAAGCCGAAAACATAATATAATTAATTTAGAATGACTCACGAAAGTTATAATAAAAAGTGCTTATGATTTTTAACCCCCGATGCAAAAAGAGCGGTGTTATAAGTTTGACGTGTCTGTCTGTCTGTCTGGCTGTCTGTATGTCTGTGGCATTATAACTCCTGAACGAATGAACCGATTTCAATTTAGTTTTTTTATATTACATGTGTTTTATGGGCGAGTGTTCTTAGACATGTTTGACGAAAATCGATTGAGCCTTTTAAAAGTTATGGGGGCTTAAAGTGGGGAAGAAAAACCGAATGTCTGGAAATATGCTCAAGTGGGGTATCAAATAAAAGTGCATTACGTGTACATTATAAAATATTTATTTGTTTTTTGTGTCGGGGTTTTTTTTTAAATTTATATTATTTCTTAATAAAATGACCGTAGATAGCGGTGCTTTGCCTCTTCTGTACATTTTATACGAAATAAAACAGAGTCGGAGACGGAACGATGTTTTTAGTCAGTAAACATTTTTGCATTCTCGCGTGCCGACCGGGAGAAACCATTCGATGATTTTCCTGCATCAAGAAATCCGGATCGATCTTCATTTATTTTTTATTATTACTTGAACATCTACTACAAAGGCAACTCGAAAAGTTTCTGTCGGTAGTCTAGTAAATTACTGATCTGCTGTTCAGTCAAAGTCAGTGCGGTGTGCTTATAAACTAAAAAAAATTGATCTGTCGACGGTTTTCGATAACAACAACGATGACTCAGTCACGGTAATAATAGATTGTATTAAATACAACGGTAGTACTATAATATTATCGTGACTCAGCGTTAGAACGAAGACAGTTTGTTTCTCGGAAATATCTTATTTAAACATTTGCTAACATTATTAGTCATATACACTTTCACAATACCCAGATTCGAATGTACCCGAGGAGGTTATTTGACAGAGATTGTTTGAAATCCCGTTCGATGATAACGAGTATGACAAACAGGAATAACTAGTTAATCATATAGATTTAATAAAACCGTCGCTCGTCTGTTTGTAAATGCTGGTAAAATAATGTGTAAATTCAATACTTATTTGCTGTAAGGTAAAACCGCTTTAAAATATATCGTTAGTTTCAAATTTCGAATGTTATTATCGAGATCATTTCAAATTTCGAGAACGTGTTTAGTGTAGGTTAAATTTTTAGGAATTATAATAAAGTTAATAATACCTACACTATTCGTCATTGAAATAATTAGCATATGCAAATAGTGATACCTAATTTATGCACGTATCGCTCTGATTTACCTGCATACAAATACCTAAATAAGAAAACTATATCGAAGTTACTAGAACGGATCAAAATGTGACTAGGTACTACAGAGGAGTTCGTGGTTTGTTTATTTTTAGAGAGCACAATTTAACTGTTTACGAATAAATATACTGACAAAAACGTCTGTCCGTGAGTCAGGCAACTTTCCGATCGTGACCAAAAGGCCAAACTAACGAAGTATGGGTCACATAATAATAGATTCAAGTATTATTAAGTTATCTAGTTTGTTAAACTAGGGGAAAATCCACGGCAGAGAAAGTAAAGGTTAATAAGTCCTAGTTTAACTTGTTAATTATTATTGTAAGTATTAAAGACGGTCCATTAGATATTTAGTATCATATGTAGAGTTGATAAATAATACATTTTATTGATTTAGGTATACGTAAATGAAAACTTAAGTAGGTAGGTACTCCGTTCGACATTTTGTACTTAGCCCTTCCCATAATATTGATCAAGGCGCGTAAAACTCGAGTCTCCGTGTCTGTGGTATTTCATTTGGTATAGGGTCATTAAACCCGGAATGTCGTAGTTATCATATAAACTGGAATATAAAGGTCAGATAGAAACTTGACATTCAATTGGGACTGCTTGTCAACCGAAGTATAAGCAATGACGTATTATATATAGACACGTCATGAACCAACATCGCGGCGCTTAAAAACGGCGAAAATACTAGATAACTACTTCTACGAGTAAAGAAAGGGAAAGAAAATATGACATCGTATAGTGGAATGCCTTTGCTAGAGGGAGATAAATATACATCTTCAGTTACATCAGCACGTGACTATACCTTCATGCGCCGGCCGCCATAAGATGGCGGGCGCCGGCGTCGAAAAAATAAAATAAAAATAGGTTGTTTGGTGAACTTACGCATGAAATGACACATTTTTGTCTTTAACTTTTGGAGTATAATTTGTACATCGTCTGAACACACACGACGGCATGCTTTCTTTATGTTTCGCACAGGTTTACACACACGATATAAATTAAAAACAAACGTAGCGTCGAGCGGCAGGTTGGTGCGTAACTAAGCGCGATGTTGTCAATTGCCTTCATTTCATGTTGTCATTTTAGAGCGCGGACAACGTATCTATAGTTTTATACATCATTGAGTATAAGGGCTAAAGCTAAAATACAAACAATGAAACACGCTAAGGGACATATAGGAACTTGATGTCACAAAAAATAATCACAAAATCACAAAAACGTCTTTGAAAGGGCTATGGATCTATTAACTATAGTTATCGGTGCATTGAGCAGACCCAAAAACCTTTGAGGAATTAAACCTTTTTTCTTTTTTAAAGGGATACAGTTTAAAAGATCAGTTTTTTAAGGCATAATCGGCACAATTTAAAGACTGCTGCTCTCATTGAAATATTTGTGACAACACAGTTATTCTTTCGTTTCTTTTATTGTGTTTTCACGGTTGGCAGCTTGCTTAACGTTTCTGATCAGATTGGATCGGATTACCGAAATGTGATCGAGTAACGATCAGATAACATGAATGAATGATTTCCATCTGCGGTAGTTCCTGCACCACATAAGTAGTGTGAACAATTGTTAACGTGCTATTGTTCTTGTCGCGACGCAACGATTGTTTTGTTAGGTTATCAGTTAGTACTTTCATTTTCATTACTAAATTATGTTTCGTCATGTGCCTAGGTACTGTTTGAGTTATTTTTTTAATATAACCAGTCGTTGAGTCAGTGAAGGTACTGGGGTGCGGAAATCTAAGTTTCGCGGTTATAATAACTGAGTGTAAATAAAGAAATCATTTTATGAGATGCCCAATTGCCCATGTCTCCCTTGGCAGCCGCAAAACCAAAGGAGTTACGAGTGCGTTGCCTGCCTTTTGGGGATTAGCGTTTCGCCTCCGGTAAACTCACTAATGCGTCCAAACACAACGCTGAGGTTGTTTCACGCCGGTATTTTTTGTGAGGCCGTGTTATCACTCCGGTCGAGCCGACCGCGATCATACTTTTTAAACAGATGTTTTGTTATACAAGTATAATGCAACTTTAACGTTATTCTAATAAATATATTATTGGTTTAAACTAGATGCTGGGTGTATGGTACGTGATCCAGAAGACGTCGACAGCATCCCACTGCCTCACCTACAACTTCACGAAGACTGACGAGCCGTACAGATATGAACTGGAACAGTCTTCTCAGCACTTCATCTTGGGACTTACACCTCTTAAGCATGACTATAGGTTAGTGATATTGACAATACTTGCTGGAGCAGTACCTATTTTTCATTCTTTTCTGGACTGGGTTATATAGGGCAGCGTTTGATAACGGTGGGGTAGCGGATAAAGCCAACATAAGTTACTAAGACTTCGGCCTAGCGCAGGAGCATGGGGGCGTGGTTATTAATACCCAGTTAGGTATTTGATGTTTTTCCTCTCACAAAGAAAAAACTAAGCCGTCGTAATTTCACAACGAAATTAAAGCGCTTTAAGTTTGACTGGGATCAAATGAACGCTTAAAAATCACAAAAACGATTAAAGAATTAAACATTGTTTGCCTTACAAACAGGTATACCGGAATACTAACAGTCCCAGACCCCGCGGTGCCAGCCAGAATGAAAGTCAGGTTCCCACTCAGTAAGTATCTATAAACATAAGTATAAAAAAATTGTAAGTTTGTATCTTTTGAAAAACTGGTCGGATTTTGAAAATTCTTTTTGCTTATTTTTTGAGTTCCTAATCGCTTTAATCGCTGCTGTTTTTGAAATAAATCTCGGTATTACTTTTAGCCGCTGGCGGAATCTAGTGTTTTATAATTCTCGATCGAAAATAACCATTGTAATTAATATGATGCATGAAGAAATTCCTTTTGGGAATCTTTTTGCTTATTTTTTGAGTAATCGCTTCAATCGATGCTGTTTTTGAAATAAATCTCGGGATTACTTTTAGCCGCGGGCGGAATCTAGTAATTTATAATTCTCGATCCAAAATAACCATTGTAATCAATATGCCGCAGGAAGAAATTCCTTTAGGTTTATGCAGTACCTTTCCATCTCTTTTTTATTAAATGTATTAAAATATTTAATTATTTTCCAGGCGTAGCCGGTTCAGCAAGTTACACGGTTCTGCTGACTGACTACACGAGCCATGCCGTTATCTTCACGTGCCAGAAGCTTGCGTTCGCGCATCGTCAGTCTGCCACCATCCTCTCTAGGACCAAGGAACTCGACAGGATTTACTTGGACAAGGTAAGAATTAATATTATTATGTTATAGAGTAGTTTTTCGTTCCGTTGGAATGTTTGAATTGAAACCATACCTCACTTTCTACTTGATACGACTAGAATCTGTAAGTAGTAAAATTATTCCTACTTTATGAGATAGGAAGGAAAGAAGAACGAGCAGATTACCAGGTGCAAGGCATCAGCACATTTTATGATAAGTTTTCTTCTTATTAAAAGCTTAACCGTAAAAAAAAAAAGATCCTTAATCGAGGCCATGGTGCGGAGTGAGAGGAACTGGGACGCCGTCTCCTCCTTTTGTGAAGCAGTCATGCTCGCAAAGAGAGAGGCGGCCCGCGTGAGGGAGCAATCCTCCTCCTCACGCCCCAGCAGCCGCAACTGGCGACACTACGGGCGTCGGGGATCGAGGGACGATCTCCGGCCACCGTAAGCACGGGCCTGCGGTCGGCGAGCAAGGGCAGCTCGCCGCCCGACCAGAACCAGGCCCGAGCGTACGGCGCGTAGCGTTCCGCGCGCGCCTCAAAGAGCCATTCGACCACCACAGACGGGGCCCTAAAGGGCTGATGTTCAGCCGGGGTTGCGGGGTAAGCGCAATGAGGTACCGCGACCTCGGCACAGAGCAGGAGAAGGAACAGGGGGGTTTTTAGTCAGTAAGAGTCTGACACTCCCTCCTTCCCGGCCCTGGGCGGGAGAAGTCATTTGATGATTTTCCCCTCACAAAAAAAAAAACCGTAAAAAAGATGAAACAGGAAAAATGGTCCTTAAGATTCATCTGCAAATACCATCTCTCTTCCGCAAAATTAAATATTAATACTAATATCGTGTTTATCTTCATTCCGCTGTTGACTCAGATGGTACATAATGGTGATAAATAATAATTATGAGATCATTGAAGATCTCGTCACTCATGCATAATGGGTAGAAGAGCAATTAGGTATGCTCTAGAAGTCGTGCAAATTCTTTAGTTATTCTCTCATCAGTCATATTCGAGTACTTAGGTACCTACTTAGATAACCAAACTAGCTAGCAGATGTTGGTGATAACGCAGTCTGCGTCCTCGATACACATTCTATAAATAAAACACCAACCTGACTCCGAATAATATTAAATACCTATCTGCCCCCTTCAGATGCACAACAGGCTGGCGTCTTTCGGCGTAGACCCGTTCGACCTTTCCATCATATCCCAGAGCGATTGCCCCACCCACAAGAATGGCTCGGAAGGTGTCAACATCAACATCGACCCTGAGACCTTCTCCTCCCACAACATCGGACAAGCTGTCAGGAAAACTGGATCCGCTATTGGTAAGGAAATACTAATGCCCATGTTCTAACTTCCCTTTGTGATATAATTGATGACAAAAACAATTAAATGAGAGCGGAGTTTTGAAAATGTTCAAATTGGTTCTGATTAAAGTCATGCTTTTCGAAATTGAAATGGATTCAACGATTCTGTTGAAATCGGCGACAAAAGCAATAAGTACCTATACCTACTTATATTTTTCGACGCTCATCAAAATACTACATATTTTGATGAACGTCGAAAAATATGCTCTGCTATATATATATAATGCTCATTTTTTACGGAAAAACTTAGGCTTGGATTTTTTGGAGCATTTAAATTAAAACATGTTGGAAATTCTATATAAGTCGAATTAACCAAAATATATATGTGTGTGTGTTACCTGTTTGCTAATTGTATCACCTTCTTCCAGCTGATGGGGTAGAATACGTAGTAGAGGCTGGTAAGACTGTGTACAACAAGGTGGCGAGCAGCAAGGAGGACCTCACCGAGTCGCCCGCTGGACGCTCGCACTCCGTCAAAGACGATGCCGAGTGGTTGCCTTGAATCTCTTATAGTCCGGTCAATTTAGACATTCGAAGTTACATAAAGTCCCAACAAGCTGAATTTTTGTGAAATTGTTCAAAACATATTTATAAATAATGTCTAAAAGTTCCCCATCATTCCCCTGTAAGGAAAAAAAAAATTCAAGGTCAAAGGTCAGAAAAATGAGTTTTTCTCGATTTGCAGCAAAACGGTAAGTTTCATGATAAAAGTACCTCCAACAAAAATTATAGTTCATAAAATTATCTATAAAAAATGTATCAACACTTTTTTCTTACGACCCACCGTTTCTGACATATAACGATTCAAAAAGTTTTAAAAGTTGTTATTGTCATAGTATGCATATACATCAAGAGTTGTTACATTTATATATATGTTTATAAATGTTTAAACATTTTCTATCGGTCATTGTAACTTATACTTACTATATAAAATATACTTAAATTTTAACAACATCTGCATTTTACAAGAGGGGTAAAACAGCAGTTTTCAAAATGTTTGAAAACAAGTTTTAATTCAATGTGCTGAAGTTTTTAAAAAGAGTAATTCAAATCAGCAAGGGCATCCACATACTTCTTTCTATGTACGGAGCTCCTAAAAGAACTACCTGTTTAGATAAGCATCGATATGCATGTTTCGTTAAAAAAACTAAAAATAAAAAACAAGTTCAATTAGCTTGTCTTTCTCTAACCCCAGTTGCTGCTCACCAACATCTTCTTCGAGTATATTACCAAGTTCAAGTGTGGCTTGGTTATCAGCTACAGATTGGGGTTGAAAGTTGGTCAACAACATATTAGATCCAGTTCAAACATTACTTCCACCAGCGCCGGAAAAACTGCTAAACACTATTTATTGCAACTGCAAAAAGGGATGCAGTGCTAAATGTGGTTGCAAAAAAGTCGAGCTATCTTGTTCTTTGGCATGCACAAATTGTCAAGGCCGGTCGTGCTCTAATATTGAATCACATACAATAAAGGATTCGTTTGCCTCCGACGAAGTATCATGTGATACATAGCTATTGACGCAGTTTGCTTGCATCCAAAACGCATCCATCGCTTTTATCTTTCTACAACAATCTTTGAAAATTTGCGTTATTTTGAGATAGTTTTACATTAACAGGATGACAAATGACCCGTAGAGTAGGCCTACTGAGGAAACCACGCTAAAAACGTGCAAAGTACTCTACTTCATAGATGGCGTGGAAAGGTGTGCATATTATGACAATAACAACTTTTATAACTTTTTGAATCGTTATATCTCAGAAACGGTGGTTCGTAAGAAAAAAGCGTTGATACATTTTTTATAGATAATTTTATGAACTACAATTTTTGTCTTAGGTACTTTTATCATAAAACTTACAGTTTTGCTGCAAATCGAGAAAAACTCATTTTTCTGACCTTTGACCTTGAATAAAATTTTTTCCTTACAAGGGAATGATGGGGAACTTTTAGACATTGTTTATAAATATGTTTTGAACAATTTCACAGAAATTCAGCTTGTTGGGACTTTATGTAACTTCACCCTCATTTTTTGGTCTAAATTGACCGGACTATTAGCTTTAGTTCTCAAGTACAAGTAGCTATAGTGCAAAAAATAACCAACAGATGTGGAACTCCACCATCAAGTTGTAGGACATTTTGAAGATTATACTATATTACGAATAATGTTTTATCCTACAGAAAGAGAATTGTTCAAAACATCGTGCCTTCTCATTTAAGCTTAGCTCATTTACATTTTACGTGCACTTCTAGAGTCTATGGAATGTGCATTAAATCAAAAGGAAACTCAGACTCGACAGAATTTAGATTTGTAGTGTCCAAGATGAAATGCATTTTATATTTTTATGTATAAGTATGTTATAAATTAGAATGTGTGAAGAAATGAATACTCGTAAATATGTGATTTTTAAAAGGCTTTTTTCTTAGTTTACCTATTATCAAGACTAGTGTGATTTGTATGACATGGCGGACATTTGGGCCCGCCTTGACGTGTCGTTTCACAAGTTTAAAAATGTGTACTCATGCGAATAAATGTGAATGTGTGATTAATAAGATAAATAATAAAAAGTCCATAGTATAATTAATATTACAATAAATTTCGAGAAGTTATACGCATTACATTTCTATAATTTCTTGAATGAAACATGAAAAACTAGTTCACAAAACTGGTGACTTCAAATATTTTTTGCGATTGTAACACTGACTCAAATAAGTTTATTGATTCTTTTTTTAAATAGTAAGCATTATGCAGTATATTTTGTTCTGTATGAAACCAAAGGATAATAGCAATAATTTGAATGAATCATATCATTGTACTGTTTGTAAATGCAATAAATAATTTTACACAAAAAAGGTTATTTCTGGAATTTTCCCAAGTTGTGAATTGGGCGATATAATCACCCAATATAGCCTTATATCGCCTACTGCAATCTAATAAAAATATTAATAATAATAAGTAGGTAACTAAGATGGAAGGAAATTTTTTTTTTTTTTTTTTTCGAAAAAACAACCTCCTGGGATCAGCGTATTTAACGTCAGCAATTTGTGTTTTGATAATAGACGCCTAACTCACTGGTTATATAAATGACTAGCTACTCTCGCCGAGTGTCACGCGCTACTCAGCTCCATTTAGTCGTAGCGTGATGTTTCATAGCCTATAGCGCTCAGGAACATTGTAGCCATGTATCAGAGAAAGAATTTTGGCAATCCGACCAGGGGTTCCTAAGATTACCCCCAACATACTTATAAACTGAAAAATTTTACCTCTTTATAATATTAAGTATAGATTTATATTTTATAGTACGTCGTCGCGAGAATCGCCTATGCGAGAGGTGAAGGAATAATTAGCAATTTAAACAAGAAAATCCAATGTAGGAACTGTATTTAAATAAATAAATGTACAACGCAACTGTTAGCCGGAATGTTTACATTCCTTACTCTATTGAATGCATTTAAATGCAAATCTCATGACTTGTACAAAACATGGTAATGAAAAAACAGTTCAGATGTGGCAACACATACTTTCTTACCTACATTTTTTATATAATTTAGACAAACCAATATGTACAACATAATAGAAAACATTTGAATACAAGAACTAGATGCATTTGTTGTTGCCATGGCAATGAAAGAGAAGAATATTCTTGTTGTCTCTTTCTTTTTACTCTTTGTAAACTGAACAACAATGATAACATTTTTTAAACATACTTAGATCAATAAAATTGGTTAATGTTCTTATGATTATAACAATCTAAGCTTTTTCGATGATCCAAAGACGCACACGAGGTAACAACTAATAGCAATTCGGATATATTGTGCAAAAATACGAGATTTCATTAGAGAAAACATTTAGCAGTACGAGTTAAAATTACCTTAAGGTGGTGGTTGTATTAATATGTAACAAAAAAATGGCAAAATTTCAGTCACGCGTTCCTAAAGATTATTTCAAACATTTTCTATAACTCCAGGCAATTTAGCGCAAATAAGTCTTATTTTTATTTCCAAACAAGTAATTAAAGATCGAGGTCAAAGCATGTTGGTCGTCCAGTGTAACTAGGGCGTGCAGCGGTCGAGGAAGCGAGGGTAGAGGCAGACCTCGCGGATGTGGTGGCGGTCCAGCAACCAGCACAGGAAGCGCTCCAGGCCGAGCCCGTACCCGCCGTGCGGGACCGAGCCGAACTTTCGCTGGTCCGTGTACCAGTAGTATGGGGACGGGTCGATGCCCTCGCGCTTGTAACCTGCGCAATGACATTTAATTAAAATATGGTGTGTTCGATATTCCTCTCACGAATACTGAATTATGAAAATAAAAAAATACTATTAGAAGTCCATTTGAGTAAACTAGATTAAGCTCAACATTCTTCTGGTGTGAGATAAGCTGAAGAAAAGTTATATATTATATATAATATAACTATAATAATGATTTAAGCAACATAACCACAAAAATCAGGTTTAAGTTACTTTTTTCAAATCCTATCTAGCTAGCACAATATTTGGCACTGACCTTCCATGAGTTCCTCATGGTCCCAAGTCCTCATGGAGCCTCCAACAATCTCGCCGACCCCCGGCATGAGCACGTCGACGGACTCGGTCAGCCGGCGGTCGTCGGAGCAGCGCTGCATGTAGAACGATTTGATCTCCGCCGGGAACTTGCACAACAGGATCGGCTCACCTATCTCGTCCGTCATCTTACGTTCTGGCATCTCCGGGATATCCTGAAAGATTTATTAGTTAATTAACACTGAATACCCACATAGTTAACAAATATTAAATAATATTTTTGAAATATTGGTCTGACAATCTCCATTTGTGGTGGCCCGGAGGTTAAGGAGCCCGCTTCTCATGCATGAGGGTGTGGGTTCGAAACCTGGCAAGTACCAATGTGACTTTTTCCGAGTTATATGTACTTTCTATGATTATTTAGACCACTGACACACGGTGAAGGTAAACATCGTGAGGAAACCTGAACTTATAATTCCTAATTATAAGTTTGAAATCGCCAACCCGCATTGAGCAAGCGTGGTGACTAATAACCTTCTCCGTATGAGAAGAGGCCTTTGCTCAGCAGTGGGCACTTATAGGCTGATGATGATGATGATGATGAATCTCCATTTAATTCTTACATTGATACTAACAAATGATTCATATGCAAAACAAACAATATTTTGTGATTACAAAATTTCCCCTTCAAGCATGGGTCTCATAACAATTTTTCCATATTTAAGTCAAATATAGAAGAAAGCATAATATAACTTTATACCTCTCCAAACTCGTAGAACGATCCATCTTCTTTTGTAATGTTGTGCTCACGTAGATACTCGATGGCCTCAGTGTACGCCATGCGCTTGAAAGGCTTCTTTGGCCTCTGGAAATTCAATATTGGTATTTAGCATTATGATAGGCTTTTATTGGCGGTTCATATTATCAAAAAAAGTTGATAGCAATTTTGACTCTTTATAATTGTGATTTTGTGCTCTTAAAGTCTTATAAACAAGAGAATAAAGTTCAAAATCGAATTCTCCTCTGACCTTGAAGTTGGGGTTAAGTTCGCTCACAAGATGACCATCAGGCGAGGCGAGCACTCTGTCCACTACATCGACAACAAGGTCTTCCAGTCTTGAGAGCAGATCCTCGAACGTGATGAATGGGCACTCAGCCTCTACATGGCTGTATCTGGGTACAAAAAAGAAAAAAACACAATAGAATATCGTATTTAAGGATGATACGAAATCCCGACCCCCATATAATGGAAAATCCATTAAACAAATTAGGTTGATATTTGTAGGACATCTAAGACCAAACTACATGCTGAAATTAACAAGCTTTTGCATATAGAGGTATCAAATTCAATAATTGCATTTAGCGATAAGACTGCCCATTGTACATTCAATCTCAAGCTTTTCTGTATATATATTTGTACGGTGTGCAATAAATAGTGAATGAATAAATAATTCGGATTCGATATTCATATTCCTTCATTGGAGAATAGCAGTTGACGGATGCTAGGTAAATATAAGTGTGTACTTACTCGGCGAGATGCCTTCTCGTACGTGACTGCTCTGCGCGGTATGACTGCGCGATGCAGTAGACGTCGCCCAGCGTGGCCAGACATGTCTCCAGGTACAGCTGCGAGCTCTGCGTCAGGTACGCCTCCTGTCTGGAATGTAGACATCGTCAGGTTCATTATCATCTTGTTTGGGTATCACTTACCAGGTGTAAAGAATAGGTGTCTTGGACTGTTAAAACTATATTTGAAGTTATTGCTCATGCATGTAGCATGAGAACTCTGGAGGTAAAAAAAAAACTGCTTTTGGAATTCATATTATTAATAAATAGATTACTAATCAAAAGTCAATTGTAAAGACACTTTTGAATGTCAAACAAATATTTAAAGATATAAGCTTTAGTGTCAGTCTGTTGGTTAGTCCTCTTAGTGAAGCTATTTGCTCGTTCCAAAGTGTAGATTCCGATGGAGAAGAACAAACAAGAAACTCCATGGTTACTCTTTTGAAATCAGTTTCAAATACAGATTCCTTATACAAATAGTTGGTTTAATTATTTGAGAACAGTGTAACACAAAATTTATTCAGAGAAATATAAAAAGAAAATAGCCTTAAAGATAATCCCCAGCTGACCAGTCCCACATCTTACATTACATGTTAATTGGAATCATTAGAACACGTGTTTGAGCATAGTTACCCGAAGTAGCTGAACTTGAAGAGAGTGCTGCCCCCCTCGCACTGCGTCTGCACGAGTGTGGGCGGCGTCACCTCCGTGTAGCGCCGCGACTGGAAGTGCTCGCGGAACGCTCGCGTCACCGCCGCGCGCGCGCGGAGAACCTTCGACGTGTTCTCTCCGCGGATCATAATGTGCCTGGGTGAGGAAAAATAAATTATATTTTAGGTTTGAGATTTCCCAATGAAGCCTGGTGGGAAGATATTATGGTGGAACCCATTTTACGCTAATTATGTCATAAAGGCCCAGGAATCAAGTCTGTTGTCACGGTTGGCGCGGTGGGTGGGCAACTAGCTGCCGCGCAACGTGTCGCAGGTTCGATTTCCGCACGGAACAACTCTTTGTGTGATCCAGAAATTGGCTTTCGGTTGTGCGTATGATGTGGATGTAAAATTGAAGTTTGTCAACGCACAGACAACACAGGAGAAAATCCTAGTGTGGGGCAATATTTTTACATAAATTATTAATATTATTGAAATATTTAAATCAAAACTCTAAATCGCCAACTTCAGATATTATTCAAAGCAGTAACAACCACGAGTGATGCAATAAATTAGTAATTAACTTCAATTTGACTAATTCCTATTTTCATTATCAAAGTTGCTTTAGTTACCTGTTGTCAAGCTGGACGTCAGGTAAAGCTTCTTCGTTGAGAATAGCGTCAGCTCCACCAGGGGGCGCTAGACCGACCAGCTCCCAGTAATCCGCTGTCAGTTCGTGACCACCAGGCGCCTGGACAAAATAAAAAAAAATTTCACTGTGATGTAAATTAACTTAAATTTCATAGTAATTAAATTAAATTTATTTAGAAAATACTTTGACTACTTATGTTATGTAAAACATAAATGGAAATTTTATTCCAAAATGATGATTATGGTAAATTTTAACTTTTGATATTGAACAAAATGAGGCTTCCGGCGACTTGGACAACAAAAATTCATGTAAATACATGTCTTATTTTATTAATTACATGTATTCTTATTATCTGCCTAACACACAAAAGTCATTCAGAAATTAACACACACAACTCAATATATAAAAATGAATCGAAAAATGTCTTGGTAACCAAATAACTTGAGAATGCCTGAATCAATCTTGCCAATTCTTTTTTTTTTGTTGTATTTATTTTTGACAGGTTATCTTATATAGTGGTATAAAAATCCACTCACCATTTTTCCTTCAGGCACAACCTCAAGTTTCCCGTAAATGACAATAGAGGACTCTGTAGAGAGCACAAGGGCATTGTAGGTCTGGCAGAGAAGACCATGGAGCACACACTGCAGGTACCCTGTGCCATCTCTTAGTGTCAGGAATGCTAGTGCTCTGCCTTGTCTCCTTAGACGGTGCACCCATCCTTTCACACATATCCTCTCACCACGGTGCTCAGCAGCTGAAATATTTGAAATAAAAATTTATTGACTGTATGATTTCTTGATTTTTTATTTCTGTTCTGCATATAAAGAGTAACATGATGCCTTTTATATAACGGAATATAAAGTCTTAGTGTAGCTGTTTATAAGAATAAAAAAATATAAAATAATAACTAAGAATCTAGGCAAGTTAGTAAGCCACTGAAGTATCCTTTTTTGCTTTTCTTAATGAATTTCTTCATTGCACTTACAGTGACAAAATTGTTTATTTCCCTTTCATACATTTTGCTGTAACTATGATGCACCATCAACTTAATTAAGAATACTTACATTACATTATAAAAAGATACTCATGTCACTTGGGCAATAAGATGAAAGAATTCTTCATTTCTATTAATTAAAGCTTACTTAACATACATAGGAAACAATGTATTATTATTTTATCTGCAACTTGTGGTTAAGCTTGTGGCTTATCAGTGCACCAATTAATTTGAAAACTAGCTATTACATTCACATACAGTTGGCATTAAGAAAGTGCATGATGCTTGCTTTAAAATATAGTCATAGTCAATATAATTATAGTCATTCACCTACTTTTATCACATTAAAATGTTCCTATTTTAAATTTATCCCATAGACCAAGGAGAATCAGATAAGGATGACAGAAAGGTTCAAGTTAAAAAGAAATAGGTTAGATTTTATTTTGAATGATTTTAGAACAGAATTGTGACAAGACATTAAATGTACTTACCTTCAGCTATTTTCACATAAGTAGCTTTAGGCAGGCTGGGATCTTCCTTGATGACGATTTTCTTGGCTTCTTCCAAGTTTTGTTGTCTTTTGTCATTGGTTTCTTCCTCGGCCTTCGCTTTATCGGCCGCTTTGTAGCTCTCCCTTACCCAGATCTTGTGAATTTTTTTCAGCTGAGATTTTGCCGCAACCTCGTATACTTTTGTGTCATCCTTTGCGTCAACGTAAATAGTAGGGAATGGCTCCTTGCCTGCATGCCGCATTGCCTGCAAAATGGTCTTGAACGGCTTGGCTTCAGTTCCATCTCCCGTCTCGTCACTGCCTTTCTTATCCGACGTGTATATTTCTCCTAAAAGTAGTGAAAGATATTGCTTACGTGTGCTTATAGGTTATAATTATAATATGGATCGGTTAGAGTTAAAACTTACCTATTGATAGATCCTCCATTTCAATGGTTATTAGTTTACTTTTTAGGTTAGTATTCTAAGTATTGCTTATATCACTGAGAATCACAACACAAACACGGCTTGTAGCCGTAGTTAATGCTTCATATGTTATCTTCTTAACTGCAATGATGAAACTTAGTAGAAACTTCACTCATACTATTAACTGCTCACGTCAAGTCACGTCATTCCACAGTACACATGCGCTGCCTGGCTGTCTTTGTCTTGACATTCCAGGGTTGCTAGCCCTAAATACAAAATTTACCCACTGATTTAAATATTTAATGTTGTAAGAATTTATAATATGCAGTGTTCATTTTGTAATAAAAAGAAGATATGAAAAAAGAAATGTGAGCAAGATTTGTTTAATTTGCAGTCATTTTCAAAATAATTTTATAATACGTGCCTTTTCCTGGAAAAAGAGTATTTAAAAGCTTTTAGAGTATCTTTGAGATTCAAGATAAGTTTGGATAAAATATCTAAAGAAATTAAAAAAGGTTTATTATATCTTATTACATTAAGCATAATAGAGCCCAGAAAATGGGAATTACAACCTGGCAACTTTCACGCTATTTAATTGTCCGTTTTTCTGTCAAAAATTTCTTGACCGTTGTAAAAAATGAATTTTAGTGTTGCCAATTATTAAAAATAATGTTTTTCTAGAGGATCATCCGTAAAGTACGTCACACGCAATATGATCTTTGGTCACACGTAAAGAGTCGAAGTGGAAGGTCAACAAAGTGTGACATGGTGGGACAAGCGGTGGGAGGGATTCTAAGTTTCGTGATATCCCATTTCAAAGTCTAATATAGAGTACTAAACCCGTTATTTGAAATTTTAATCAAAATAAAAAATATTTTCGACTCTATCTTTAGGATAAACTCTACACGGATTAAATTGTTTTTTGACTAGTTCATACCCGCTCTAGTGACACGTGCCGATCGACAACGAGCCCTCTCGTGACCAACTGTATATAGCGTGATTTTATTGTTTCTTTAAATGATTTTTCGACTTGTTATGGCTCAACATGTGAAGTCACACTAGGGAGGAGGCTGGGCTCCACGGCCTCTTCCCAGAGCAGGAGAAGGAACGAGGATGTTTTAGTCAGTACGAGTCTGACAGTTCTTCTCACCTCACCCCGGGTGGAAGAAGTCATTTGATGTTTTTCCTCACAAATAAAAAGGAGGACCTAAACGTAAAAAAACCTAAAGTAGGACAAGGAAACTTAAGCACCTGCGTCAGGCGGACGGTGAGGACACCATGGCGCCTCTCAAGCCACTCCACAAAGAGGGAGTTTACCGCTGCTATAATAGCGTGCTTGGCCCTCGGTTGCGACAGACATTGCTTCCATTCTGCAATGAGATCGCGCAGGAGGGGCCCCATAGAGGGACATGGATCTCACGATCTCCTTATAGAACCTCCCGTAGGAGGCGTTTGGCACCCGCAGGTTGGGAAAGAGCCGTTTGAGCGCAGGTCCAATCCAAAAAGGGTTATCCGGGCCATATTAGTCGTCCCATTTTCTTAGCTAAATTTTATGCCAAACAAGTCCTCCTTAGATTTGATTAGGTAGGTACTTGTTCAGAATACAATTTATTTATGTATTTATTCATATATTTTATTTATGTACACAAAATAATACACTATCACACAAATATTTGAATACAATAAAGAAATAAAAAAGCGGTAAAGTAAGTAAGCAAAAGGTACAATTTATATTTAGAATTGATATGAATTTTGACATGGCATAGGTTAACGAGATCATAGAACGTCTTTTTTTTTCGGGAGGTGAAAATCATCAAATGACTTCTCCCGCCCAGGGCCGGGCAGGAGGGAGTGTCAGACTCTTACTGACTAAAAACCCCCCTGTTCCTTCTCCTGCTCTAGGCCGAGGTCGCGGTGCCTCATTGCGCTTACCCCGCAACCCCGATCATAGAACGTCTGGCGGGCTAAAACTACAGTTTTCAACCCTATTCTTTAAGGACCTCTTATCACGGCGGCTTCATGTTTATTACGTAAGTATAACCTCAATCTATGGATCTTGTCCGTCTTAATAATACCCCGGCTGATGTCCTTTTTTCTTGGCGAGTAGCTTCGGTTTCTCGTACGATGGAGTAACAGACTCTTTCTGACTAAAAACCACCCTGTTCCTTCTCCTCCTCTGCGCCGGGGCCGCTGTAGGTACGTAATTGCGCTAGTATCAGCATCTCCAGTCGGATACATCAGGCATAGTGGGCCCCATCTGTGGTAATCTGATGTCACCTTGAGGCGCGAGCGAGATAGGTAAGTAAGTACATCAGATAAAATTAATTAGTTATAAATTTCATCAGATAAAATTAATTACTCTGGGCCGAGGTCGCGGTGCTTCATTGCACTTGTCCCGCAACCGGTGGGCAACTGGCTGCCGCGCAACGTGTCGTGGGTTCAATTCCCGCACTGAACAACTCTTTGTATGATTCACAAATTGTTGTTCTGAGTCTGGGTGTGATGTGTATGTGAAGTAGTATGTTTGTAACGTACCCACGGCACAGGAGTAGGTAAATCCTTCGCTTAATCCGTTTTTTTCAAACGCCATTATCTACATATATATACATATTCTTGTATATTTATGCACATATCCCAATTTTGTTTACGCATTCCAAGTAGCCCAATATTACCATAACTCAACCAAGACAGTCTCCAACGATTTCTTTGTGTTTATTTATAAACAACATGAGCAATCGCTTAGAATTACCTAAATAACTAATTAACTAGAAACAGTTCGTTCAACGTTACTTAAATAAATATTCACGTTTTGGGTCAATGCGATGTGTAGGTATATTATTTACATTTAGTAATGATTCGTGTACCATTCTTTGACTAGAACGAGTAAAATCTATAATACAAAAGAACCTTTGCATCTAATAAGTTTTAGAGGTATGAGGAACAGGGTGGAAAGTCCCTCATCCTCCATTGAAAAGGGAGGATCCTCCGACCAGGCGAGGTGTTCGTGCCTGGTGGGCTACTGCCCGACGGTTGTTGTCGGGCTATCTGTATGGGTGCTAATTGTGTTGAAAACTCTTATAGCGCGATGTAGACTCTTGCACGTGATTGGTGCTGTTGTTAATGTAGTGCGCTAGATGTCGCTACATCACTCCCCTCCGAGACCGGAGGTCGTCAGCTGGTTGCGACGTCTGTGAGATGCTTGTCGAGCCAGTTGCTGGTTTCAGTGCGTCGAATCTGTCTGCGAAGATGCCCCAGTGAGTCGGGTGGTGTAGTGCTGAAGAGTGACTAGCTGCTGCGTCGACCAGGAGAGGGAGTACGTCTCTGCTTGCTGACCGGCCGGTGCATTATGCTGTGCCGAAGTTTCTGATAAGGCTGTAGGTGCTGAAGAGTGGCTAGCTGCTGCGTCGACCAGGAGAGGGAGTACGTCTCTGCTTGCTGACCGGCCGGTGCAGTATGCTGTGCCGAAGTTTCTGATAAGGCTGTAGGTGCTGAAGAGTGGCTAGCTGCTGCGTCGACCAGGAGAGGGAGTACGTCTCTGCTTGCTGACCGGCCGGTGCAGTATGCTGTGCCGAAGTTGCTGATGAGGCTGTAGGTGCTGACCAGGAATGCGCGTTGGCTGCATGCTGGTGGTCAGGGAACCCGTTGTAGCCGTGGAAGCTGGCTGACTGTAGGATTCGCTGCTTGAAAGCTCGAGGAAGTGATGACGTCATGGCTATGACGTAGTTGCACGAAGGCTGCATGATGTTCATGTTCGGGGTAACCAGTTTAGAGGTATGAGGAACTGGGTGGAAAGTGCCTCATCCTCCATTGAAAAGGGAGGATCCTCCGACCAGGCGAGGTGTTCGTGCCTGGTGGGCTACTGCCCGACGGTTGTTGTCGGGCTATCTGTATGTGTGCTAATTGTGTTGAAAACTCTTATAGCGCGATGTAGACTCTTGCACGTGATTGGTGCTGTTGTTAATGTAGTGCGCTAGATGTCGCTATAAAGTAATGCAAAAGTCTTATAGCAGGTTATTTTTGAACCATATCTTTTTTCATAGGACAAGTCCGTCACCCCCCCCCCCCCTCCCAATACCGATACAACTCCTGTAAGCCAGGATCAACAGTAGATACAATCATAAATTAGGGTTCTTGTAATGCGTAACAGAACGGGTCAGAGCTGTGCACAAATATATAGAATACTAGCGGCACGCCCCCGCTTCGCAAGGGTCCAACTATCTCTCTATCAAAGGGTCACTTTTTCTAATATTTTGTTTGATAAGAACCTTCTCCTGACAATAACAAACGCAACAAAAAAGAATTAGCAAAATTGGTTCAGGCGTTGTTGAGTTATGCGCTTACAAACACATTTTGCGATCCATTTTTATATATAAAAGATATAGATAAACATATAGTTTACATAAGAAACGTTGCCCACACTAGGATTTTCTCAAGTGTCGTGGATGCATTTACATACATACCTACCGTACAATTTCACACAGACATCACACCCAGACCCGGATCAATAATTTGTGAATCACACAGAGTTGTTCGGTGCCGGAAACGAACCTGCAACACGTTGCGCGGCAGCCAGTTAGCAGCCACTAACCGTGCAGTTATGCATGTATGGCACGGACATTTTGTATAGTTATATATATGTTAATGATCTCGGTACCATACGTCATCACCGGCATCACACACTGGTTAAACATCATGGCCTTCAGGCACAATACTTATAATCACCAAATGTGTTAGTGTATTCTTCAAAGAAGTGCGCAACTTATGTGGCCACACGAATGTCTGGCGCAGCTTTCAAAATCAAAGCTCATTTATTTGCATGAAAAAGGTACCTATAAATCGTAGTTATAAATTATGTCTCGCACGGCGCCCAAAATGGTGGCAGATTAGTCCCGAATTCTAATATAATTTTATCACAATTATTATTGTATGCCTAAAATGGTGGAGCAGCGCAAGAGCACAACAAAAAAAAAAGTCAAAAATCATTTATTTCAATTAGACCACAGTAGGCACTTTTGAACGTCAAGCAAGCAAACATGTAGAACAACTTCTTTGACCGATGTCTCACAATAAAGATCTTATATAAATCTTTTATCTTTCTTTGACTTTCAACTTGAATTCGGGAGTGAAACATTTTTTTATAAAGAGAATGATTTAAAATAATAATTCATCAATATTGTTTAATGTTTATTAATTTATTAATTACAATACCGTTACGTCCTCATAAGAAAAAATATCAAAATGCCAAAATAGAAAAGTTACCTACATAATAAAAGTGTGGGATGGTATGCTTCAGCACGAGACAACCTACCTTAGGCCCAATCCTTCCCCTCCCCCAATCCCTAAATCTCCAAATCCCTAATTCCCAAAAGGTGCAACGCACTCGTAGTTGCTCTGCTGTTTCCGGTGGCCATGCGGCGCTGATTGCTTACTATAAGGTAATCCGTATGTTCGTTTGCTGTCCTATCACATTCAAATAGAAATAAAAAAATAAAAAGACCAACTACAACTCAAAACGATAAAAATAATGCACATTGCATTGTGCTCACCTGTAAAATTTATATTTTTCGCATCCCTACTACCATCCACTGTTTTGTGGACCAGAAAATGCGAGTCTGACCTTGTGACTGAATTTGTGCGCTACATTTTCTGTTCTGTGGCTACAACTAACGTTGTATTAAATATGCATCGGTGACATTACCCTTCCGGATTGGTATTAATTGAGGTTTTATTAGACTTGGTCGTATGTTGTAGAAACATATAAATAGGAGTCACATGCATTTGATGCCACATTCCCCGCACTACCACGGGTGAATGTTTTTGGTGTCCAAAAATAGATGTTTAGTAAGTAAATATACATAAAATCAAAAGTTTTTTAATTCAAATTTGTAAAACACGTGAGTATATTTTTTTTTTATTTTAATATATTATATTTGTAAGTGTATGGTAATTCCATACACTCATGACTTTTTTTCATTCGCATTTATTTGTGTCTTTAACAAAATATTTACGAATGATCCGCTTCTGGCCAATTACAAGAATCTCTTCATGAGGTCAGCGATTGTTCTCCAAGGGTTGACTCTTACTTAGTACCTATTTATCTTATACTTTTCTTTCAAAATGTCCATAATAACTTAGCATACATAATTATTTTTCTTAATTTTGGCAAATCACTGGATCATTCTTATCATCATGACAAATTTCCTTGGTACCAAACTAAAGTATGGGGGTCTGTGTGTTTATTTGCTAAAAATGGAAGTGAGTTTTGCTCAAATTCTTTGACTATCTTTTCCTTTAATAATAAATTTAAATATTTTTTCCAGGTTTTACTAGAAAGATAACAATATAATACAGAATGCCAGTTTCTACAGAGACGGCCTTCCTCTCTCACACGGATTGGAATCACGTAAAGAAATGGTGAGTAATGGAATGAGAATTGAGAATATCATAAGAAATATGGGTTCTTAGTGTGGGGAAAATCATCAAATGACTTCTCTCCCAGGGCGAAGCGAGAGCAAGTATCAGACTCTTACTGACTCAAAACTCCCGTTCCTTCTTGGATCTTAGGCCAAGGTCGCGGTACCTTATCGCAAACCCCGCAACTCCAACACGTTTAGGCTAAGAACTCATGCAGCGATTTTGAACCGTGCCCGCCGCGGTAGCGGAACTGCGGTTTTATTTCCAAAGTCACGAGACCGGTTATTTGCGCGGTTACACAGCCACCGCGGTTGCGATCATCGCCCGCGGACGTGGCGGGCGATGATCGCAAGATTGCAAGACGGGCGGTTAACGATCAGTTGAGGTCCAGACCGCCATGGACACAAACCAGAAACGAGCCGTTGCGTTATATTTACTTCACAGAAGACCCGCCGGCCCCCGCGGTCGCTCGCCAACCGATCGCAAAGCGCGCGGTTGTCACCCGCCGAGGCTGCGGGTAACCGCGGCCCGCGCGATTCTACTAGTTGCCCGCCGGTACAGCGGGAGCCGCATTCAACCGCTTGCACCGCGGGCGTAAAACGCGTCGTGAAATGTGCTTTAATTTTCTATATACATATTTGAATTCTACAGAAGCTGCGGGCCCGCAACCGCAGCGGACGCGGGCGAAAATCGCTCCGTGAGTTCTTAGCCTACAGAAGCTGCGGGCCCGCAACCGCAGCGGACGCGGGCGAAAATCGCTCCGTGAGTTCTTAGCCTTAGAGAGACGCGTTTCTTTCTCTCTGCGTATTTGTAGAAACTTAATAATATTGTTTTCAGGGACTGCTTTGCAGATGAAAAAGTATGTGAGAAAAAGGGTGAAGTTGGCATTGACCCTGTTCCACAACAAAGAAGTATGAAGTTGCATACGCTGCAGTTTGTTCCACATTTCCAAGTGAACCAACAAGTGAGTGCTTTAAGTTTTTCTTTTGTTGTTCCATATAAAACACGGAGATAGCAATTAATATTTTTTATTTCTATTTCGGCACCGCCATTGGAACGCGCCCTGGTTAGGTTAGGTGGTTCATCTTCATCATCATCACTATTATTATCAATAGCTCGCGGCAGTCCTCTGCAGCTGTACTTATAAGCGTTCTTTGCAAAAGAGTCCTTAACTCAAAATCACACATCGGAGACATCCTAAAGGTTTAGAACTTTGTCAATAGATAACAAAGAGTCAAGACGTGACACACATTTTCTTAAAAAGGTTATGAAAGTCTTGGAAACTCGTTTTTCACACAGATCACTTTATTTTGGTTTCAAAAGCGAAACCACGTGATCTAGTTTATCTTGATCTATTTTAACAATGCTTTATATACTCTTCTAGGTTTCAGCGTCGCTTCGAGTGTTCCTTCAAATTGTTGCCGAGAACACGAATAAAAGCTCAATCAAAGTAGTCGGCATCAACAACAGTCACATTAACAGCTCAGTGTTTGATGAAATGAAGAAAATTGGTTCTTTTGTATATGGCATTAAAGTTGATTACGAAGAATTAAATGAATCAGATCTCAATTCCTCAATAAAGGGCATCGGCACGTTTCTTAAGAATGCTGACCTAGCTATCGTCCGTAATTTATCCACTAATGAGAATGTAAGTACCTACTGTTTTGTTTTCTGTACCTACCATATTCGTAGTTTTATGGATGCAGTGCTATCGTTTGACTTAAGTAGTGGTCGAAAGACAACCTAATTAAAAATCAGCTTATTCTAATTTATTCGTTAGTTCAAAGTTAATACTTACCATTTAATCACCAACAGATGTGTCAACTGCTACACTTTACGATTCAACGGAACTCTTTCATAGTGAGCGAAGAAGACAATTTATTCGGTGGCCGTACTCGTCCGAAGTCGTTGTACCATACAGTCTGTGCCCATAGTAACGCACGCTCACGGTTGGACTTGGTGCGTTGGCGCCCCACCATGGAACTAATGCCAACGACTGCCATCACCGTGCCACAAGATCTCGATTTGTCCCTCCTCTCCGCTGCACGACAAAATCTCCCATCAAAACACCGTCTGCTCATAGTATGTCCCTACCCAGCCCCTCAAAACCTCAAAAGTCACGTTCAAAAATGGAGAAAGGATGTCGAACGTAACAACGTTTACTTATTAACAGTCAATAAGGAAGAAGGCAGCAGTTTCTTCATAGATGACTTGCCGGACATCAATTTGGCATTCACTGTTTTTGATCATGTAAGTGTGCATTTGGGACCAAGTAAAATGACGAATGGGAAAATTCAAATGTAGTGTTCCATTTTTAGATTTAAAATTAATGTTTTATTTTATTTTAGGGTAACTGGGGAGGAGAATATTATATACCTGTACGGACTAACGCGAGTGTACGCACTAATGTGACGTTACAAAGCACCCAAGTGGGAGATGCCAGTTCTTTGGAGTGGGTCGATGCTACCGAGTCATGTGGAACTGGAATTCCAGTGACCGTACGTTCAAAACTGCTGTAAAATTGTAAACATTCACACAGAATATACATTTGGGTATGCATATAAGTAATGTTGTTCAATATTCTTTTCAGGTACACTACGCTGGTTTAACTAGCTCAGATTACAAAAAAGCTGTTGGACTAAAATCTGTAAAACACACTGAAGAAAACAGTTACGGTATGGATTTCAGCGGAGTAACTGAGAGGTAAACATACATAAAATTATTTAAGTACCTAAAACCTATACCAATCTTAAAACATCTCATGTGATCCAATGAAAGATATACGACGAAAATACTCAAAGGAATAAATCATTTTAGTGTAAGACAGGTACAGGAGAAGAATATTTTAATATAAATACTTTTGCTACTAGTGGTGAGCGCGTGATGGGCCTGGTGGCTCACGGCGCGGCGAGCAGCGTGGTGCACGCCCGGCCGGAGCTGCTGTGGCCGGTGCCCGCGCACTGGACGCTCGAGGACGCCGCCACCGTGCCCCTCGCCTACGCACATGCACTCTACTGCTTGGTTAGTGATAAAATACCTTTATCTGGTCTGTAGAAGGCAAGCGATCATATAGGACCCGTTAAGGCCAATGGCCAACTGCGGTTGCGGATACAGGCGCCATAGTGTACCGCGGCACCTGCGCAGGAAACGGGGTAGTTTTTAGTCGGTACCTGACACTCCTTCAAGTCCCATCCAGCGTGGGAGAAGTCTTTTGACGAATTTACTCCCTATAAACACCCCTTCCTTCCGTAGAGATGACGGAAATTACAAAAAGCTAGTTTCTACTATGCCTGCATTTTCTTTATTAGCTTCGAACACAGCCTAACTAAGTACTACAATTATTTAAAAACTTGTGTAAAGCTAATTCCTTGTAACTTACTTTTTGTATTGTCCGCATAACATAACATCTCCATCCGTTTGCTCTCAGGGCATTAAAAAGCCAGCAAACCTAACACCTGAAACGACGGTGTTTGTGCACCGAGGGGACGGAACTTTTGGCCAAGCAGTTATATCCATCGCCCTCGGGCACGGCTGTCAAGTATACACGACAGTCTCACACAGAAGAAACAAGTTTTTCTTATTGAAACTCTTCCCGACATTACAAGGTATTTTTATTACTTATCTATAATAAATTATATCTTTCTCTATATTTGTCGATTTTGGATTCTATTTGAAGGAAGATATTGCTTTTTAGAGACAAGACTGCCTTTTGAACTCATCATATTTGCTTGTTTCGGCCTGATGGTGTAACAACAAAGAACATTCTAATCTCATCTTATCATAAATTCTTCTATTACTAAATATATTCATTTTGTTTCCAGCCGACCACATCGGTAACTTAAAAGACCGTAACTTCATAAATACCGTCTTGAACGATACCAAAGGAAATGGCTGTGACATTGTGCTGAGTTGCGTTAAAGGAGATATGAAAAAAGTAAGCAAACATAAATCTTTATACATATATATAAAAATATATTATGTCACGTGTTTGTCCGCGACGGACTCCTAAACTACTAAACTGATTTTAAATTTGATTTGCATTCCGTGTGCGCAATGTTCCAACTTGAAAGATAGGATAGCTTACATCTCAATTTATAGTCACAATATTATTTACCTTAGCCACAGCAACGCGTGGCTGGGTCTGCTAGTAGACATATAAAAAATATGGATTCATGTTTGATTAGATGTTCAATCTCATCATTAGCACAGGCATAGGATACACTCCGGAATAGGACATAGTGGCTACTTTTATCAACATACCACGCGGGCGAAGCCGCGGGCGGAAGCTAGTAAATCTATATGTGTAGGCGGGGCCAAGCTCAAGGCTGCTAGGCATCGCGGCCTTAGCCCAGAACAGGAGAAGGAACGGTGGGAGGATTAGTCAGTAAGAGTCTGACACAGAGGTAATTTGGGGTATAGTAACCCTTACGTCGTTAGCGAGGCAGCTGCAGAGAGCAGTGGCAGGGGCGGGCCGCTAGTACAATATAAGAATGTAAAGTCTTGAATTCGTAACACTTTCGTTGAATCCTTTTTTTTCCAGACCTCAATACTCTGCTGTGGAATGGATGAGATTTGCTTAGAGTTTTCTCAACTTCATAACACTAATGAGGACAATGCTGGCGGCTTATTCAATCTTAAGAAAACGAGATCCTATTCTGCTATTGACTTTGCAAGAATGCTTGCCAATGATAATACAGTAGAATTGAAGGTAATATTTCATTTAATTACGTACTTAGTAATGTATGATATCCAGCAAGCTACATGAGATGGGATGGTGAGCAAGATATTTTAAGGAAAGTTAGTTTTATCAAATTGAATAACAATTTCGATCAGTTTCTGATAACTTCAACTTAAAAGACTTCACGGTTAGCGTTGTGCACGGATAGCAGATTAATGCACAAATTTTCGCGTGTTCTATGACGGCACGGAACGACTCTTTTTGTGATCGCTGTTCAGGGTTGATACCTCAACCGATACTGATTGGACGTGACACATGATGATGTGGATGAGAAAATCCACTAAGATTTTTATCTATAGGAATGTATCGTGACCCACGTTTTAATAATACCAAAATATTTTTCGTTTCTATCCACTACAATTTTAAAATTTTCAGATGTTGCAACAAATGCTGAGTGAAGGTATTTCCAAGGGCTACGTGCGCCCGTTGACACGCATGTCGTACGCTCTGCACGAGGTATCACACGCGTTCCAACTGCTATCAGGCAGACAGCGCAGTAGGCTACTATTGAAGATGCATGAACCAACACTTCAGACACCGCTCAGGTTGGAAAACAAACTTATTTTATTGTTAATCTGTTTTAATCATTTTATAATACTTCGGAATATATCATAGCGTTGGTGTTTCAGAATTTCTTGCAACCCAAATCAAAGTCAACTCATAATTCTCAGTGAAGAGAGAATTGGTCTTGAATTAGTTGAAAGGCTGGTGGCCCGTGGTGCTAAGAAACTGCACATCCACACCAATAATAATACGTCTGCAAAATTCCAGTGTAAACTGAGGTAAGAAGGTACTTATGGATATATTTATGGATATACATTCTTCTTTTCATTGTGTTGATGCTGCCAATTTATAACTAGACCCTGGAAAGTTCAGTGAGCTAATCTGTTGGACACGTCGACTTTCTTTGAAAGATATTTAAGGGAAAAAAGAGATTAAGATAAAAAAAGGAGGATCCTGCGATCACACAAGGTGATCATGCTCGGTGCCTAACAATTTTACGGAATTTTCTATCCGTGTTTTTGTAGGATTCATGACGACTTCCGAAAAATATTGTTGTGGATATTCTGTGTGTGTACGTCGGCATAACTAAACATAAATTATGTACAGTTTTTTATGCTTTTAGGATGTTGGAGAAAATAGGTGTGGAAGTTCAAACATCATCAGTTAAATTGGAACAAGAGAGTGATCTAGTATTACTACTTAATGATGCTATCAGTATGGGGCCAGTGCAGGGGATATACGTTGTCACCAATGATGATGACATGCTCGAAGAAAGAGTCTTGATTCATCTAGATGCAGTGTCCAGATCATTTTGCCGTAACTTGAGGTGTGATTGTAGTTCTATAATATACTTATGTGGATTACTTCTCTACTAGAGTTTAAGTTTGCAGTTACAAAGCTATCTTCATTTTTTGCGAGTATTGGTTGGAAATACATGTATTTATTTCATAAAAAGGTAATTTTGTTTCAGAAATTTTGTCCTATTAAATATGGGAAAAACAGTGTATGGAAAGGAAACTTGTTTAATACGTCATCAGAATAAGTTACCAGCTAAAATTATATGTCTACCTCATCTTAATAATGTAAGTATAAATAACTGTCTTCATTTAGTATGATTTCTTTTCCTTAATTTTTTCACAATAAGTACTGTTAACGATCATGAACGGAGCGATATTTGCAAAGTTTTAGCAAAAAAAGCAATTATCAAAATATTTCTACAAACAATTTTGAAAAGGGCTAATGCATCCCTATTTTCCATGATCATGGGTAGTCTATATTAAAAGAAGTAAGTACAACAGCTTAGAATGAATGAAAATGGATTTGGAAAATAAAGTTCATATTTTAAAACCGTTAAAATTATTTGCAGGAAATAACAGTTAACGAAGCAGTGAATGCTTTGGAAGGTGTGCTGTCTAGTGATCATACAGTTATAGTAGCTCAAACAGAAGAATTACTACGAGATCAACCGGAAAAGTTTGCAAAATTTGCTGGTACGTTTATTATAAGATATAATTATTATAAGTTCAAAAAAAGGTTAATATCAGATTAAGATCAGGGATAAAATAATGAAAAGGGAAACAAAATCATTTGATGTTTCAACAAAGGGAATAGTAGTACACTCTAATGAACGTATAATAAATATTGATCTCTTGCATGAATGCATAATGAAGAGTATAGCTTAAGTGTAACCAAACGTTTTATTTGTCTTTGCAAGGCATAGGCTTTCATATAGGTTTTTCATATGAAATTCTAATCATATATTTAAATCTCTCCATCTTTAGATGTACCTTTGACAGAGAGTAAAACAACTACATTACAAGAAGTTAAAATTAGGGGTGGAATAGGAATGCATGAAGATGTCAAAGGTGAAGCCACATACTTTTCGTACGAGAACTCAGCGGAACTACAAAAATCGACAAATATGCCAAGAATGGTCAGCTGTGATTTCTCGGTAAATATGTATTCAATCTGCACTTTTATCAATTACCTTTCTAATTAAGTAAAATTGAAAATTTTAAAATATTACATTTCAGTCTGAAGAAGAATGTGACTCCAGTCTGATGTATATCTGCAGTATGCACCAGTCCCAGTAGAAGCTGCTCCTGCCGTGGATAGGACAGTTTTCCACAGTGACACACGATTCTTCGCCTTTATCACCAAAATTGTGTAATGTGTCTTTTATTGCTTTCCAAACGGATTTATATTTTGATGGTGGAAAATAATTAGAAGTGTCGAGAATATAATAAAACTTATTTTAGAAAATGGTTTTTATTTATTTTTATCAAACTATTTTATACAAACATCATCTCCTGATAATTTTATTAGTTGTGTATATGATCCTCTCATTTTCGAAAGACGTGATTTTTTTTCTCGAATACTTTGTATATATTGTTCTTCAATACCCATTCGTTGTCAGTTTCTTTACTGCTGTCTCTTATCCTCTCAACCATGGAATCCTCATTGTTTAACGCTCGAAACATAACTACGGTCCTGTTACCATGCCTCATGGCATCATTCAGATTGTTTCTCAAATAATCTTCTTCATCACTATAACTTGTACCGCCTCTTATGCTTTTAATAGAATTTTTCCGTGTTGTAGAATTACCAGGGTCTTCAGAAATATCGTAAATTTCTTCATCAGAGGATGGTATATTGAGTCTTCTAAAATTTTGAGTCGCTTGCTTCTTTCTAAAATAGCTTATTGCGAGTTGTTTTAAATAATCTGGACTGAGGCCGGGAATAGGCTTTCTGGCGGCAGGAGCAATAGCACGAATAGCAGGAGTAGCAGCAGCAGAAGAAGTAGAAGTAGTAGTGGCGACGGTAACAGTACTACGGGTACTCATATAGAGACGTTGTCGTTGTTTCTGTTTCTGATATCTTCGTTGTTTGCGTCTTTCACGTCGATTTTTGCGTCTTTTCATTCTGTTTCGTCTTTTAATTTGTTGTAAAACTTTTTTTCTATGAGAAGATACGTGATTGATATGATGTTCGTTGTAAAATACACTATCTGTACTATCAGGGTCAGTTTCGTAGCTACTATATGAAATTGCTCTTTGCCTAAAACGATGACTTGAATACCCATGTTTTTTTAACCTGGATTCTTCGTAGTCGTGATAGTCTCGCGAATCGCGATGATGATCCCTTAACCTCCTGACTTTGTGGTGTTTATTTAACTTTTTTAATACTCTGGGATGTTTATGCAATAGGTGCTGGACAATTTTCTTGTAGTTCATACTCCTTCTCACTGTTGTGTCATTTGTGTTTAAACCTGGAAAACATCACACACTATATTAAAATTTGTACCTTTATAACAACAGTATATTTGGTTTGCCCTCGAGTAGTTCCTGCGGAATGATTATGACAAATGTGTCGTGATGTTATGTAATATAATATAATACACTTGATGACTTGATGTTATGTAATGTAATATAATTTTTTTTTGTGAAGGGAAAATCACCAAACGACTTCTCCCGCCAGAGCCAGGCGGGAGGGAGTGTCAGACTCTTACTGACTAAAAACCCCCCCCCCGTTCCTTCTGCTCTGGGCCGAGGTTGCGGTGTCTCATTGCTCTTACCCTGCAACCCGGGCAATATACTTGATGTTATGTAATGTAATACACTAGACTGCCTATTCCCGGGTTACTTTTAAATTTTCATCCAAAGGTTGTGTGGAAGTAATCACCCTGCGTGATAAAACTGCCCATTATTTCTTTGAATATAGTATATCTAAATAAATATAAATATCTATAAATGAATTAATAATAATTTGCCAACCCATATGTTCAACCGTTCCACTGCCTCGTATGTTTTTATCTGAATCCATATATAAAGCTCGCCAAGTTATATAAAATTTTGTTATTGCTTGGAAAATAAGACGAATCAATGTTTTTTGTTCGCTTGTGCCATCCAGCCTCGTGAACGGAGCAAAGTAAGCTTTGAATATCCGCTCGCATATTTCTTCTGGAGATTTCCCTCCTGTGGAAGGCAGATAATTAATATCACTTGAGATCACAAAGAAACCTTCAACATATTATACACAACCTTAGTGGGCCCCATCTTTATTTCTTTTGAGGGTAACATCGTCAAATGACTTCGCCCGCTCAGGGTGAGATGAGAAGCGCTCGTACTGACTAAAAACGCCCCAGTTCCTTCTCCTGCTCTATGCTGAGGCCGCGGTGCATTATTGCGCTGGCAACCCCGGCTGAATATCATGGTGGTGTATTGGACGCTACGAAACGCACACACGGGTCGGCCAGGGTGTTCTGGTCGGGCGCGCGCGGTGTATATACAGTGGGTCCCATTTGTGGTGGTCTGATAGTTCTTTGAGGCAAGAGCGGTAGCAGGTGCGCCGCATCCAGAGGTTTGGCTCTGTTCGGGCTCGTTCGTTCGCAGATTCGCCGTTACCTTATTGTACCTTCTATACTCGGGGACATCTTAAGATATCTATCTAAATATCTTCATGGGGCGATTCAATTAAAAAGTTTGACCTTCAGGATAACGTTCGAGAGCTTCTAGCGTTGCAAAGAGTTCTTCTCCTTCTTCTTTTTTGAACATTTTGTCGTAGTAATCAACGATTTGCTTGACTGGTGCCTCGAGTGTTTGATCTTTGTTTTTAAATATAAAGTGGCTCAGTCTTGCAAGATCTGTAACATAGGCAATAAATATATTTACAAGCAGTCGCTAGACCAATGAGACGAGCCAGCCAAGATCTAAAGTAACTACCAAGCATGTGGTCTCGGTCCAGACTCAGACGCGAACAAAGTACTATTGTACTCAATACTCAATACTCAATACTTTATTGCTTTCCACATGTATTCTTAGGTGGTAGTACATACTTATAAATAGTTCATTGTGTAGTTCAATTAAACATTCTCAGTAGTTTCTAGCAAAAAGACTATACGTCTACTGATAATGTTGGATTTACGACCTCACTCAAGATGCAATATATAAAGGTATTAATGAATTTTACACAATGTGTGTTGGGCTGTAGTTAATTGTCATACGATCAAATATATCAGATAATGAATAAACAAGCATGTCGAATGCTATAGATATAATAAGTAGGAGTCGAAGATGAGACTCGAAGGCGTCAGAATAACAAATATAAGTGAAGCATTTAGTATTTTGTTGAATGTACAGAACATATATGTATATGAAGCTGACGTAGATAGAGTAGTGGAGGGACAAGTGGCGATAAACATAGTAAATGTCTAACTAAATACAGTAAGTACCGGCTGCCAGTCACTATTAGACGTGCTCAGTCACTTGCCGCATTTAAAAGAATGGTGAAGGACCACTACTTGGCTTGTTAATCCTGTCATCACACTGTACCTATACTTTCTAATCACTATCAATTTTATTTATTTATCATTTTTGTTCTTTATATTTTATGTTCTCATATTATGCATGTATATGTATTTATCTCAATGTATGCCATTAACTGCCCCGTTCCAACCTCTTCTATAGTTTGATTCCATCCAAAGGTTGTCTGGAAGAGATTGCTTTTTAGCGATAAGACCGCCTTTTGTACTCATGTTTGTTTGTTTTTATATATTTTTTATGTTCTTGTCCTAGTGGTGTACAATAAAGAATATTATTATTATTTTGTATGTTCCTTTCCACTCACGGGACCACAGGGTCCCGGACTTTTGGAAGGCGTACGAGGGGCCGAAGCCAACTCGCAGAGGCCCTTTGAACAACTTTAATATAAGTGAAATGGGACATCAGCCGGCAATTATCCCTGTATGCACTATGAAAGTGCACCCAAGGACAATCCCCGGTTGATGCAGGACTATTGCGAAATGTGGTAAAAATTTAAAGGGTTATGGGTTGCTATGGACTGGTGAATATGATAACTATGGAAATACTATGGCCCCTGCCCCTGACCAATATTGATACATACGGATAAACAGGCAGGGGGTGACTGGCAAACTCAATTAATGGGCCCCCGGAAACGGCCGCTAGCATGTAGCGACAAGGGGGCAACATACGTTGAGCTGCTTGGGGAAGGAGAGGTATCCCACGGCTATCAGAGCAATCCCGGAAGTACGGTCAAGACCCCTACCAGCATCTTACTGAGATACATCCTTCCCCCAAGTCTCCTTCAACTCCTACTCTTGCGAAACTCCACTCAAGCCAGCCAATTAAGGCAAGAATGAGGTAGGAGGGCTTGTTCTTCATCAGTGTTCACTCCAGCTCGTCACGAGGACTAACCGGAGAGAGAAGAACAAGACACCTCCCGGGAGTCAGGTCCGTGGGGTCGCCACTGCCCAACAGCTCGCCACAAGCTGCCTTGCGGATTATTATTATTATTAAGTTTCATCAGATTAATGCTAGCTTTTTTTTTGTCAGGGGAAAATTATCAAATGGCGAGAGAGAGTGTTAGACTTTTACTGACTAAAGTACTCCCCCGTTCCTTCTCCTGCTCCGGGCCGAGGCCGCGGTGACTGATTGCGCTTAACCCGCAATACCGGCTGAACATCAGCCCTATAGGGCCCCCGCTGTGGACGCTATGCACCGTCCGCTCGGGTCTGGTTCTGTTTGGCGAGCTACCCTTACCCTACCAGACCCGCGCTTACGGTGCGGTGGCCGGAGATCATCTCTCGATCCCCGACGCCCGGAACGTCGCCTACTGCGGCGGCTGGGGCGCGAGGAGGATAGTTCCCTTACGGGCTTCGCCTCCTCCTTTGCGAGCATCACTGCTTCGCAGAAAGAGCAGACGGCTTCCCAGTTCCTTTCGCATTTTGTGCTATAAAGGCTGCTTATAGTATCTACCGATTTAATTGTGGTTTACAACAGTGCGAAGGTTTTGAATAAGTCCGGTTGCACCCCCACTCTGTCAATACCACTGCGCAAATCCTTCATTCAGAGATACATGGCGGGCCTATACTACCAGGTATTCTGCTAATAATATAATGCGAAAGTTCGATGATTGTTACTCAATCACGCTAAAACGGCTGAACGGATCTGGATAATGTACATACAGGCTTAGGATAAACTCCGGAATGGGACATAGACTACTTTTATCAACACACATATGTACTTATGATATGATAGATATATGCTCTTTGTATCTTTGTTGTGTTTGTTATAACTTACCCATTGTATTTTCTATATCACTGGTAATCAGTACGTTTAACAGCTTTTTCATTTCTTTCACAATATCCGGTCCCATTCTTGAAAAGGTCCCTTGGGCGATTAGTCTGTTATGTGAGAGACAGTTAAATTTTATTATAAAACTTCCTTTTTTTAGTAGTTCCAAACTATTGTGATACTAAAGAGTCCCATTGTAATACAATTAGTAGAGTTTTTCTCAGATTATTCAAGTAAGTAAGTCGTTATTTATCCAAACTAATATTATAAATGCGAAAGTAACTCTGTCTGTCTGTCTTTTCTTCACGCCTAAACTACTGAACCGATTTCTGTGATATTTGGTACAAACATAGTTTGGAACTCCAGAAAGGACATAGGACAGTTTTTATACCAAAATCTGCAGGAATACACTATTCTATGGGATATGGGAACGAAGTAATAAATAAAGCTAGTAATAAATAAAACTTTTGTTGAGATTTTGTTACAAAATAATTAAGTTTGATCAACGTCAAGGTAAGTTTGATCAATGTTATTGAGGAACTGTTAGTAGAACACAGGTCATTGTGACATTACGGTATAAAGTATCGGTATTAGTAGTAATCGAAATCTCTATTGTTGTAAATCTCCATCATACTTACTTGTCTGCTTCTGAAGTAAACGCCTTCGTCAATGCGGCTGCGCTTATTATATCCTTCGAGCCTATAAGTTCTGAGAATTTAACTATGAAAGCACTGCCGTAACCGAGGTGGTTTATGGCCATGTAATTCTTCAGGTCTTGTTGTAACAAACTTTCTGAACCTAGGAACAACAGACAACATTCTACTATAGAATATTAACTTATATAATAATATATTTGTTGGTGTATTGGACAATTAATGTTGGACCTTCGTAGAATACGCACGCAGCCACGTGTTCGGAACATTAAGTTCAAATCCAAGCTAATCTTAATTGTCCTTTTTTATGTAATAGGTCGGCAAAGAGTATACGAAACAACAGAGGAGTTACGAGTGCGTTGCCGACCTTTTGGGGATTAGAGATTTGGAGATTTAGGGATTGGAAGAGGGGAAGGATTGGGCCTCCGGTAACCTCACTCACACCGTGAAACATAGCGCTGTGGTTGTTTCACGACTTTTTTATGTGAAGCCGTGGTACCTATTACTCCTTTCGAGCCGACCCAATCGTACCGAAGCATGACTCTCCCACGCTGTCCTTAGTTAAATTGTAATAGTTGTGATTGTAATATCAAGAGTTGTAAGAAGAGTGATTATAGCAACATAATTTTTTTGAAATACTGTCTTCCTACCAGACAATCCGCGTCTAACTGAACATGCCAAATAATTCTAATAATAGTCGAAAGACTTCATACTTATGCATCGTGGGATTTGTAAAAGGATTACCTATGTAATGTAGCAAAGCCATGCTCAATTTATTTTACAATTTCTTTCCCTTTTCAGCTATTAGTTAGTCAGTTGAAGAATTTACTAATAAATAAACTAGTCCAATTATGAGTTTCAGATGAAAAATTCTTAAAATTCATTGATTTGTTTTTTCGAAAACATTCCTTTGAATCGGGTCTGCCTAGTCGTTCTAAGTGTATAGTATATCGTATATATAGTAGTAGATAGTATAAAATGGCTCTTAGCGGTATAAGTTGGCATTACTTCAGTGACCTAATCAATGGGTAAGTTTTCGGGAAAGGCTATCAGGACTCAGGTCTTCACCAAATCTATTATTACATTATCTTTATTTCAGAAAGGTCAAAAAGTCAAAAGGTCCCTATTTCAGAAAGGTATGTAAATCTGTATTTCAATGGAAAAGTACAGTCCATAAATTGTTAGTAAGTTAGTAACAAAATGTGCTTATAGGTACTATGTTAGTGTAGTTACTACTGACTGCACGGTGGGTGAGTGGGCTGGGCAACTGGCTGCCGTGCAACGTGTCGAGGGTTTGATTCCCGCACGGAACAACTCTTTGTGTGATCCACAAATTGTTGTTCCGGGTCTGGGTGTCATGCGTATGTGAAATTGTATGTTTGTAACCGCACTCACGACACAGGAGAAAATCCTAATGAGGGGCAAAGTTTTTTTAGAAAAAAACAGTTTACAATTAAATAGAACCTATTGACAATTTCATCTAGTGCCGTTACGAGTGCCACGTGAGCATTGCGTAGGGAAGCCGCTTTTTTACGCATGATAGCCTGAAAGCTATCCGTGCGATGCAAACAATCCACTACAGCAGCTCGGCAATCGCAAAAGCATCTTAAAAGCGCTGTTATATTGTGTGCGTGTAATGTTAAACATGTATGAAAGTAAAACAGGGGTGTGATTCTGTAAGACTTCATTCTAAACTTCGAATCTGAATCCGCGGTGAGTTTCTTGATTGGCATTCTAAAACTCGATTCCTAACTCGAATCTATGCTAGCGCTACACTTGCGAGTGTGTTTACGAGTTGAACTAAATTGACCGCAACATTTTGACAGATAAAGTATGAGATAACGTTGAAAATCGTATTCTATAATGTAATTGCCCCGTCACTTCGACGCTCACTTCGAACTAGAACAAGATTCAAAATGTCAAATTAAAAGTATCTATTTTACGAGTGAAAATGGAAGAAATAATAGTTAGATAGTGTTCAAATTAAGTTTTGAAAGTAACAATGTGAATAAGTGCTTACCTATTAAAACGATAACGATGGCAAGAATGTTTTTGGTAAAATCTTTGTTAGAAGAAGCTCATGCTTTAGATAAACAAGAAATGCGTCGACAATCTAGCACCATTCGAAGTTTGTCTTTATTAACCTGAGATGACGACTATGTGAGCGTGTATGTGCAATGGAGCTGATTGACCAACTGGAGGATGAGGCCTTTGATAAAACCCACAAAACGGCGAGGCAAAGGACTTTGGTATGGTATAGTTCATAACATGTATTACCTGGTTAGTTATGTCCCTACTTCAGAATATATAAGTCTAATTACTAGGTTTTATTTATATGTGATTGGTCGGAAACGGATTACCTGATAGAAAGGATTCAGCGCCGCCAATGGATACCCGCAACAACAGAGGGATTACGAGTGCGTTGCCGACCTTTTGGGGATTATGGATTTGGAGATTTTGACACACATTCACACGGCGAAACACAACGCTATGGTTGTTTCACGCCAGTTTTCTGTGAAGCCGTGGTATCACTCCGGTCGAGCCGACCCATTCGTGCCGAAACATGGCCTTCGCACACTTAAAATAGTATAAGTACTAGATAGTCATTCGATTTTTTTCAGGTGATTCAGGATATGCTCAACGTGCCTACTTTATGACACCATTAGTGGTGCTGAAGCCAATTCCCCAGAAGCATTTTAAAATAACATACATGCATATTACTGCTCGCAATTTTGAAGAGAGGACAATTAGAGACGAAATTATGTTCAATTGCTGAAGTTCAAAGGAAGCAAACTAGGAATTTGCCATCTAATACAGGTTTAAATCTAGGACGTAGGCAAAATATAGTGCCTCAAAGAGCCAATAGACCACCACAGACGGAGCCCTACAGGGCTGATGTTCAGCCACGGTGGCGGGGTAAGCGCAATGAGGTGCCACGGTCACGGCCTAAAGCAGGAGAAGGAACGGGGGGGTTTTAGTCAGTAAGAGTCTGACACTATCTCGCCTTACCCTGGGCGGGAGAAGTGATATGATGATTTTCCCCTGACAAAAAAATATGATTATGATTTTATTTAATTTTATTTTGATTTTAATTCAATTAGGGTCTTGTATGATTTTATTTTTTCCACATTTTTTTATGCGTGTGATTTCATTGTTTTATTACATTTTTTTCTTTTAATTTAGCCTTACGAGCCTAATTGTTAGACCCTAGTTAATTTATTGTATCCCATAATTGTTTGAATATACAATTGAGTTAAAATCAAATAAATAAATAGTGATATGTGAGGATGGGTTTTTAACTAATAAAACTGCTAGTACTCGTTAAAATTGTTTAATTTAAATATAAAAAAAAATTTGGTTGAAACGTCTTAAACACTAAAACACAACTTCGTTGTTACACCCTATCTCGATGCATGGCCTCTGCCAATGCTCACAATCCATTCCAGATTGAAACTACAGATCCAGCTAAAATTTAATCATTCCCTAGACTTCTCTTCAGAAATGCTTGCAAGATCTGCGCATTTGATATTTGTAAATTCTTCCAATTGATTTGAAATCGTCTACTCTTCCACCTTCAGGAATCTCTCTGTGATGTTGGAGAATTCCGTTCGCCGTTGTGATGTTGGAGGAGCAGCAACTGAAGATGTGTGACGTGATACTGAAAAGAGAACACCGATTAATATGTGCATTGATAAAAACTCTTTAACAAATTGCAGCTTTTCGCTGTCGTTTGTTCCAAAAATTAAGTTCTTTCTTCAACCTCTGATAGCTCAACTTCATCTTCCACCACACCAGTCCTGTCCTGCGCCTAGCTGCTAAGCTTCTTATGGCGCTTTTTTCTCAGACCAATACTACAAGCAGACATTTATATTAATAAAGAAGTTATTAAAAAAAGCCTTACTTTTTATTATTATTAATAGTCAATGTAAAATTAAAATAAGATAAGTTATATAACCAAGGAGCACGCCAAGATTCATCGTTATTTTAAGTGGCTTGCATTAAGGAATATTAAATGGTTTTAACATGCCAAAGTAAGCACTACTTACTTCACCTTGGTCCTCTGTTTATAAGTTTTGAAAGTGCCACCTATACCATACAGGCACACGGCTAGTTCCTTCCACTAGCGCCGATTTCGCTCTCTGGCACCTTGAGTTCTCAAGAAACCCTTCGCCAGCCAGGTAAAACCTGTGATGACGACGGGTGTGAGGAACGTATCTCATTTGGACTGAAACATTATGGTTTGATTAGAAAACAAAATAAACACTCTATAATAAATATTATTTTTGAACTTTACAACCAGTAATAAAACTTACTTCATGTTTATGATCTCTCTTTTTATCGGCAAACACGGAACAGAAAAAATATACGAATAAACCAAACGTGGACAAAATAATACAAAGCAAATGACAAAGAGTTTGTCAACAATGAATGAAGACATTATCTGTCAGTTTCTTTTTGGTAAACGAAGCACAGATTATATTCATCGCCTGAATTTACAGTTTTCTGTTTATTTTGTAATAATTAGCTGCCTAAAATTCCTTAAAATAAGAAATTTCAATTTATACGTCATAATATCTAAAATTCTGTGTCAAAAACTTGTTAAAATAAAAACCGATAAATCTCGACTTACATTTTGTGTAGTGTGGTACTACACTAGTACAGTATTGGCCTATTCGGAGCTCACTCCACTTCGCAAGTGCCTAGGTGATGCTTACAGAATGCAAAATCAACGCCATTTTGAACCTTATGCGAAGTGAGAGAGAATGTCGACTTGACATGCGAGTTTGTGTTAGAATTTTATAGAATCGACGTGCAGGAATGATTGTACTTAGATACTTGGTGTGTTGATTAACGCAATATTAAAAACTGGACGTACCCGCGCTATTATTCGGGAATGGCCAGTTAGGTGGGTGGGTCATATCCAACGCCATATCTTCTGTTGTCATGAACACGGAGGGTGTACTAGATGTATATACAGGCACTGTATTCGGAATATCGCTTTTCGAAACTGAAAATATAAGAAGATACTTACTACTTAGTATTCTTTGTACTTCTTTAGCATTTACTCGAAGTAAATGTATAACGTCAGTGTTTTTGAGGTTATTTTTTTTCTAGAAAATATGACCAATACAGATTTACTGACCCACACTCCAATATAAAATGATAAAGGTGCTAAACGTTTGGCAATTTGGAAAAGAAGACTAGAGTAGTATTGTAGGTAATCGGTATTATTAATTCCTAGCCGAGTTTTGTACGGCATAAAGCCTTGGTTTTAATGGTAACTTTATGTATGTTGAGGCCATATCGTAGATTTGCTCATTTCATGGTATACTTGAGTACCTATTTATTTATTGTACACCACTTAACATAAAAGGACACTATTATAAAACAGAGTGTATAATAATGGACGGTCTAACTGCACGAAGCGTTCTCTTGCAGTCAACCTTTGGATGGAGCTATAGTGAAGAAAGAAAGGTCTTGTATACAATGTATACTGTTCATAAAATTCATAAACATATGAGTATTGCATTATATTGTGGTCAAGTTAATTTGAGCAGATCATCAAATTAACAAAATTTTACAATTTGGCCATTCACGTTTGGTCAAGTCGTAAAATAGGAGTATCAACAGCGGAGACTTTTTGGTCACGTCATTGAAACTAGGTGAACCTATGAATTATTATTTCACCAGTGACATGTGGCTACTTTTAGAGTCGGGCCACCTTTACACAATTGCTTACTGCCACAACTTTCCAAAACTACTGCAAATCCTTTAAACTAAGATGTACAATAAGTAATTTCCAATAAATCTGAAGACATTTTTTTAGGAGGACATAAATAAAATAGCTCGTACCTTCTTCGGTGAATTTGTTGCATTAGGTAAAACGACTTAGGCCTTAAAAGGAATAAAAGAGATTGCACAACTGGGAAAAACCCAGGTGTGCAATGACAGGTTTAGGTTATGTAAAAACTAGCGGAGATCTAGCGTAGCAAGCGTGCCAGCGTAGCCGCAGCAGCTATAAGTATAATTCGTATCACCACTTGATTAGAATCATTTCTCCTGAATGATATCAATAGCACAGGCAGTGCATCTACCGGTAATGGCCTAAACTATTATACGCTGCGACTAAATAATCCTCACTACAGACTTAAACTAGTTGCGCATTTAGTTCCCCACATTGACAAAATTATTATAATGCCGAAACCAGATTATTATTGATTTCATGTAGTGCAATCATTTGAAGTGAGCAAATCTACAAAGCATCCAATTTTATATTCACTAACGAATTACATATTTTAACTTTTTAACATAATATTTTAGAGTTGGACTTGTTCGCAGTTTGCGTACCAAGAGACTGTGAATGGTTGGACTGGCGCACCCACTTCTTTACTATGCCACGTATCAATGGATCATGGCTTTCACTGTGTGCTGTTGTAGTGGTTATTTGAGCGCTTAAGTTTGGGGATTTGGCTGAGGCTATCAAAGTAATTCTAGTGGTCAGGTTGGGGCGCTGGTTGTCGCTCACTGTAGTATTTAATACAGCTTGTCGGACTGACAGGATACGCGTTGTTTCCGCTTGCTGTTTTGTCGTACCAGGCAATGGCAATCGGAAGTCTTCCCACCAAATGTCTGTGGTTGGATATTCCATGAATCTTGGTTCATCTTTGAAATTCACATCGTAATCGAGTCGTGTCAGAAACTTTCGTTCACTTTCTATTTTGCCCTCGATGTCAGCTAGCATATCATTGACGTGCGACAACGACCTCTGAAGTTGATCTTTGAGAGTTAAATTTGTTTCTGTAGCTGAAATAATAGTTTTGCTTTAGTCAAAGGCAGTTTGAATGTGTTCATTTAATAAAGAGGTCGTAAATAAATATCGACAGCCCGGGGTGGCAAGAGTGGGCAAGAGTTTGGATGAGTGGCAGCTACGACAGAGGTCATGCGAATCATCAATTTATTTAACAAATGAACCAAGTCTTGATGACCCTAAAATATTATCCTTAAAAAGTTAGTAATGAAATCTCTAGACAATATACTGCAATTTCTATTTTTTATTTTGTTTTGTTAGTTGAAATCTATCCAATTTTTAATTCAAGTGGGTTATACGGTAGTTTCCAACTAGTCAAATTCAATACTGTTATCCAAATGTCAAAAACTATACTTTACAATGAAAGTTGTATGAAATACTGAGTTCTGACGTCATAGTATTTTTGCTTCTAATAATTTACTTATTTCTGAGAAATTAGCTAAAAAATATCTAAAATTTAGTGTTTATTTTATAGTGCTAATTATTGCAAAGAACAATAAGAAGATTCCAGTATTTGAACGGCGTTCGGTACAAAAGCATCAGGATCTTAACCAGAAGTTTTCAAATTGGGACTTGAAAATGCGGTGAAATGTTTTCTGTAAGCGATGGTAGAGCTGTGTTTGCTTCGAGCTCGAGTTAGACTGCATTTGGAGTCTTTTTAAATATTTATAATTTTGTTTTTTTTAAAGTTACCTATTATTTAGAATTTAAAGTTTGACTTTTCGTTTGTAAATTGGATAGCTTACATTATTAACGATGAACTGTTAATCATGTGGGGTCAAATATAAAGTACCTAGGTACATGATATATGAATTTTTATAAATCACTTACTTAAGCTGACAGATATTCTCAGAACAGCGAAACTTAAAAATAAAACCAACATATTTTAACGTACACATTGCCAATATAAATACATAAAAGTAAAGTAAATATAATAAAAACAAGATTATGACCAATAAAATATACCAATAATAATAAAACTACGTAGATTTCTTATTTATTTCCAAGTGTGGGAGAGCCATGCTTCGCCGCGGCTCGACCGGAGTGATACATCGGCTTCACAGAAAACCGACGTGAAACAACCACAGCATTATGTTTCGCCGTGTGAATGAAGTTACCAGAGTCCCAATCCTTCCACTCCCCCAATACCTAAATCTCCAAATCCATAATTCCCATAAGGTTGGCAACGCACTTGTAATTTCTCTTTCGTTGCGGGTGTCCATGGGTGGCGCTGATTGCTTACCATCAGGTAATCCGTGGTAAACCTAACTCATAAAAAAGATAGCTGTTTATTGGTATGATTTAAAACCTAAAGCGCGCATGCAGGTTCAATATTTTGATAATAATGTGCAAGATTTAGTTTACATTCAGTAGAACAAATTTTCTCTATTTTTCTTTTTGTTGCATATACATACATACTTATATTATACACTGTGATACAGTGTGAATATTATCACTGCATATTTACATTAACTTCTGCCTTACCTCATACATTGATCAGGTTTTTTATGTCATGGCTACACCATAAAAATACATCTTTATCCGTGCCGCAAATCATCATCATCATCATCACATACATATACATATATACATACATACACGCCCAAAGATCCCTGAAAGGAAGACCAGATTACAATGCACTCACGTCAAAACGTATATTCAAAATCCCAATACCACGCACGACTTCCCTCTTAACCAGACGATGCCCTTCCTATCTCCACACAACTGTCTTCAACAACGTTCACCGCAGGTTACCAATTGACACAAATGAGCTGTCACTTTCCTCATGTAAGAGGATACTAAAAAAATGGTTAAAAGAACTTTCGTACGAAGAGACAGAAAATATTCTCACAACACAATCTACACTCGAAAGGACGCACTAACACCCCCCGCGCACCCACACACGCTCTCTCACACACACACACACACACACACACACACACACACACACACAAACACACACACACACACACACACACACACACACACAAGTATCAAGCTGAGACTGATAGATAAGCTAAGCTCGAATACATTTAAAATTTCTTACAATTATAATTTCTTTTTTCTTTCAATGTCTAGAAGGAGACAATATTTATTTAAAAAACGTTTAAATTACCTAGTTTAATATTAAGTTTTTTTATTTGTATTTTATAGAATGTTTTGTTTAAGTTTTTATTTCTGTCCACAACAAATGCACCACACACGTCCCGACCGACTTTCCTACTAAGGTTCTTTGGTAACCACAACTCGGGACCCCAAGATACAGGCCTTGCCTAGTTTGGGGACCGCCGTTCCAAAAAGCAATGTCCGCTACAACACCAAGTTACAACAAATAATTGTACCTAATAGTAACTAACTTTAAGGCAAACTTTATGTAACTGTGGATAAATAAATTTTATTATTATTTATTATTATTATCAGCTTATAAGTGCCCACTGCTGAACAAAGGCCTCTTCTCATACGGATAAGGTTAGAGAATTAATCACCACGCTTGCTCAATGCGGGTTGGCGATTTCAAACTAAGTTTAGCCAGGTTTCGAACCCACGTCCTCATGCATGAGAAGCGGGATCTCCGGGCCACCACGACACTAAATCACAAAAACACACTGAAGCATTTATAATATTCATTAAAATGAAACAAAATAGGTAGAATGAAAAACTAATTTATTTATATCAACAAATAATTCCTCGGTTTACATAGACAATGCACATAATTAATTAGTGGCATCTTGACCCTTGTTTGTTTAGTAATTACTTACAATTTCATTAAAATACATATTTATGTTGACCAAAGTCTAAACGGCTATCGATAATAAAATTAAAATAAATTAATATATTTTAATTACCTACCTATGTAGTTTATGGTTTAGGTTATTGTATGACATAAATAAATGATGAATAGTTAATAAAATTAATCAAGAGCCATGAAAGAGTTAGCGTTGATAAGGTACGTGTTGCAAAGGTTCTTGTTGTCGAAAATTTCTTGAAGTGTAGAGTCCAAATAAGTGTTGACAATTACAGCGCAGTTGAGGTCAGTGGTCACTTGAGCTAGGGGAGCGGTCAGTTGGTGCACGATGACTGGGCGCTGTGAGTGGCGCTGCAGGGCGGCGGGGGACGGCGCTGGGTGCGAGGACGCAGCACGCATCAGGACTATTTGAGAACGCAGAGCGTGCACGCGTGGTACGTAATGACGTGTGGCCTCGATACGCCTTAGAGCCGACTCAATCAGAGCACGCGCGTACTGAGCTGAATGCGATACACGACCGAGTAAGTTCCTAACGCAAGCGTCCACTTTCTGCGGCCAAGTGCTGGCTGCTTGTAATGCTTCATCAACTCCTGTGGAGTCACCTTCCGTCATGATGGAGTACATGTGTTTCGCTACGGCATCTTGGAGTTGCTCTTTAGTTTCATATTCTGCGAGTTGATCTTCTAGTCTGAGCACGAACTCGTCAGGGGCAAATCCAAGGCAGTATACGGTTCCAGTCAAACCTGTAGAGCAATCATTTTATGTTACAAAGGCGATTACACCTCAATTAACTGTAATAGTAGTAGGATGACCGAGCTTAAGTCGGTATTTGTTTTTTTTTTGACTTCAAATACTAGCTCGATAAATTTATGGCCCTGAAAACGTTTCTATACAAAAATTTTATGAAAATCGTTAAAGCCGTTTCTGAGTTTATACAAGAATTGCTCGTTTATACTAATAGATATAAGATTCACATAAGTAACTTGTAACAATGACTATTGTCACCCCTGAATTATCCCGGATTAAGGAATATGCCTCGATAGAGCATTAAAAGCCATTGGACACTCAATTTTCTCTAGGAACAATTTTCAATTGTTTTTAATTCAATTAGATGGCCCTAATTCAATTAAGAATTTTAATTTAATAATTGAAATTTCAATTGAATATTGGATAGGAAATTAGGATTTGAAAGACTACAAACATTCTAATTATATAAATGTTAATGATTCAAAAATGTCAATTCATTACGTACCATTCTTTTCCAAAATTTCAGCCATTTCTAACGCAATAAATATTCCGCTTTCATATCCTAGGAGGTAGAAGTTGTTCCTCAATCCCATCTTCTTCAGGAATACCTAAAAAAACAATGACACATGAACAACTGGGCAATGTAACATTTATCATTAAACTGTTTTATTGTATAAGGCGGAAAGTTTGCAGCTGATCTGATGGCAAGAAATTGGCTCTTGTAACCCCAGAGGAGGTACGATTACGTTGCTTTTTCTTTTCAATTCCTAAAAGGATTTCAGCCAGGAAAAGAGGATTGGGCTTCCGGTATTTAATATTTATTTATTTAATTATGCTTTATTGTACAGAATGAAATGAAGTTGTACAAAAGGCGGACTTAATGCCATAATGGCATTCTCTACCAGTCAACCTTTCCTGGCTTGGTTTTACGTTGATTAAAAGAGGGTTGAAAACTGATTGATTTATGAAATAGGGAAGTTAATTGATCATACAATAGCTTTTCATTTCTCTTTTTGTATGAAATAGGTCGGCAAACGAGCAGAAGGATTACTTGATGGTAAGCAATCAGCGCCGCCCATGGACACCCGCAGCGGAGGAGTTACGAGTGCGTTGCCGACCTTTTAGGGATTAGGGATTTGGGGATTTAGGGATTGAGGAGGGATTGGGGGAGGGGAAGGATTGGGCCTCCGGTAACCTCACTGACACAAACGAAAGTGAATTGTTCAAAATATAACTAAGCGATCTTACTTCAGCGAGCCTTTCTGCGGTTTCTTGTACAGTTTCGTTGAACAGATCGAGTCCAGGCTGCAGCACCAGCGCCGGCAGCTTGAGTCTCTCACACAGTACGCGGAACCTTTCGTAGTGGCCCTCCATACCAGGGATAATACACAGATACGTCTGGCTTGAGTCGAATTCGTCGTCTCTCTGTATTACATAAAAAATGTATGGTAAATATTAATTACAAACTACACTTCACACACACGGCCCATGGCCCGGAACAAACATTCTTAATTTAAACGTCTCTTGGTGTAAAACCCTTAGGTAAAACGTAGGCTTGAATTGGATACAAAGAACCATGCAGACACAAATGAAAAATGTTGGAAAATACATAAATTGTTAGAGTAGAGAAAGTTTGAAGAAGAAAGAAAGTAATATCATTAGGATATTTTGTTTATGTCTCAGGGACATGAACAGCTTGTCTGGATCCCGCAAAGAAATAAGAGGAGACAGAAAAAGAGTAAAAGAATTCGTATAGTTTCCATTTTCTTTGGTGTTTTATTATTATTCATTAAAAGCATAATAAACTTGTGTGGAAACTAGCCTTGTCATCCTGCGCTAATGGGTGAAGATTAGTTGCCATGCAACACGGAAATTTGACTAAACTAAGTAGCTTCTATGTGGAGTAGACCAAGGTTTGTTGTGACACCTTCATGACTTACCATAGCGGCATCGTTTACAAGCGTCGGCAAGAATACGAAGTCAGTCGTCGCCAAAAGTTCGTCAGAGTCCACGTTGGTGAAGAACGTCGCTAGGCCCTTCTCATCTTTGAATTCCGATTTGGTGATAGCTTTCTCATATTTTTCGATACTAAAACAAATGTTTTTCATTAAGTTGATGGTTTTACTTGACAGATAGAATAGTTGATAGATAAATAAATGTAACTAAAAATTCAACTGCAAGAATCAATCGAAAAATTAATTTCGACATTTGTAAAGCACTAGGTATACTACTCACGCATCAATCGTCAAAGCCAGCAAATCGCTCTCTTCGAAGACCAACTGGTAATTGATTCTCAGGTATGTGCAGATTCTTGTCAGTTGTTCCTTCTCAATGCCTAATTCTTCGAAAGTCGTTTGTTTGTTGACCTTGTCATCAATAGTTACACCTGTGAAATAAAACAGTATTTGAGGATGCTGTATACCTGTGTCAAATGTGCATTTAGTATAAGAAATATTTTACCAAAAGTAAGGAAGGCTTAATACATTTTCATAACTCTAGATTGAATGACTCTTTGAAATTATAGGAGTAAAATTGAATGTAATGTAACTAACCAGCAATGGCAGCAATTTTCTGCAGCAGCGAGACTTGCTGGGGAGGCGCCGTGGTTGCTTGAACGACATTGTGCGAGCCACGCAGTGCTCTCTCCAAAGCCTCCGTTGCGCCACGGTACCATGCACCTTCAGTCACGTACTATCAAAAAAAGAACATTTCTCAGATCCAAAGCACACGTAGTAGGCATCAATAGACCATGCACATAAGTGGAGTCGATAAGTCAAGGTCAGGCACACAAGGATATTTACAAATGAAGCGCAATTTTTAATTTAAGTAGCAGGATAGTGTTTGTCACCTGTTTTATTTAATTTAACATAAGAAACTTACGTTTGACAACTCTGGTAGCGACAGTATGGTCGCCGGTAAGTTGTCCTTAGCACGACGAAGACATACTTCCCTTCCGATTGAGTTTTCACCAGTACTTAGAACTGCGAAGTATCTGTCAAATACAAATGATAATAAGAATCAGAAAGTGGACATAAAAAGTTAGCTTCTTAAATTACTAGATGGGTTAAAAAATGGTGATCAGACAGATATGCATCGATAATAAGTCGAGATTTAAAACTATTAAAAAGATAATGAGTTTTCTTTAAAACACTTGTATCGAATTTTTCATAACTTACTTAATTTCGGGGCAAAGTTTCCTGGAGGCCTTGTCAAGGATGTTGAGGAAGGCTTCGTCGATAACCCGCTGCTGGTCCCCAACAGTCACGTACACACCTTCCACTGGGCCCACCGCCTTAGCTTTGTTCAGTAGAACACTAAGATCATCCTCTTTTTTCAATTCATTAGTCAAGACGACGACTTCAACGCCCGACTCTTGCCAAGACCTGGAAAAGAAAAAATTAAATTCTGAATATCATTAACTGAACATTTCAATTTCTTATTAGAGAGAAAGAAAGAGAGAGAGAGAGAGAGAGAGAGAGAGAGATTGAATGAGAGGGAGAGAAAGATAGAGAAAAATATAGAGAAGAATTTACCTAATTTTGATCTGGAGGTAGCTGGAATGTTTCTGGTAATGCACACAAATCTTTTTGGCACCACGTTCAACCAGTCTGTCACCGATTTGTAGGCCGAAGGTGTCATCGTTGCAAATAATCAGGTGGGTGCGGTCAGCGCTGCAGGTGATCCTGGAGAAATAATTGTGATTTACAATTTAGGTAAACGTGAGATTCTTTTGAAATAGGATGAATGACTCCTTCTTCTGCTGTCAAATACTAAACAAGTACTAAAAAAATAACGTTTTTATTGCTCTTTGCTGACCTACTACAGTTACTTAGATTAGAAGTCCAAAACAAAAGACACAATAATGCCTCCGAGTCGTACCTGGGTTGAGCCGGTAGTGTAGATTCTCCTATCTTCAGAAGCACACGGCCGCGGTGCCTACTGGCAGCTACCAAGCGGAACGCGCTCGGCGCGTCTTGTGGAGCATACGTGACGCGGGACAATGGACGCACGTAGCCACGAGTTATACCTTCACTCAACATACGTTGCAGGAGCTGTAACAAATGTAAAAAGGTTTGTTGAAAGATCGAAACCTCCTTCGACCTCACGACTGACGATAATAGTAAAAATTAACGACATTGAATTTTTACTTAATTTCTATGAAGATTATAATGTCGTCGTGGCTAGGATGTTAAGGTCTTTCATGCATGAGGGTGCGGGTTCAAAACCTGGTAAGTACAAAAGTGGCTTTCTGCAAGTTATATGTAATTTCTATGATTATTTAGACACCACTGACATAAAATATGGTGAATCAAAATGTCGTGCGGAAACCTGGACTTATAGTTTCTCACTTCAATTTTGAAATTGCTAATCCGCGTTGAGCAATCGTGGTGATTAAGCACAAACCTTCTCCTTGTAAAAAGACCTTTACACACCCTTTGCACAGCAGTAGGCACTTATAGGCTGATGATGTGAATTATAATATTTACCTTGACGTCCTCAATATTCGCGGGGTCATATATGGAAGAGATGTCCACAGCAGAGTAGGCGCGGTCCATGGTCAAACTGTACATTCCGTAGGAGAACACATCGTGGTTGTGCAGCTGAGAGGTATCAATGAATGTACCCAGACTCTTTGTGCAGTTAATTGAAGTCTGAAAAAACATAAGAAAATCATAGCACAAAAGCACTGCGGTGTTTCCTAAATAAAAAAAAATATTCCTTCCTTAAATATAGTAAAATATTCAAAATGAATCAGGCATTATTGACAATATACTCTTTTACTAGCTAAGGTTTAAGAAATATGTTGAGATTTCTAACAAATTTCATATTATAAAAAAATACCTATCGTTTTTAGCATTTGGCTAAGGAATTTGGAAACTGGTATTGAATTTGACTATTGGTCAACTGCCGTAAATACGGACTACGTAACGCCCATATACCATGTAAGTGACCTATCAGTACGGGTGAGTATTTGTCAAACAGTAAACACAACCTAATATATGTATAAAAAGATGACCTACCGCCTTCAACTCTTCTCCCAGAGAACTGATGACAATGTTACATCCTGCTCCTCTGGTTGCACTCATCACCATGTCAGAAAAGCTGTGGTCACGGGAGTTACCGATATGTTCCGCTGAAAAATGGATAAAAAAACATTTAGCTTAATACTGTTTTAAGCGTAACTAGGTAGATAGAAAACAGGACTTGGTAAGCCACTAAGTCATCAGACACGGCAAGTCCACCGCAGCTTCTATTCCGACAATCTTGTCGTAGTATTTTCGTAACATCAGATCATGTTTTGACTAGGGGACATTTCAAAGATGTAAACGACCCTTTTTTCGCAGAACACACTAATTACCTTTTAAGTCAGGGAACAATTTGCGTAGGAAATGTTTCTTGCGCATGTCACTGACGGTGGTGAAGACCTCGTAGCCGTATGCCAGGGCTATGGATATGACAGCCTGACCGAAAGCGCCAGCTCCACCGTGCACCAGCACACTCATGTCGCTAGTAATCTGCTTACGACTTTTCAGTCCCTAAAACGGATAAAGAGAAATTAGATTTTTCTTTGTCATCGGTTCGAAATATAAGAAGTATGGACACGACTACTGCTTGAATTTAGTTAAATTTTGGTAACATCCTCACCAAGCAGTAGAGCGCATGTGCGTAGGCGAGCGGCACGGTGGCGGCGTCCTCGAGTGACCAGTGCGCGGGCACCGGCCACAGCAGCTCCGGCCGGGCGTGCACCACGCTGCTCGCCGCGCCGTGAGCCACCAGGCCCATCACGCGCTCACCACTACCACGAAAGCAATACAAAGTTATAGATAAGTGATGCAGCTACTTTGTATTTCTAAAAATTGTGGAACGGTATTTAGAGAATCAATAAGGTTAACTGAAACTATACCGATTGGTGTTGAAAGTTCTTTCAATATAATATGACAATGATGTGGAAATGGCACATGAAACATTGCATTAAATGCTAAATAGAAATGCAGAGGTAAATTTTACCTCTTGGTGGTTCCACTGAAGTCCATACCGAAGGCATTCTTCAGGTTCTCCTTGTACAGCAATGATCCACTTGCTTTTTTAACATCATCGTAATTGATGCCAGCGTATTGCACCTGGGGTGATTGAACAGATCTTGTTAATTATCATGTAAGTTATTTAAGAGTACCATTTAGCACTGGACAATATCAACACACCTTTACGGCTACACCAGATTTAGTGAGTTCTGGAGCTTCCACCCAAGTGAGTGAATCGTAATCACCAATTTGAGAGCATTGTAGTGTCACGTTCTTGCTGACTACTGGTTTCTCCTCCAATGACACGTAGTACTCTCCTCCCCATTTACCCTGAAAAAGAATAAAAAACAAATTTGACGTGAACACTTCATGTAAAGCTACGATTACAGGAATTACAAACAAGTTGAACTAAAACTGATATATTCGTGTCTTTCTTCAACACAATCATTATTTTATGTCGGATCTAGAAGAATACTTCAGATCCGAGTCCATTTTTCCTAGGAGGTATCAACATTGAAAAAGAATTTCGTCCACGTTAAAACACCGCAATTAATAAGATACGATGGTTTTCAATAAGTCTGTGACCTTTTGAATAAAACGCTTTTTTTTTGTAAAATATATAATTTTATTGTTCAAAATTTCCCAAACATCTCTATCTCTTACAAAAAATGAGAGAACAAAAATTTATATGTGCAATATTGATATTTGATAGATGACTTCAGAGAAACCAATTTTTCAGGTAATGAATCAAAAAGCGAGGATAATGTACTGTGTGCAATTTGTATAAATGTTTACGTATATGAAGAAATAGGTATAAAACCTTGAATATTCTCAGACGTTGTTTTTGTCACGATGAAATAAAGTTTGTGGTGTAGACGGTGTCACGGACTTATTGAGCCAGTTCCCCAACCATAACAGAAAAATAGCTAAACATCATCTTACATTGTCCATGACGTTGTATGCCAGGTCGATGTCGGGAACCTCATCGACATAGAAACTATCATTGCTGTCTTTTGCAACCATAATGAGGTGGATTTTGTTGCGGCTGGCTTCATTGCGCCATTTAGCCACTAGCTCTTTAAGTCCTGGTACTGTTGGGTAAGGTGCAATGATCAGGAGTCTGTGTCCTACGGGTAGATTATTGCGCGTGGAGACAAGCAATGGAATGTCTGCGGCTGATCGCACGGTCACGGTTGCCGTAGCTACTGCGGTCGATGGTCCCCAACGAATCAGATGGAGGAGGGACCGTCGCTGGCCGTTCTCTTGGATGTTGTGGGCGGAGAACACTCGATACAACGAGGATGGGCGAGTACGACCACCAAAGTTGAGATCCTCTTCGCTTATCAAGAATTGGTCCTTTTGCAGAATACGGTGGAGAAGCTGGCATAGCTGTTGAAAAGTTATAATAAAGCAATGTGATTGTGGTTTAGCGAAACTAGTAAATATTTCATTGCATATTAAACTACAAAAATAAAAGCTCAATAAAGGCAATATACAATATAAAATACTGTAAATGAACTCACCCCATCGTCTGTAGACAAGTTTTGTACCAGCACTAGATCAAAATCTTGTAGGTTTGGTTTCTTTATTGCAGCTTCACGTGTGATTTCGTCGTAGGTTACATTCAAACCGAAAACGTTTTTGATTGCGTTATTTATTTCATTAAACATTAATCCTTTTGCTGGTTGATTTACAATACCAACCACCTTCAAATCGACTTTATTAACATTCTCTGCTACGGTTTGTAAATAAACTTCTAATGAAGTTGCAATCTGTGGATATTACAAATAATTATTGGTCGTTGTACCTAGTTTTTATTTATTGTGTTCTTCTTGTTCTTTACCTATTTGACGCATTTATACATATATGTAATCTTGAATGAATAATACGGTTTTGTGTTTTTAAGCCATACAAATCTAAGCGCTATAGTCGCATAGAAGAGTTTATAATGTGTAATGGAAAAATTAACATGACTTGATATCTTCTACTATTTCAATTAGGTTTACTTACATCAAGCGCAGTTTGAGAATTCGGGACGAACTTCAAAGCCTTCAATGTCATGTCTTTGTTTACAATTGGAGGTAAGTTATCTAATTTAATGTTGCACATGGACACACCACCGCATCTGGAAATAATAGCAATATTGTTGTTATATAGACAAAACAATATACAAAATAGAATTTAGAGTTAAATGACAATTCTAAGAAGATAGAATGAATAATTTTATACACGTAATGATGACATTACTAGAAAGCTAACCTGGTCATGTTCAAATTCTCCAAAACCTCAGCCTTCATCAGAACTTTGTAGTCAGAGACGAAGGATTTAGCAACAATTTCCTCGTGTTTCTGAACATTGATGGTCAGGTTTCTGATGTGTGTCGGGACGGAGACACCATCATGTTTCTGTCTCAGCATGTTCAGCTGCAGCAGGCCATCGATGAAGGTCACCCAGTTATCCCTCCATATCAACGAAGCCTCCGTCAGGGATGCATTGACACCTTCGATGCTGCGGAACTCACCGCTGTGTGGATAGAAAAGTGAATTGGATTATAATAGGAGTGGGAGTATATTTTGAAGGAGAATTTTGCATGATGTAAATATGCCAATCTGTACAATAGTTATTATAAACAGAACTCTATTGCCTAATGTGCATCACTCGTCTACTTCATCAAACAATCTTAGAAACAATTCATGTGATCCAGGCATGCAATGGATATACACCTTAGAGATTTTCTTATATTACCTGTACGAGTAATCTCTGTCCCTGAGCAGGTGGTAAACATCGTCAGCAGTCAGATCTATGTTGACCTTGGTGTCTACCTCTGTTTTGGTTTGGGTTTTCTTCAACTCATCAAGGTCTAAAGCCACAATGGTTCCAATCGCCAGCTTAACATCTTCGTTCAGAATCTGCAACATTGAGTTATTAATAAAGTAAATAAATATGTCGAATACGATAATTTAGCGATACTAAGATATTCAATGAGTTCTTAATACCGAGTAGAACGCCGTGACTTGGTCTTTGGATGACGAGTCACGTGAGCGGAATCGTTTGAAAGGGGAGGTGATGTATAGAATTTGGTGGAACATTGTGTGGAGAAGTCTTTGGTAATCCATGAAGCACTTCTGACCTTCTTAACGGGACCGCTGGTTAACTCGGCTTAAATTATAATCAGTGGTTCTATACTTAAGCCTATAACAAATTTATAAACTAAATACTAAGAATAAAAAGTGATTGTGACATATACATATAGTTGTCGTTTGACAAATCTACTCCATGAATCTTCTACCAGATAACCTTACTTACTGCTGTGCCGTTAACGTATCGCATTATCCATCAAATATATGTTTTAAACAACCTGCAAAAGCAATTTGTTCAAGTCAAATGCTCATAGGAAAAGTTTTCGATACTAACTTCAAACTTGCCAGCGCCTCTGTGAAGGCACATGCTGAGACGCAGCTGACGTTGGTCGTGCATTATGGGCTGCGTGAACAGGTGCAAGTTTCTGAACTCCACGGAAATCTGTTTCCTCGGCACTCCTACTGTCATCGCAAATATATCCCAGACCAGCATCAAGGTTGCCGAGAACGGATACACTGTGTGTCCTGTAATAAAATAATGAAGTAATGAATACTGTATCAAGTAAATACAAAATCCTTGACTTATCTCGTGTTGGCTGCACCGAAATTGAAATAATGGTCTTAATAAGGGTCTTCATGCAAAAAGTTACAATTATTTTAACTAATAACTTTGTCAATAACTTTAGTACGTCTCACGATCACATAAAGTGCACGACATTATTTAATCTTCTGGCTAAGCTAATCATGGCAGTAAAGAGGCCAGCCCAGAATGCTGTATTTAATAATTACCTCTCAGCGTATGTCCCTGTAAGTACGCACTTTCAACATCCTGCAGTGAGGTCACGTAGTCACAGGTAGCGGCTGCCTTCCTACTGGCTGTTCGGAAAAGTGGCATGGGCCTACAAGAGAAATGGTATTTATGAAACATTGAAGTGAAAAAACTAATTGGTATGAATTTGCTAAATAATGCTCGAGTAGTGTGATTTTTTCTGTAATCACAATACACTAGACCACTCACCATTTCTCGGCGTGAGCCCATTTGACTAGATGTGACAGGAAGGGTGTGCCAGAAGATACTGGCAGCTCCACTTCTGGGTATAAGACGTTGATTTTGGGATTGTAGCCCTCCATGAACAACCTAAAAATAATTATAAATTAGCAATCACACGTTAAGTCCGAAAACAATTGTATCTTTAATTATTAACGTTAACAAGCCAATTATGTAATATGATGCTGTAGCACTTACTTGCCAATACCCTCAAGGAGCAAGAAAGTATTGTCGGGGTGCTTCCTCCTGGTTAGAGCGATGTTCTTGCAGTTCGGGTGCAGTGAGCGCTTGAGGATGGCCTGCAGCAGACCGTGGGGAGCAATCTCCACCAACACGGCGTCATTGGGGATCAACCTTGAAGTTTCTTCGAACAACACTGGGCTCTATAAAAGATGAACAATATCATTAGACTGAGCTGGATTATAGTAATACTACTGTATACACAATCTTAACACTTAGACCGCCATGTCGGACAATGCTGTCCAACGCTAGCGGAGGATTAGCCTTCAACAGTTTTTGTCGGCAGTCAAATGCATAAGGACGATTGTATATGTCTTATTTTAATGACACACACTGAAGAAACTTACAAGTAAATTGTTGGTGTGGTACTCGGCAGAACAGAGTTTGGCGCTCGGTTCGTTCCACCTTTCTTGTGGCACAGACGATGAAATCCAACGCTCACTTCGGGGTTTCGGGTCCTTGATCACCTCAGAGAGGTACTCCAGCAGTTTGGGACCTGTACAAAAGGTTTGGTTAAATAGACCCCTGTATACTTGTCACAAAAGGCTGGATGACAATTCGTAATGTTTTCTCATACTCCAAAAAATATTCATAATCAGTTTGTTAGAGTAGTAATGGTTAATGTTAAAATCTGCTCAGACTTACCAGCTTCAGCGATGTAACGGGAATGATAGGCGATGTTAGAGCAAGGGACTTCCTTAGCAAAGATTCCTTGAGCAGTCAACTCTGCCACGAACTCGCGCATGATCTCAGCAGGTCCAGAAATAGTACTGGATTCAGGTCCGTTGTGACAAGCAACCTGGATTTCTGGTGGGCACATAGGCAGGATCTAAAACAAAAAGATTCATATCAATATAGATTTGTATTGATTGTTGTATAATTAAGGCGTACACGTATCACAACATAATTATTGTCAACAAACAATTAATTTGTAAAGAGTAACCATCACAAAATGTCAGAATTTTCATCTGATTAAACATAAAATAAGCGTATTTTCTTAAAGATGGCAAAAATGTGTGATCACAAACTTATGAAATCGAAATCATGTAAGTACCTGTTCATATCCAAGACCAATGGCAGCCATGGATCCACGGATGAATGGGGTCTCCAGGGAGACGAGACCACGGCTGTACGCAGACAGAATCATCTCTTCTGCAGTCAAGCAACCGTCACCGTACGCGCAACCCAATTCTCCTACACTGTGACCTGGTTGAAGGAGAATATGGATTATATTTATAAGCAACAATTTAATGCGTTTATTTATACTGCTTTACATCATCCGATAGTGATATTGACAAAGGTCCAAACATATGTTCCATTGATTATTGTCCTACAATAGAAGTGCTTTCAATTTACCGTGGAACAAATGATTCTTAGTCACATTCCTCTTTCCATTAACAAAAAATAGATTCTGTATGTTTTCTTTATTTCCTTACCAATAATTCCATCAGGTTTAAGTCCGAGTTCGCGTAGGATATCAGTGAGACCGATTTGTATGGCAGCGATACCGACGAAGGAGTGCAGGATGTTGTCGAAAGTCTTCTCATCAGTTGATGTAATAATGTCGACTATATCAATACCCTTCGGCTCCAAAGCTTTGCGGCATCTGCAAAAATATTTGGAATTAGTAAAATGCAGTAACACGAAATAGGATCTGTTAATAAGTTGTTTAATAAAAAAACTATCAATTCAGAAAATCATTATACCTTTCAATAGCAGCAGCGAAAATTGGTATACGCATGAGTTGCGTGCCCATACCAGTCCATTGGGAGCCCATACCACTGTACACGAACCACAGCGGACGACGAGCGTTGTCGAAGTACTCAGACTTCTCAGAGAGGCTCACTGTCTTCTGTTCTTCATTTGTGTCTAAAACAGTATTTATTTATTAGTCTTTTCTGAATCTTGTTTGATAAAAATATTTTTTCAACCATTCTTTTTTTTCTATTACCTAGAATGATGAATCCTCTTCCCAAGTGTCCAGAAATGTTATTGGAGTGAATGTTATGTAACAGCCTCAGCTGTTCAGGGTCGACGGGGTTGGATTTCAAGTTCTCCAATATGTGGGTCACGGCTTGTTCGTGTCTCGCTGATATGGTCACCAGGTGAGGAATGCTGGACTTGTAGCGGCTCAGGTCCTAAACAATTTGATTATAACCTGTTAAAGTACTGTTTTTTTTTTTGCAACATAATGATGGTTCAAATTGTTTACTGCAACTGTTCGTACCTTAGGCTTGTAGTGTCCATGCAGCAGTACGTGTGAGTTGACTCCAGTGACGGACATGCCGTTGACGGCGACGTACGTACGACGGAAGCTTTCGTGCTCCGTGACAACGCGCATACGACCCTCGCGTATTGCCACAACATCCTGGCGAGGATTGGTGCAGTGGAGATTGGCGGCTATCTGACCGGTGTGGTAGCCCAACAGTACCTGGATACAAAAATATATTAAGGTTAGGAGTTTCCCTGACATTAAAAATCATACAAAAATTGTAAAAAATAATTATGGCCACAATTTTTCTTTTTTAATTTCTATGATTAATTTGACTTAATTTTTATAATTTCATTTTCTATACCTCTGTTTACTGTAGACTGTAGGATGTGTACAAATTGTGCAATAGCTGATATCTTAATACTATCTTTGGGTTAGGGGCAAATGAGCAGATATATTTCACTTTGTGGCAAATGCTATGAACACTATAAGAGTTATAAGTACCTTAGTAGCCAACAAGCATAGTCTTTTATTTTCATGTTCATCTCACCTTTGTGATGGCAGTGATACCAGAGGCGGCTTCATTGTACCCAATGTTGGACATCACACTGCCGATGAGGAGAGGATCTTGCCTATCGTTACAGAACACCTTCTCAATAGCTTGCAGCTCCACTTTATCCGCCTCCTTTACGGCTGAAAGTTTACATTGTGAAAATATCAGTCCAGTCAGATTTTTTACAAATTTGGCAACAGATTTTGATTGGCCAGAGAGAGAGGAAGAGAGGGAGAGAAGCAGGTCTATCTGGCCCTATCTACTCACCACATCCAAGAGCCTCGACATACTCAATGGCCTCTGCAGGGACCCTCGCTTCCTCGTAGAATTTCTGCATGAAAGACACTGACTTGTCGACGTCTCTATAGAATCCGTATTGAGGACCAGTTTCACCAGGAAGAATGCAAGTGAACTCCGACTTGGCATGCAATAAGTTAGCATAGACTCTGCAAGAACAAACGCGGGCCTAGTTATACTGGTGAAGTATCATGAAGTATATTTTTATTAATATGGCAATGATTATACTTAATTAGAAATTAAAGATCATTATCAGCATACCTCAAAGCATCTTTAGCTTTCTGTAGGAACAGCACGTTGATAGCTTCGGACTTGGCACATCCATTGGCATTCTCATCGAAAGACTTGGTCTTGCCATCTTGACACAAGTTCATGATTCTGTAAGTAAAACAAATCGGTTGCAATTTGAGATTTTATATCATCAATAAGAACAATCACAATGTATTTATTATCAATAGTTTGTTTATTATTTGGATCTATAACAAGGCAATAATAAATACAATAAAAGTATTAGAAGTACCTTCCGTAATGCACGGATGACTGTGGATGCAGACACAAGTAAGCACCTCCAACAATAGCAGCTTCACAGTCGCCTCGGCTCATGGCGAGGTACGCCTGCTCTAGCGCGGCGGTGGAGCTGCAGCAGGCCTCGTCAATAGACATCGACGGGCCTTTCGCGTTCAGCCAGTAAGAAATACGGTTGGCGAACATAGTTTTACTGCAACTGTAGAACAAAACTTTTATTAGGATCATAGAGCCACATTTGTAGCCATAGCGCATTTTAGTCGTAGCTCATAGCCAGTGTTGGCGTAAGGGCCACTGACAGCCCTGGCGAAAATATTGTAGCTAAAACTTAAAAAAAAACAATATCAAATGTTAAATTTTTGCTGATCCCATCCATATTAAGGATTTCGTCGCTCCTTTAGCGTTACCTAGAGCTAAGGAGGTGGACGTACAAGGACAAAAAAGAGCGAATCTGTCGATATCGATATCGTTAGAGAGTCTTGGATAGGGGTTGCACCAGGCGATGCAGGACATTGTAAATCCAGACTTTGGAGCCCCCCTGAATTTGTCGCTGTGAGCTAACGCCCCATTCTCTCCCTGACTGCACTGCTCATAGATCATTTCGTAAGAGTTGTGTAATAACAGTATTGTAACTGAGCTACTCTTTAAAATCATGTCAAATTAGAAGACTTAATATAATTCTCACTAACCCAGCGATACCAAATCCAGATCGGGAAGCAGCTTCGTAGAAGCAAGCCTTCTCAGCTTCAGAGAAGCACGTGCCGATGTACACACCAATCTTTTTACCGGACAAATCATCCGGGTTTATACCTAGAGAAACAAATTAACGTTACTGCTGAAATATAATACTTTATGCTAATCTAATGAATTGTTTCTGTAACTCTTGCGTGTCACACGATTACATATTATGTATGGTAATGTATTACCGAATTGTAAATTATAATAATAATATGGCTTCATAACAAAATATTAAAGATAAAAACGGAGTTTGATATGGATTCACTGTAATACTATAGGAATCGGTAATCCAATGCTGTACTAAGTAACCAATGATCACATGATGACAAGTATGTCAGCACTTTTTTACCTGAAACACAGGTTTGCACCTAGTTCAGGTTGATGTTAAACACTGTACTTTTTCTAGATTTTAAGATCTTTTTTTTGTTGTAATCTACCTTTTTACAACAAATAAACATTATTATTAATGATCAGTATATGAATATAATAGTAAGCATTAGCTGCAGATATTAGCGACCAATCAGGGCATACGAGGGGGATGATTACCCATTATCAGCCACAGACTTTCTTCCTCTTTACTTTAATTTACCTTCTTGATGTTTTTAAGTAAAATGATATCATAAACTTCATATCAAGCTGGCTACATTTACTCACCGGCATCATAGATAGCCTGATACGACTGCTCCAAGATTTTACGAGCCATGGGGTCCATGCAGTTGGCGAGACGGTAGTGCACCTTGAAGAACTGGGCATCGAACTGGTTAAGTCCTGGTACGGAGCCCGAGTGCTGCACCACTTCAGGGTGACTGAACTTGAAACGCAGCGCTTTTTCCGACACAGGATTTATCTACATAAGTAAGACAAAAATGCAAATAAATACTTGTATAATTTGATGTAATAAATTAATAATTATCAAAGATCCTCATCACTACCGGTAAATTAGATATAATCAAGCCCTCCAAAGTAATTAAAACAAACTTTTCGCATTAATAACTGCGTTATATATTATGTTAATTAGATAGGTTTTATCAACTTCATGCTGAATGCATGAAAAAAAGAAATACTAATATTCATATATGTATAATTATGTACAATTTACAATAAACAAGTAATTAATCGACGATAGTTAGGTACTAATTATTTAATGATTGACTGCTACGACAATGCCAAACAGAATTGATTTTAACCTACCGACCCGTCTCTGCTCCGTACGGGTCTAACTACGTCGATTTCAGATATTTACTTTTGTTACCTAATTTTCACTCCTATTTAAAAATGGAATGAAAAGATTATTTCATATAACCATCTTTTCACCTTGGCAACTACAGTAAAAAAATATTATAGGAATCGGTTCACGTGTGATACTAACAACGACTAAAGGATATCAGGATTAATTTTTATATAATTGTCTATATATACCATTATCTATTCCTCGTTTTATTAAAAATATGTCGCAAATAAATTATGATCGTTGCCGGCATTTTCTTCTAAACATATATTAAGTAAATAACAAGGCTAATGTCGAATATTCTCGATTCGTTTCAAGCTATACCGGGGCGCTTAATTATGTGCCGTATGGATTAAAACAATGATACTAACCTTATTGTACAAGATGTGGGACAACTCGCTGACGCTGTTGGAGTCTGGGTAGAGCCCCGACATGCCGGAGATGACGATCCTGTCGCCATCAATCACCGGTGCTGTGGAGATCTCCTCCTGCGCCGTGTGTTCCTGTGGTGTCGGCGTCATCTTTGTGGCCCGATTGCTTTTCTTTCTGTTTTAAAATTATATACTATTGGCGGAAGAGTGACGTCTTGGCTGTCATCGGAGGGGATGTTGGTGGGAGAAGCTACGGTTGCCTATAAAAGGGCCTGCGCGCTCAGTGGAGTCCTCTTTCTGCGTTGAGTACACATGGTACAAGGGAACCTCTGCTCGTTTGAAGGGTTAAACTGTCTTGTCTGCTATTAATTTTGCGTGTCTTTAGTTTAGATTGATCTATGTTTGTAATTTCAAAATTCGTTATTTAATTAAAATTTAAATTGTTGTTTATTGTAATTGTGTTATTAATAAATAAGATTGTGATTTGTATTTTTTTTAATATTTTCTTCCTGAAGTTGCCAAAATCAGAAGTGGGATACGCCTCGCGTTCCATTTCGTTTTGTTCGCCTTGAATCAAGACAGTTTAAAACTTCGTAACGTATTTTTTTTTTCTTTTTCTTAAGTGGGTACATTTCAACATTTAAATTAACTGTTAAGCATTTGTAACGTCCGCGTAATTAATAAGGTTCAAGTGTAAGTGTGTATTAGTGGTTTTGGTGAGTACGTTCCAGTTTTTCTTGATATTTAGAAAGCAAATTCTTTTGTTTACGTATAGTTGTAGAATTTTACAATCATATGTTTTGATTTGTTGCTATTCATACAATTGCTTTGATTTATTTAAATTTTCTACCGATTCCTTTTATTTGATTTGAAACAAGTTAGAAAGAAACAAGATGCCTAATAGCCATAGAAGAAGAGGCCGTTCAGTGAGTCGAGAATCGCGTCATCATCGTCGTGATGTGCGCTCTAGGAGCCGTGAATCTCGCTCTCGGGGTCGCATCTCACGTTCTAGGGGTCGTGAATCGCACAATAGTCGACTTGATTTGCAAGGGAATAGAATTCCTAGGCAACCTGATATTGCTTCTAACAGTCTATTAACTCAACAAATGCAACAAATTTTAGATCGATTGACATCGCTTGAGGAAGACCGGCGTGTGTCACGTGCAGCATCGCTGCGACAACCGTCCAACCAGCAGCAGCAGCTCGTGGAAGAGACTGCGACTACGGCACGAGATGGAGCAGGTTTTCGTGACTCGGCAGCTCCGTCTTCACCTGGACGTTCCGTGAGTGCAGCCGCCGATCGCGATGCTACCGTGACCGATCGTTTGATTGACGCCATACGATCCATCAACACTACGGTAAGATCCAACCAAGCTTATTTTATTTCTAATTTCGATCCTAGTGTCAATGATATAGACACTTGGTGCGAGGAGGTAGACCGCGCGAAGGTTTCAAATAATTGGACTGATAATGAATGCTTGTCCCGCATTGGGAATTGCCTCAAAGGAGATTCGAAGACGTGGCTCAATGAGTGGGTCACTAGTGACCGCACATGGAGCAACTTTATAAGGGAATTCAAGCCCTTATGTCCTAGGAAGCCAGCTGTAGCGAATATCCTATACGAGGTTATGAGCACAAACTCTGATAGGTACCCAACATATGCCGATTATGCCCGTCGCTCTTTATTGAGACTCCGTATAGTCAAGGGCTTAAGTGATGAACTCATTTCTGCAATTGTGATTCGAGGCGTAATGGATCCTCAAATCCGCGCCGCTGCCACAAATGCAAAGCTAATGCCTAACGAATTAGTAGAATACCTCTCCATCTACGTTAAATCGAACTTAAACTCAAAAAAGTATACCAACCCTTCTAATAATGATCGTTCTTTTAAATCTACCCTCGAAACAAGTCAGCGTAAGCGAAAATTCGAAGATGGCACATGCTTTTTGTGTGGGAAATATGGTCATAAGTCTTCGAATTGTCACAAACGCCAGGCTGCTAACAGTTCTAATAATAGCAATGGAAATGTACAAAGAAATTATCCAGTCTCCAGCTCAAGTAAAACAGAGCCATGTAGTTTTTGCAAAAAACCTGGTCATAGGGTAGAAACGTGTTTCGCTAAACAAAAATCAGAGTCGAATAACGCGGAAAATGTTAACTTTTGTCGTAAGAATCTTGACAGCGGGCGTAACGATATTGTTGTAGCGGTCATTCAAGGCATACCTGTCGATGTCCTCATCGACAGCGGGTCGAGCATATCACTGATTTCATCTTCGTTACTGAAATATTTTAAATGCGCGCGCAAGCCTGCCTTCAGAATTTTAAGAGGTATCGGTAGTCAAGACGTTGAATCTACTTACTATGTCACGTTGCCGATAGAATTCGATGAAATAACCTTGGAGGTAGACTTGCATGCAGTATCGCCAGAGTTTCTAAACACGCCTGTTATTGTTGGGACTGATGTGTTAAATCGTGACGGAGTGACCTACGTTCGTACACGTGATCGACAACATCTTGCTTATAATAATAGGTCGCCATATAACGTTATGTGCGCTGTGACAATACATGATACCCCCATTAAGACACCTTTGACCGGTCGCGACCTAGAAAGGCTGCTTGAGTTGATCAACGAATTTTCAAAATTCTTTATTTCCGGGACTGCTGCCACCACAGTCAATACTGGCAGCATGTCTATCAAATTAAATAATCATACGCCTGTTAATTATAGACCATACAGACTTTCGTTGCCGGAAATTTTGAAAGTTCGTGGAATTATTCAAGAACTCCTAGACAACGGTATTATCCGAGATTCCGAATCTGAATATGCGAGCCCAATCCTCCTAGTAAAGAAAAAGGATGGATCAGACCGCATGTGCGTAGATTATCGCAGGCTTAACGGGATTACTGTCAAAGACCGTTTTCCTTTGCCGTTGATTGACGACCACATTGACCGGTTAGGGAAACACAAATTTTTTAGCAGCCTTGATATGGCAACAGGGTTCCATCAAATCCCATTGGACGAAGAGTCGATTCCGCTCACGGGATTCGTCACACCAGAAGGGCATTATGAGTATTTAAAAATGCCCTATGGTTTGGCGAACGCCCCCGTCGTTTATCAGCGTATTATATCGAAAACACTTCGCCGTCAGCTTGAGGCTGGTAAGACCCTTGTGTACATTGACGATGTGCTGATTCTTAGCCATACGATAGATGAGGGCCTTATTCTTCTCCGCGACGTACTTCAGACACTGACTGCGGCAGGTTTTTCTATCAATTTAAAGAAATGCTCATTCTTATCGACTCAAATTGAATATTTAGGCCGCACTATAAGTCAGGGTCAGGTACGGCCGAGTGAGCTAAAGGTCCAGGCACTCGTTGACGCCCCCACTCCAAAAACGGTCAAGCAAGTTCGTCAGTTGCTAGGTTTGGCAAGTTATTTTCGCCGATATATATCGGGTTTCGCTGCTAGAACGGCCCCGATTACTAAACTCACGAGAAAGGGTATACCGTTTCTTTGGGGAAGAGAACAAGAAGAAGCACGCCAAGAAATTATCTCACAATTAACCAGTGAGCCTGTGTTGGCAATCTACGACCCTAACTTGCCTATTGAAGTCCATACGGACGCAAGTTCTATTGGTTTTGGCGCTGTGCTTCTTCAGGTTCATGAGAACGGATGCAAGCAAGCGGTAGGTTATTTTAGCAAGCGAACGCAGGGTGCCGAGCCCAGATATCATTCGTACGAGCTCGAGACGCTAGCCGTTGTCAAGGCCCTGCAACACTACAGACACTACCTGGTCGGCGTTAACTTTAAAGTAGTGACCGATTGTAATGCACTGAAATCAACGCAGCAAAAGAAAGATCTCTTGCCCCGTGTTGCCAGGTGGTGGATGTACCTACAGGACTTCGACTTTACCCTAGAGTATCGTAAGGGTACGTCTATGTCGCACGCAGACTACTTGAGCCGAAATCCTGTTAATGTTTGCGAAGTACGCAGACAACAGAATTGGGCTCGAATTGCGCAGGCGGCTGACGAAGAGACACAACAGCTTATCCAAAGACTGACAGACGGACAGCTAGACACTACTCATTACGTTCACAAAAATGACCTGCTTTTTTATAAGTGTTCTCCAGTGGGAGAAGAGCCCAGGTACTTATGCTATGTACCTAAAGGTCATAGGCTTAGTCTGCTTAGGATATTTCATGATGAACATGATCATATTGGCGCTGATAAGACTTTAGAGCTTATTAGAAAACATTTTTGGTTTCCTTCACTAAAGTCATTTGTCAAAAAATACATAAGCCATTGTATCATTTGTTTAACCCATAAAAAGATTCCTAGAGACCCACAGCAGCCAATACATTCTTGGGAAAAACCCTGCACCCCTTTTGAAGTAATTCATACAGACACATTAGGTCCTCTACCTCAATCAAATGGTTATCGCTATGTACTCATTATAATCGATGCTTTTTCAAAATTTTGTCTTTTGTATCCTATGTTTGGTCAAGACGCTAACGAACTGAAACGACTTTTTACAAATGTCATTTCTCTATTTGGTACACCAAAATTAATAGTAGCAGACCGAGGCAGAATGTTCCAGAGCTCAGAGTTTACAAAACTCGTAACTGAGTTGGGCATTGATTTGCATCTGATCACTCCGGAGATGCATCATTCAAACGGGCAGGTGGAGCGTTACTGTCGAACATTGTTAAACATGATTCGCATACAATGCAATCATCGTCAAGATGAATGGGCAGACTTGATGTGGCGATCTCAGCTAGTTCTTAACATAACAAAGCAGAAAACCACTCAGCTTTCACCATTGAACTTGTTGGTTGGTATTGAAGCTGCTACGCCCCTCATACGTCACCTGGTGCGCGACGTGGCCTTGGATAGTTCGCATCCAAATCGTGAAGCGCATAGAGAAATGCACAGACAACGAGCTTCGGAGCGTTTAGCTCGGAACCAACGTCAACAAGACGAGACTGTGAACGCTGGTCGAAAATCCCCCCGATCATTTGAATGTAACTCACTTGTTTTTGTTATTAAGCAGGCGCAATCGACTGGCAAGCTTGACTCCGGCATGCGCGGACCCTATCGCGTGGTCAAAGCGCTTCCCCATGGTCGATACGAGCTGCAACTACTGGCAGGTTCCTATGGCAAATCGACGCAAGCTGCGGCCCAGTTTATGAAGCCGTGGCGCGGGGAGTGGACTCCAGAGACATGCGCTGCATACTTTGATGGTAAGACGTATGATATGCTAACGTCGTGCCTATGTCATACGTTTGTATTCTTTTCATGATACGCTAACGTCGTGCCTATGTCATGTTATTTTAGTGTGAACCATGATAAGCTAACGTCGTGCCTATGTCATGTGTTCATTTTCAAATTTGAGAAACAAGCTAACGTCGTGCCTATGTTTCTCGTTAACAAAGATAGCTAACGTCGTGCTTCCTCTTTGTTGGTTTTGTGAACTAAGCTAACGTAGTGCCTATGGTTCACTGTAAATTGTGTATGTGAATTTTATGATGAAAATCAGTTTCATAACTAATGTTTTTTTTTCCTTGTATGTTCAGGCGCAGATAGCAATGATGATAATGCGGAGTCTACGCCTGAGCAAGCTGCCAATGTCGATACGCAACCCACCATCGATACTTCGCCTGAACCGATGCCTAGCACATCCAGAGCTGCAGAAGCCCTGCAGCCCCAGCCGCAGGAGAACGGGGACGTCCTCCAGTCAGGAGAGGCCGTATTGGCGGAAGAGTGACGTCTTGGCTGTCATCGGAGGGGATGTTGGTGGGAGAAGCTACGGTTGCCTATAAAAGGGCCTGCGCGCTCAGTGGAGTCCTCTTTCTGCGTTGAGTACACATGGTACAAGGGAACCTCTGCTCGTTTGAAGGGTTAAACTGTCTTGTCTGCTATTAATTTTGCGTGTCTTTAGTTTAGATTGATCTATGTTTGTAATTTCAAAATTCGTTATTTAATTAAAATTTAAATTGTTGTTTATTGTAATTGTGTTATTAATAAATAAGATTGTGATTTGTATTTTTTTTAATATTTTCTTCCTGAAGTTGCCAAAAATACATACATATAACATCATTCATTATCCAATAACACAGCTTTAAATAATACAGGATTACTTAAACATTTTAGCTATCATTTGTTCTATCACGGATTGAATTTTTTATTTTTGTTTTTCATATGCTAGATTAATTAAGTATCATTTTATGTTAATCCAAGCAAACCCGACTTTACTCGTACACGGATTGTGTGGCGTAGTCAATTCATATAAAACATTTATGTTGTTGACAACCATTTAATATGAAAATTTTATGGAAACATGTATTAGAACTTTTAAGATAAATGGCTATTTCGGAAAGTTAAACATAGACTTTTATTAATCAGTTGATTTCGTACTGAAGTCAGTGAACTAATCGAGTTATGAGCTCCATCAGAGAGCGGATTCGCATAACTGTAATTATTGTTTTTTTTTATGGTATAAGTCGGCAAAAGAGCAGACGAATTACGTGATGGTAAGCAATCAGCGCCGCCCATGGACACCTGCAACACCAAAGAAGTTACGGTAACCTCACTCACACGGCGAAACACAACACTGTGGGTTGTTTCACGCCGGTATTCTGTGAGGCCGTGGTATCACTACGGTCGAGCCGACCCATTCGTGCCGAAGCATGGCTCTCCCACACTTAGCATGGCTCTCCCACACTTAGCTTGGCTCTCCCACACTAATTAGCTTGGTGCAAATTCTTCTATAAAATAATGAAATAGCTGCCATGCTGGCTGCTTTGTTGCAAAGTTACGGGATCACCTTTTGACCTTTCTGACACTTGTATGACGTCAATCACCAATGTATTGTATTACGTTGCACTTAAGTTCACTTTTAAAACAATTATGTAACAGAAAGTAGTAATCATATCCAGTGTGCATATTTTATTATAACGACTATGCGATATACAGTCTCTAGATCTATAATACCTACCAAACAACTAAAAATCATATTGTAAAATGAATTAGTTTTCGATCTCTTCTTAGTATAGTTTATTAATATTTTAAGGGAGATAGTCTATGTAGGAAAAGATGGAGTGTCAGACTTTTACGGATTAAAACCGCTCTTTTCCCGCCTCGAGCGGGGCCCAAGCCACGGAGGCTAATCCATTAATAAATTATAAGATGAAATATTAATATGATGACGTATTTAATTGTCAGTAAAACCTATGTAAGTATTTAAGTCTTAAATAGAATTCTAGAAATATTTTGCTTACCTTGCTTAAAGATTTAGTTATGGGCACACTAATTCTGACGGCGGTTCCAGCGTTGTGCGGGTACATGAGCAATTAGGATTATATATAAACATTAACTTGTATGTAAATTAATGACTTAATTATTTGAACTGGTCATTTAGCGAATGGATTAATACATAACAAATTTTGTTTATTTAAACTTCAATTGTTGGATAAGTAATTTATTTTATTAATATATTCTCTATTGTATCAGGCTATTAAGTAAAATGAACTGTCTTTTTACAAAATAGAAGGAAAATAGCTGTTTATTGACGCCATAGAATGTCAGGCGAACAGGGCATGGAACAAATGCTTGTATGGTACGATGCCAGATGCGTGTGCCTGGTAAGTTCCAGTGTTTCAAGAGGATATTGCATTAGTGAATAGTAAACGAAAATTATCGCCCTGATTTAAATTTGAAAACGCAAAATAAAAATCTAAGTATTTTTATTTTAGGAAACTTAAACGTTAATAAAATTGGTAAGTTGTGCTGCCTAGTTCTTGAATCATAGGGTTTCACTCCATTTACTGTTGAATAGCTCATACTGAAATAGATGTTACCCAAAGACGACGCTTGTTCCCCGTTAAATAAAACGGACGTCATACACCTGAAACGATTTCGTACTCTGTACTTTTACTGGGAACTTTGGAATCGAAAAATGAATAACAATTAGCCCTTTTGTTAATTATTCGTTTATTTGCCTTTAAAATAACCAACATAAATGTGTTTGTTTATTCTTCCTTCATTTCAAGTAAAAAAATACTAAAAAAGGAGGAGCAATGCAAAAAAGACTTTAATGTTATTTGGAGACTGTGGGTTATCGATTGTAGAACTTAAAAAGCGAAACCTTTTGTACAAATTGCAGATAGGCTGCACGATGGATAAAAATTTTCGCAGAAATTACGTCGTATCAAATTATGGAATCACAGAATTGTTGTCGCCTGTGCGGGTTATTCCATACCATTAATTATGTTACAGAATTAGGCAGTTTCCAAAGTTCATTATTCGACGCTTTAATTCCTACAATGCAATATAGAAAAATAATCATAATCTCATTCATTGATCTGTCGATATTTTTTATTTCTACTTATATTTTTTAATTGCTTTTTTACGCAAAAATATTACGCCGTTTCGTCCCGAAACATGCTAAGGAATGGAAGTAGTTTTATTAGTCAGTAAACTGCTGACTCTCTCTTCATTCAAGACAGACATACGTCATTTGATGATTTTCTACCCTCAAAAAAGGCTCTTAAATGAATAATAACTCTCTACTGTTGGGTTTGCGGAGTAAATGCGGCGCAAAGAGGCACCGCGGCTTCGGCTTGGAGCAGAAGAATAAAACGAGCGGTTTTTAGTCAGTAAGAGTCTGTGACATTTCCTCTCACCTCACCCTGGGTTTTTTTTTGTGAGGGGAGTATCATCAAATGACTTCTCCCACCCAGGGCCGGGCGGGAGGGAGTGTCAGACTCTTACTGACTAAAAACCCCCCTGTTCCTTCTCCTGCTCTGGGCCGAGGTCGCGGTGCCTCATTGCGCAAACGACCAAAATGCTCCGTAAAGTTCCATCGGTTGTCGAGGACGAGACCCAGGTACTTCATCGCCGACTCGACGCCGATGGTAACTCCTCTTGCCGTTATTTGGGACCCATCTGGAGGTGGCGCGTTCCGTCGGCCATAAAAACACATGGCCTCGGACTTGTGATGCGCCTCCTCGAGTCCCAACTGCCGGATCCTTGCAATGACTGTCGCGACCGTTTGCGACATCAGGTCGTCGTCCGCCGCCTGATGTGACCTCCCATTCGCCAGCACCAGCATGTCGTCAGCATAACAAACAATGCTGACGCCGCTCGGGAGGTCGGTACGTAGCACCCAATCGTACCTAATGTTCCACAGGAGAGGTCCCAGGACCGATCCCTGTGGAATACCGCGCGACACCTCTCGCCGATTCCACACGCCCCGGTGACCGGGGTAGATGACGCATCTGTCCGTCAAGTAAGCCTCGACTACACGACGGAGATAGGCAGGCACCCGGTGATACCGGAGTGCCTCCAGAATGCAGCTCCAGGGCAACGAGTTGAAGGCGTTGGCGATGTCCAGAGACACCGCCATGACGAATCGCCCCCTGGCCAACGCAGTCCCCGTCGTGAGGTCCCTCACGCGCATGATGGCGTCTACCGTGGAGCGCCCTCTGCGGAAGCCGAACTGGCCGTCCGCTAAATCCGGCCCCCTCCGCCTTCCTAAGGCGCGTAGCGTTCCGCGCACGCCTCAAAGAGCCAATAGACCACCACAGACGGGGCCTTATAGGGTACTGATGTTCAGCCGGGGTTGCGGGTTAAGCGCAATGAGGCACCGCGACCTCGGCCCAGAGCAGGAGAAGGAACAGGGGGATTTTTAGTCAGCAAGAGTTTGACGCACCCTCCCGCCCTGGTTGGAAGAAGCCATTTGATGGTTTTCCCCTGACAAAAAAACCGTAATGTTTTAATATCTTGAAGTTGGGCTCGAATGGGCGCAAACTAACATAATAACATTTTAAAGTGAAAAGTGTACTTTAGGTAGTATTATTCAGTTAGTATTTAGTAGGGGGACATTGTACACTTGTCAACCCATAGGTATTTTAAACTCTTTTTTATGGCAGATGGATTAGGTACCATGATGGTAAGCAATCGGCACCGCCCATGGACATTAGTACTTAATACGCAAGAGGTTACTAAAAAGTGCATTGCCGCCCATTTGTGGGTACTGTAGGATTTAAAGAAAAGGGATTTGAGGATTAAGCATCCCCTCCTAATCCTCCATAGGTATCACTCCTGTCGAGCCGGCTTATCCTCGCCAAAGCATGGCTCTCCAACACTGTCACAGCTTCATCCAAAAATTGTTTGCAAGATATCATCTTGTGCGATAAGACCGCCCATTGTAGGTACACTCAATTTTTGTATTATATGGTGGAGAAATTTTCTACCAGCAGTGCATCTGTGCGAAGCCGGGGCGGGTTTCTAGTCATAAATAAAATAAAAATAAAATGTAAAATTAATGAGATGTACGGAGCCCTTGCAAGCCAAGCCGCGTGTAACAACGAGTACACAGAAATACAAAAACGTTATATTGTTTGTCTCTGTTGTAATCACGTGCTCACAGTCTGACCTATCACCTAATACGGGACGTCACATGAATTCAAATAGTTACATTATAATCTGTTAGAATTTAATAGTTAACGTAACAATCCGTAACGGTTTCATAAGTTGTCTAGCCATTGTAGTAAGAGGTCTATGATTTGACCAATGTGGACGACATATTGTTTATTTTGGTTCTTATTTTAATTCTTCTTTATTCGAGTGGTTGTAAGTATAGATGGTGCAGTGTTTGGGTGACTAGCTGTAGGACACGTAGGACAAAAAGTGTTAATGGAAAATTCATCAAACCCCAAGCGAACACCGGCGTTCGCGAACCAATTATCTAACCATTGTGTCTCTAACTACTTAGTCGAAAGCTTCAAAAATGTGTCGATTTTTACTCTTCCGTCCAGAAATGTTCACAATTTAATTAAATAGTTATTTTCAAAGTTAAAGTATTCGTATTACTTAATCGTGTAGGACGAGGCAAGTGATCGCAAATCATTGGCAACCCACTGGTGATGTCTCTAGCAATGCGTTGCATATCTGCATAAGCATAAAAACAAATAAATTGTTTTTTGTGATTTTTATTTTCCAAATTCCTAACGTAAGGTTAACTTAGCCCCTTGTGTCTGGTACTGGTGACAAAATTAACAAAAATAAAAGAAAATATATAAACATTGAAGACTAGTTAATAGAAATTGAATTTCTGAAGCGGTTGTCGTATGTCACATAGATTTAAAACAATGGCAAGGTCTGCGTCATTTGCATTTTTGCAGTAGCTATTGACGTACAAAAGGTAATTATATTAATTGTACCTAACACAATACGTAATCGATATACTTGGACATGTGCGATCCAACACATGATACCTACATATTTATGGGAAACATACATATCGATCGATATAAAGAGTTAAGTACTGAAAACACGTAGTAAATAAAAACAGCAGAATTCTGACTATTTTTGGCAAAACGTTGAAGAAGCAGTTCGGAAATCAATTTTGATTAGGTTTAAAGTGTGTTCTGTAGTTATGATCACTTGTCTTAAATGCTACAGCTAGGGTTGCCAACTTTTTTTGACAAATAAAACGTATAACAGTGGTTTGGATAGGAAAAAAATAAAGTATTAGGAAGAAAAAGAGTATATTTCAATTTTTATGTTTTTTTGCTTTAAAAACGTATTTTTTGTGCTTTTAGCACATGATAACAATGACTTGTTATCTTTAAATGTTACAAAGCTTGTTTGACAATCAATTTTGAACAATTTCGTCGATAATGAAAGACATCTGTGACAAATGTCACAACTGACATCTAACATTTCGTTCAGTAATTACAAATTGTTTCCATTATCCGTTTTAAATATTTCGTTCAGCAATTATGAATCGTTAAGTACCCATAATGAGTATTTTATTTTACGCACCACAGTAAAGGTTGACAATAAAGTATTTTTGGATACTTTATTTGTATGTAAAAGTATAAAGTATAATTACCAAAAATAAAGTAGGATACGTTATTATATAGTATGGTTGGCAACCCTAGCTACAGCTCCCCTTCAATTCTAACCTCAATCTACCTGCCACCATCAGTTAAAAAGTATAAGTAAGTGTCAATAATCAGTTCAAGAAGATCAGTGTAAGAAGGAAGTAATACAGACCTGAAATATAAATATTTCGCGTGTGGTAGACAATTAATTTTATATAAATTTTCTGAAGCTATTCATATACATTTGAATTTATTATAGGTAATACAACATACCTATGCATGCATACACTTACATAATAACGCTAATCAGGTAAATGATGTTCGTATAAATTCAAACGAGAAGACAACTTAAAATGTTTTTATTCCAACAACAAATAACAGACAAAACAATGCTTACAATTAGATAACAAAATAGACTTTCCTTTAACTTATTACAATAAATATGGTACCGCAGCGTTGTAATAGTTCTTTAAGGAACCGAACATTTTATACACTTAAATTGTATGTGACGCAGTGGTTCCTTTTGTTGAACCTGGTTAAAATGTCTTCACCCAAACTGTCGTTGATTATTGATGGACACTTTAAATGATGAGGAACGTCTCCAAGCGTTGCATCAAGCTCATGAATGATAAAGTTTTGTTGAGAGAGTTCCATGGTTTCATCAGTAGGTAGCTCTTGGGAAAGTTGGGCTCGAAGGATGACGATTTTGGCTTTCAGAGTTTTGATTTCTGGATCAAAGTTTCGCAGGACATTGATCTTTGAATACGCTGCTTCCATTAAAGTTTCTAAGTATTGACCTTTATAAGATACTCGTCCACGTAGATTGTCCACGCAGAATTTCACTTTTTCAGAGTATAGTGGTAATTCGGACAATCTTTCCTCAATTTCTGGAATGTTCTTGCCCAGTAGCAAGGAGTGCAGGTGTTTGAGCAGCGTAATTTGCAATCTCTCTTCTGGCATACCTTGGAGTTTATGTTCTAAGTCATTACGGATTTCAGTTGGTGTTCCTCCTAAGCAGAACACTGTGCCGCTTAGTCCTGCATAGAAAAAAGGTTAAATATATGAGTGGCATTTAGTGTCAATACGCGGAAACTTGTTGATTCGACCCTGAAGAAATTTACTGGACCGAGAAGATATCGGACCAACAAAAGGACATCTGTGTTGTAATCACCAGTGATATTCGTACTCAAAGCCCAGAATTAAAAGAACCGATATGAATTCAGTGAAGTAATCGTTTGTTGGATGGCAATAAAGCTGAATAGTTGTTTGTTTTAATGTGACACATCTCTAGAACTAATGATTCGAACTGAACTACATTACTATACGAACATTTAAGTTTGGATAAATAATTTATCGAGGGAAGCTATTAAACATTACGCTACAATTGCAACAAAAAATAAAAAAGTGTCCATGTACGTACCGTAACTTTCCAATATTGCTGCCATTTCAATAACAACGGGAATACCGAACTCGTAGCCCAGGAGGTAGAACTCTTTTTGCATCTTTAACTTTTTCATCAGCACCTGAAAATAGCAGGATATTTTACATTAATCAGTAATTACTGAATTTCTGGTATATATTTTTCGTTACTCAGTTACATTTAAGATTGCAATTATTGAATAGAGTACGAGTTTTTATGTCCAGCTTGCCGTTTTGAGAAAGTATACGTAAATTACAATACTTTGTGCACACAATGTTCAGTATTTAATATTGAGAGGATATTTATATTCGATACTAGCTTCAATATAATATTAGTTATGTGTAATGGCAGACTAGAATCTATATCAAATACTCTATGACAAATCCATTCAGATCCGTTAAGTTGTTTTGCGTGAAATATAGTACCACACATACTACCGTACCATCTATCCACACTTACAAATTTTATAGTTAATTTTTACGATTATTTCAAAGTTTTATATCATGGTATTAATTAATAACACTAGAAACGAGGGTAAGCATTATCTTAAGGATTTACATGAAACATTGAATACTTACATTAACAAGTCGTTGAGCTATTTGTTGAATGTTTTCCGGTTGATGGTCCATGTCGTAGTGCAGCACGACCGCCGGCAGCTTCAGCAGCTCGCACAGGGCGCGGAACCTCTCGTAGTTGTTCTCCATGCCCGGCACTATGCACAGGAACGTCTCGACCGGCTCGTATTCGTCCGGTAACTGAAACATTAATATTCATATTCATTTATCGAGATTTTATTTCATTGCTTCTATAAAGTTAAGCTAGCTAAGTAAGTTATTGTTGATAGAGGAAAATCTTATTTTTTCGAGAAGAATTTCCATAAAATGCCAATCTCATTTCTCTCTCTAACTATGATGTTTTTTTTTACTAATAACATTGCTAGTCGATTTGGTTCGAGATTTTGTTGTTGTTGGAGAGCCATACTTCGGCACGAATGGGTTATTTTTTTCCAGAGTGATACTACGGCCACAAAGAAAATCGGCGTGAAACAATCAGCGTTGTGTTTCGCCGTGTGAGTGGGGTTACGGGTTACAGGGGCCTAATCCTTCCCCTCCCCAATCCCTGATCTCCAAAAGGTCAGCAACGCACACTCCCCTGTTGATACGGGTGTCAATGGGCGGCGCTGATTGCTTACCATGAGGTAATCCGTCTGCTCGTTTTCCGTCCTATCACATAAAGAGAATGTGGCAAAACTACCAGTATAATAAGATATATGTTTTTTTACAGTGACATTTTATATTGCGTTTAACTAATATTAATATCAGTTCAGGAACCATATCTTGAATTGAATTACATTTCAAATGTACTGTACCATTTGTGGCGTGTGTGTGAGCGTCGGCATGAACACCATGTCAGCATTGATGAGGGTCTCGTCGCCTTTGTCAGTCGAGAAGTATCCGGCGAAACAAGACGTGTTATCTACACCAGCCATTTGCTTATTGAGAGTTTTTAACCTGTAATATAAGAATTAATATTAATATAGAAATAAAGTAACGGGAATGCGACGTGGGCGCTGAAACAGCTTATTTTTTTAAGAAAGTTTACTTAGTTAAATATGTAAATAAGTGCTGTATAAAGCCTGACGATTGTCGGAATGTTTGTCAGAAATATGAGTCCCTAGCGTGGCTTGAAACGAGTAAGGTTCCTCGTCAAATGGTTACCTAAGTAAGCCATGTAAACAACCCGAATAAATTTGGTATTGTAGTCGTGTTTTGTTTATACATTCAAATATAATAAATCATAGTAGATTTTGTCAGTTAAAGTTACTAATAAAAAAGTCGACGAATTATAGATTAGCACTATAATTAAAGAAAAATAAACAGAGGCACAGAGACTGAGAAACAAACAAAGATGACAAAATAAGCATAAATATAGAGGAAAAAGAGAAAAACATAGCAAAATACAAAGAGAAAGAAAGAGAAAGATAGATAGCTAGCCATAAAAAAGTGATAGTACGAGAGAGAAATATAGAAGAGACAAAATGTGTTATCTCTAAAATATGACTTACTGTTTCACAGTCATGTAAGAAACTAAATCTTTCGGAATATTGAAGTTGAATTGATCTGCTAGGAGATTGCACAACACCTGTTCGTTGGTTTGGTCGATGCCGATCTCTTGCAGCATCAAACTTTCATCAGTTGAACTAGTTAATGTAACACCTGGAATCAATGCGAACTTTTATAAGCCAATTCAGGATGGTAAATGCTATTGGAAAGGCATCTATAGAAAGGATGTTATAGGGACTCTGTGGGGACTACTAATGCAACATCAGGATCTTGTAACAATTTTACATTACATTTTGAACTTTATATACATATATATAGACTAATATACCTATATTACTTTTTTATTTAATGACAATAAAAAAATCATCTAGCTCTTTAAATTCATAAAAAATACAAAAAGTTTACTTTAAGTTTTTCTGTGCTTTACATGGTGTATAATTAATCACCTAGTAGACCTTTTAGGCTTGTAGATTAAACACCTTGATGAATGAATCGATGATTGAAATTTGTCAGAATATCAACATAATTTTCAATTTCGAACAATATTGTTATACCTGGTATCTTGGCCACTTCTTGCAAGACGTCTTTTTGTGTTTGATCTATCAAATTCACAACTACGAAGGTCTCATTGGATAGCAGAGCTGTTTCGAGAGCATCCAGAGCATCGCCCCACATTATAGCTCCTTCATCTTCAAAATCTTCAAACTAAACATAAAATGTTAATTAATTTGCGCATTACTTATACTACTTATGTTATATATACGAAAGTTACGATGTCTGGATGTTTGGATGTTTGTTACTAAAACACGCCAAAACGGCTGGATACATCTAGATGAAAATTGGTACAGGCATAAGATACACTCCGGAATAGGACATAGCATATAGAATTAAACCAAAGACATAGGCTACTTTTTATCAATACTCGTAAACCACGCGGGCGAAGCCGCGGGCGGAAGCTTGTTTATTAATATTTAGATAATGTTCAAAACTTTTATAATTAACAAACCTTTTTCAGCTTTATCTGCATTACTAGAGAAATCAGATTGTCTTGTTTCCTCGACTGGCATACGCTACGGCCGATGGAACCGTCTTCTGTTACAATAGCGAAATATCTGAAAAGTTTGACATACACAATTTATTATAGAGACAGGTATTCGTTAATAAAGTATAGTATCAGTCTGTTTTAGTCTCTTAAAATAAGCAATAATTTTGAAGGTTTACATGAGCTCAGGACATAGTCTTCTGGATACATCGTCGATATTGCGGATCGTTGCATAAACTTTATCCTTGGCATCAGGCGCTTCGAGATCAGTGGCCACTACATAGATTCCTTCAACATGTCCTAGAGATTTGGCCTCTTTTATAATTGCTTCAATATTTTGTTTTGTGTTAGTGTTATCCGAAACAATTTTTACTTTCGCTCCAAGTTTCTCCCATTGCCTGAAAATAATAAATAATTACTGTTATGAATATACTAGCAACGCCGAAGTAGGCGCAATGAGGCACCGCGGCCTTGGCCTAAAGCAAGAGAAGGAACGGGGGAGTTTTTAGCCAGCAATAGTCTGACACTCTCTCTCGCCTTACCATGGGCGGGAAAAGTCATTTGAGGTATTTTCCCTAACAAAAAAAAAAAACTAGTGACCATTAAATAATAAATATTTTTTTAATTTAACTTTTATATCACATAAGTACTGAGCAATAGTATAATCAGCCGAGGAAAATCATGCCTAACCAAATTTTATGAAACACTAGCAAAAACGGCGAACTCCGTTTCGCCACCAGATGGCACCGTTTTCTATTTCCCCGCTTTTCTGATGACTTTTTTCCAGATTTTTTTTGTTATAAACCTCACGGAACCGAATGTTCTGGATTTATGTATAGTGTCAGGAAGGAAAACCCGACTTATTTTTATAAATTAGATTTATTGAATAAAGGAAAAACAAACTTACTCCTTTTTGATCAAACAATATTCGGAAATCTTTGGCATGTGCAGATACAACTTCCTAGCTCCCCGCTCAACCAACATGTTTGCTAGATTGCAAACAAATCCATCTTCACCACCAATCACCACTTGACACGTATCGTTGGACAACGAAATTCTGTTGGAGAAGGGTTCGCGTTATCAATTAAACTTACAAGAAGGATCTAGTCAATTTTATGCGAATAATTAAATTCAAGTTATATTATGATAGTCACTAGAGACTGATCCAGTTTTTTTGTATGGGATAGTTCGGCAAGTGAGCTATCGGATTACCTGATGGTAAGCAATCGGCGCCGCCCATGGCCATGTCCATGGCAACATCAATGGACTTACAAGTGCGTTGCCGGCCTTTTAGGGATAAGGTGTTCCGGATATTTAACGATTGGAATGGGATCGGGTAGCGGAATTGATTGGGTCTCTTGTGTAACTAACTCTTGTAACCCTACTCACACCGGTGAATCACAACGCTGAGGTTGTTTCACGCCAGTTTTCTGTGAGAGTGTGGTATCATTCCAGTCGAGCCGACCTATTCGTGCCAAAGTTTGGCTCTCCAACACTTAAATTCTCCAGTTACCAAATCTTTTTTTTTATAGAAATAAGCAGAATAGACGAGTCTTTACCTGGACTCAGCTCTAAGAGCCTCACACTGCATATCAATCAGCACTCTGCCGCGCTGTCTGTTGGCCGCTAGCAGTTGGAACGCGCGCGACACGTCGCGTGGAGCGTATGTGACGCGCGTCAGCGGGCGCACGTAACCCTTGTTTATACCTCTAGCTATCAAGAGTTTTATTTTCTGTAAAAATAAAATGGAATGTTATTGCCTTTAGAGTAAATCTCACTACGTACTCGGTCATAACAATTTATAAACAATCAAGATTAAGAAAATTACGAGCATCTACATACTTTGGCGCTATGTAACGATGAGGTAGACAAATAGGATTTGTTCAATGATGTCGCCAATTTATATTGCCCTGGTACTTTTGAAAAGAAATGTCTAAGAAATTCCAACGAATGTTTTGTAACTACATAATAAATATAGGTTCGGGATCTCCTCGATAAAACTTAGTTGAACGCGGGGTAGACGCCAGGTAAAAGCTAGTGTGAGTCACGTCACAAACTCGCTATCTCTGCCCCTATACCTTAAATATTTAATATGCTTAAATCTTTAGAACAACGCAACGGATTGTACAGATTGTTCTTATAGATAGAGTGATTTAAGGGGAAGGTTTATATGTATAGTAATATCCATTAAACAGCGAAGACATTTAGTAACAGCATTACACTCGTATGAAGACGGGGCGGCTCGTTAGTATTTATATATAACGTTGCACATATATATTTAGATAGGTATTCACCTTAAACTCTTCAATATTCTGCGCATCGAAGATGGAAGCTATATCAACAGCTACATAGTTCCTGGCGCGAGTCATGTGGTACATTCCGAACTCATAATTCTCTTGTGAATGTATTTGTGCCAAGTCAAATGTAGTGCCGTATTCTGCGCAAGCGGAGAGTGAGGCCTGAAATAAATAAAAAGAAGTATTTTTGGTCAGAAAAAGGTTAAAAAAATAGCTTTTCACTGCACAATCCACGGTTCAAAAATATGGTTGTATTATCAATTTAATTGCAAAAAAATGTGCTAAAGTCAGTAGCTTTCAATGTTTACTACCGACCGAATAGTAAGTAATTTTAATAGTTGAATTTATATTTATGTAATTAAAGACTTACATTTTTGAGGTATCCTTTAACACAACTTATGACGACATCAGCACCTTTTCCCCGGGTGTGGACCATGACCATGTCTCTGAAAGTCTCATCGCGAGAGTTTCCGATGTGATCAGCTGAAACAAAATATGAAATAACAATTAAGAGAGAATCAAATAAAAAGAAATCCATGACAATTATAAGTGGGTCGAAATATTAAAAAAATATAAAGGATTTATCTTCTTATTTTTCGTAATCGTACTAAAATTTTAAAGTATAATCTCAAATATAGTATTAAATTAATCTATACTAATATTATAAAGCTGATGAGTGTGTTTGTTTGTTGATACACGACTATCTTCAAAACTACTGGTTTTAATTTAACTATTCTTTTTGTGTTGGAAAGTCCATTTATTGAGGAAGGGGATAGGCTAATAAAACATCACTATATGACCGAGGAGCGGATAAAAACACGCGGTAAGAGGTCGTTTTAGGTATAAATATTGAAGTCACCTGGTAAGTTCGGGAACAGATTAGTTAGGAATTTCTTCTTTTTCTGATCACTGACGGTAGTAAAGACTTGGTAGCCCGTGGCCAGCGCTATGGAGATCACGGCCTGACCTAAGGCTCCCGCACCACCGTGTACCAGTATTGTTGATTCCTGATCCAATCTGGTTTTATGATTCTGTTAGGACAAGAGAAACATTATTTATTGGTTAAATTTTAAAACAAGCTTCTATGTATAAATTTTACTAATATTATATTACATGAAACTAGTATAAATGCGAAATGGATGTTTGGATGTTGTTACACAATCACGCTTAAACAGGTGGACGAATCTGGATGAAATTTGGCACAGGCATAGGTAAGATACACTCCGGAATAGGACTTATGCTAGAATTTGACCTCAAATATTAATTTCGTTAGAGTTCTAATTTCAAAATCATCCCTCAAACCTAAAATAAAAACAAAAAATTAAGGTTTTTACCAAGCAATAAAATGCGATGCTGTAGGCTAGCGGTACTGTGGCAGCATCTTCTAAGCTCCAGTGCTCTGGCACTGGCCACAGGAACTCCGGTCGAGACACTATCCGTTGGGATACACTACCCTCCGATGGAGATATACCCATCACTTTCTGACCGCTGAAAAGGAGGAGGAAACAGTTTTTTTTTTAAGTTTCAAAATAATAAATACGTTTTTTAAAATACCAGGATTTTCGCTTGTGTCATGGTGACTTTATAAAGAGGCAATATTCACATGCATATGAAACAACGAAACAATGAAACAATGAAAAAACAATTTTCGGCATGCGTGGGAATAGCCAATCTGCGGCACGAATGGGTCGACTCGACAGGATACCAGGGCCTTACAAAAAACCGGCGTGAAACAACCACAGCAGTGTGTTTCGCCATGTGAGTGAGGTTGCCGGAGGCCCAACGCTCCTCTCCCATACCTTCCCAATTCCGAAATATCCGAAACCTTTAAGGCCGGCAACGCACTCGTAACTCCTTTGGTGTTTCGAGGTGTCCATGGGTGGTGCCGATTGCTTACCATCAGGTAATCGGTTTGCTCGTTTGCCGACCTATACCTTTCATAAAAAAGACGTTTCTTCATTTAAATATTAGGAATTAAAATCTTACCATTCAGTAATTCCACTAAAACTCATTCCAAATCCTTGATCGCGAGCGTTATTTACTGGTATCCTAGCTAGAGCTCGCTGAGCATCGTAGTTATTCAGCTCAGCGTAATGCACCTAAAAAAAGTACGTAAATTAATATGATGATTACTAAACATCAATCAGGTAATCCGTCTGCCCGTTTGCAGACCTATTGCATAAAAAAATACCAAATCAATGTATTCAAAGCATAGACATCATACCTTACCACGTCTTAAGGTATAATGTCTTTGATTTCAAGCTCACCTTGACGTGAATATGTCCCGGCTGTTTCTCGACGTCAGGAACTTGTGCCCAGTACATCGTATTGACATCACCCAGTTGTCCACACCTTAGTGCTGCGACACCTTCTTTGGAATATTGTTTATTTAGCAGTACGGCCTTCTCCACGCTACATGCATTCTGTAAAATTATATTTATGTTATATGATACTGCGAGCATTTTAATACTCTTCAGGAAGTCTGAGTTTTAAAGTTAAGAAGGTTGTGCCTGTATGCAGACGAATTCGTGTGTAAGTACTTATTAAGAAACATTATACTCACTTCTCCAATGTTATTTGTAACTGGAACCAACTTCAAGGATTGCATGGTCACAGATTGTTTAACAATAGGTCTGTTTTTGAACGATACTTGTTCAATTTTTAGCCCACCGCATCTGAAATACCCAACGTTTATATGTTTTACATATATAGTTAAAAATTATTACGATCTGTGAGTACTGTTGTTTGACAATTGGGTGTTTTTCTTCGTCAAAAATAAATTAATTCGACGTTTCAATACAATAAACGATTGAAAAATAACTATATTTTAAATAAAAATACTTTAAAAAATAAATATACTTTTGTTCATCGATCTATCGATACACTATCAATATGTTTTAGTTACTTTTTATGTTAGCGTAGAGTTTATCATGATAATTGTCGAAAAATGTAATGATTATTAAAATAGTAACTAAATATGCTTTATACTCTTACCTGATATCACATCTATCTTCAGTAAGAACAGCATCAAGTATCTTATCATCCGCACAATCCTTAGCGCTGGACGCACACATATGAGTACGGACATCAATGCTGATGCAATTGATGTACTGCGGTTGAGAAATACCCTTATGGTTCTGTCTTAAGGTGCATAATTGAAGAGCCCCGTCAATAAACGTCACCCAATTGTTTCGCCAAATTAATTGGGCTTTAGTAAAGGATTTGTTTGAACTGTGAATGACTCGAAAGTCGTTTCTGAAAATTCGAAAAAAAGAGTTGTTACTTTAATTATTATAACCATATTATGGGTCATTTAATTTTGGTTTCCTAATAGTTGAAGGGCCCAACAATTCAATTTTGAAGATTTTTGATCCTGGTTCTGTTAAATATCAAGTCCTTTTGTCGTTTCGTGTGATCTAGGTATTAAATACCAACCCAGATATTCTATTGTTTTGTCTAAACTAAAATCAAGTTGATAGCTCACTTACTTGTATTCATAACCTCTCTCAAACAGCAGCTTGTATACATTCGAGCTGTCCAGTATAGTTGCATCACTTTGGTCCGCTACCGGGACATCATTATTGGTGCTCCCTTGCTGAATAAATCCTTCTACTAATACCACATTTTCATGTGATACCTGCAAAATAAGATTTCGAAAATTTATCATTGTGATTGTTATGGTGGCTTGAAGTTAAGCTGCTTATTTCCGAAGCAAAAGGATTTCATACCTGTCTGGGAATATTTTTAACAGACTCTCAAAAAGGAAACGGTTACCTATTACCTGATTTATAAAGATTTTTTTGATATGTGACAGGCATAGTAGTATTATTATTACCTCAAATCGTCCGCTGCCTCTGTGCAGCATGACCACAAGTTTGAACACTTGGCTGTCGCGCCACACCGGTTGTTTGTGGTACACTATTTTATGGAACTTTACCGACGTTTCTCGCACAGGCTTCTCTGTGATCATGGAGAGCGTGTCCCATACAAATATTAGTGCCTGAGCTAGCGGGAACACCTTGATACCTAAAAATATTAAGTAACAATGAGCAAGACGCGTTGAAAACAGTCAGTCAACAACTGTGCGATTTAATCGAAACTTTCTGTTCCGCACAGCAAAACTTTGGAATGACCTTCCGGCGGCGGTATTTCCGAACCGATACGACCTTTAAACCGCCAAGAAACGAGCGTACTCCCGTCTGAAAAGGCCGGCAACGCACCTGTGCCTCCTCTGGTGTTTCAGGTGTCCATGGGCGGCGCCGATCGCTTACCATCAGGTGATCCGTCTGCTTGTTTGCATCCTATTCCATAAAAGAACAGAAATTCTGGTACATAGATTGTTTGAGGCGGCTTTACACCTCTTGGTTCTATTTCCTGGAAATACAATAAGCTGTTTTTCTACTTTACCTTCTACTACACTTCCTTCCAAGAACTTGTACTCTTCGTTGTATTTCGTGACCAAAGGTTTGTATACCGCCATGTAATCCGTTTTTGGAAAGTCATACGCACTGAGATGCCTAAAAGTAAATTATTTGTTAAAGTATTGGGAAAAGTAAAGCATTACACCCTTGCGATTTTTATAGAACTTACCATTTTTCAGAGTGTACCCATTCCACTAAATGCGACAACATCCCAGTTTGCGTGGACACTGGAAACTCGATCTTTGGATATAAGACACTGATGTCCATATCGTAACCTTCCATGTAAAGCCTGCCAATAACAATAATGATCAATTTTATAAACTAGTTAAGAAATAATTAAAAAAAGAACGAACAATTTCTTCGAATTTCAAAATATAAAAAAGGATTTGACGTGTTTTTATTTTTTTTTAAGTTGTGGATACGCAACGTATTCTAGAAATTTCTAAATGATTTGATTTTGTACTTACGTCCCTAAAGCTTCAAGAAGAAGCAACACATTATCTGGATGACCACGCCTAGTGAGAGCCACGTTAGTACAGGTCGAAGCCAAAGAACGTTTCAGAATAGCCTGCATCAGACCATGTGGCGCTATCTCTATTAGCACTGCGTCATTTGGCACATGTCTCAATCCCTCCTCGAATAGAACCGGACTCTAAACAATAAATAACAGTATTGTTACCAAACTGACCCCATTTAAATGGTCTCTAAAGCAGTTACCGAGCATGAGTGATTCAAGTATGGGATAGCCATGCTTCAGCACGAATGGGTCAGTTCGACTAGAGTAACACCAAGGCTTCACGGAAAACCACACATTGATCTCCAAAAAACGGTAACGCCCTTTGGTGTTGCGGGTGTCTATGAGCAGTGCCGATGGTTAACCGTCTGCACTCTTGTGGACATATCACATAAAAAATACAAGGCAATAATGCGTTACTAGTTGATTTGAGGAATACTACGTTGAAAAAATACGTGGATACGGTTATCTTACCATCATATTATTGACGTGGTAGGCCGGTGTCGAATACTGAGCCTCGGGTTCATCCCAACGACTCTGCTCGACAGATGTTGATATCCAGCGCTTACTGCGGAGTTTTGGTTCTTTGATTACGTCTCTAGTCTGCTCCAGAAGCTTAGGTCCTGAAAATATTTATTTTTGTCCTAGTTTAAATTTTTTTTACAAGTTTGAGAAGTTGGTTCGAATTCGGTTTCTATTAATTTTGTACCAAGAATTAAAGACTTGTTGATTCCCACAAGTTTGTTATCAAAGCAGTCAGATAAATATACGTTTTTTTAAAAAACGTTGCCCCTCGCTAGTACTTTATTCTGTGTCGTGAGTGCGGTTAGAAATATACAAGTTCATATAAACATCCAGACCCGGAACAACAATTTGTGGATCACACAAAGAGTTGTTCCGTGTGGGAATAGAACCCGCGACACGTTACACGGCAGCCAGTTGCTCAGCCACTGCATCATCATCATCTAGTTTTTATATGTAATTTTGACGTGTAAAAGTGCAATTATTGGCCTATATGCAAAAATATATTTATTGCTTCATTAATGTTGCTTTACTAACCTGCTTGGGCCACATAGCGAGAATGGTAGGCAATGTTCGAACTTTGAACTTCTTTAGCAAAAACGCCACGGGCAGTCAGTTCGTTGACAAATGTACTCATAACATCCTTGGGTCCGGAAATCGTGCAAGACTCGGGGCCATTATGACAAGCTACGTCGATCTCAGGTGGGCAAATCTTCGAGATCTAGAACATATCGAAGGGTTGTTTAGAATGATTGTAAGAGAAGATATTAAATGCTAAGAATTATAACGTTATTTATTAGTTGTGAGTTTGCAAGTTGTTGCTATTAGTTATTTAGTTTATTGGGAATACGTTGCAATAGTGTTGACAGTAAACAGATATTCAATTTGGCATATTTTTTGCTGTTTTTCCTATTATTAACATATAGTACTACCATGCCGTTACTTTCACAAAATATATGATGTGTTTAAAGATGAATGAATAAGCATAACATAATTCAAGCATAAAAGCAATATGTTTACTAGGTATTTGCTATAAAAATACTAATAGGATACAGTTAAAATGTATTATATTATGTATGGAATGTATTAAATTGAAAATAATACTTTATTCTTTTCAGACTAAACTATATCCATACATTGCAAGTAAGAATAATTTTAAACATTTTGCTAGTACCTATTTATTTTATTTTATTAAAATAATTACTGAAATTATAATTAAAATAATCAATGTAATAACTTTTCTAAACTGTGGCCCACACTAGAATTTTTCCTGTGCCTAAGGTGTGTTCACAATTATAAAAGGGAACAGCAAAATTCAAAAGTTGTACTGTGCAGGAATCGAACCCGCGACACGTTGCACGGCAGCCGACCAGCCAGCCATCGCGTCAACATTCCAGTCGCGACGCTAGCAGATGAGTGTAACGTCCAACCAAAGCAGCAGATTATTGCTCGCTGTCATTTGTATTTTACTAATGTCAGCAGTTGAATAATAGAGAAACATCACGGCAGTGCTAAATGGCGCTACACTAAATAATTGTTTTGCATAAATACAAAAACTTTGTATAAGCAACTAGCGGCCCGCCCCCGCTTCGCACAGGTCCGACTATCTCGCTGTCAAAGGGTCACTTTTTCCTAATCTTCCCCTCTAGTTTTCTATTATTTTCTTTGATAAGAACCTTCTCCCGGCAATAACAAACACAACAAAAAAGAATAAGAAAAATTGGTCCAGGCGTTGTTGAGTTACCAACACATTTTGCGATCCATTTTTATATATAAGATTACCTGTTTGAATCCCATCCCAACAGCAGCCATAGTTCCTCTCGTGAATTCCGTCGTCGTGGAAACGATTCCTCTGTTGTACGACAACAGGATCATCTCTTCAGCGGTAACACAACCATCTGCGTAGGCACAACCTAACTCCCCAACACTGTGACCTGAGACAAAAATGTAGTTAAGTTTTAAAAAAGTGTTAATTAAAAAGGGACTTCAGTATATATTTGCCACAAGAATACCAAAGAGAGGGATTTTGTATTGTATCCCTGGTCGAATTAAGTACTAATTAAAATATGAATATTTTATTAGCGACCCATTCCGGCTTCAAACAGTTGCAATGCTGGTACTAAATTTGTCGACTATTTAATGGATGTCATTTATGAACCTTTCTTTTCAATCAGTTCGTTCACTGTATCAATTTACAAAAACAGCATCAAAATCGGTTGTCTAGTTTAAAAGATTTAAGCATACCCTATGTACATATGTTTAATGTAGTAAAATAATAATTTTAATCTTTAGATGGAACAGAAAGCGACTTTGTTTTATACTATGTAGTTATATATGTAGATGTATAAAGTGATCTGAAAAGGGCATTCCACCTCCATTCGCAAGCTAACTTGATCGTATACCTATCTCATATTATGTCAATATTATTTTATTGTTTCTCGAAACTAATGAAGGAATACATAGCGGTGGACGTTTTATACCTGATGTGACAATGAAGCTCCTTTTTACTGCAATTCAATAATAAAATGAATCCTTAAAATTACCGATGACATTGTCAGGTACCAGGCCAACAGCCCGCAAGATGTCGGTGAGCCCGATCTGTATGGCCGCGATACCGACGAAGCTGTTCAGTATATTGTCGAACATGGACTTGTCGGGGTTGCTGATAATGTCCACTATGTCCAACCCTTTCGGCTTCAGTACTCTGTCGCATCTGGAATAAGGAGCGTACAATATTATATTTAATATTTTCTACTGCAGTTGGCACTAAATTCTAAGGTCATACAAATTGGTTACCTCTCGATAGCGGCTGCGAATATCGGTATGCGCATGAGTTGTTCACCCATACCGGCCCACTGGGAGCCCATACCGCTGTACACGAACCATAGAGGACGGACTACGGTGTCGTAATATTTCGTCTTTTCGCTGAGCGTCACAGTTTTATTTTCTTTGGTTTCTGAAAATTGATACACAAATGGTTATTTCCTAAAAATCATTATATTTATTGAAATCGGTATGTTCACAATCTAAGAAATAGATATAAATATCTAAGTACTTTAAAAACCAAAATTACGAGTACCTATTTGTGTGTTTATTTAGAAAGGCATTTCTTAATTTTTTTACAGAATAAATCAAAATAACTATTGCTTTTTTCGGGATTGTCAAGGCCTCACATCTATATTATGGCATTGCAGATTAAAGGGCAACTCATTTTAATCCTTGAATTATACCTAAATCTACATATACTATTATTATAAAGAGATAAAATTTGTAAGCTTGTATGTAGGGGTAATCTTTGGAGCCACTCTGGTCGGATTCGGAGCTACAATGTTCCTGAATGCGATAGGCTATAAAACATTATCATCATCATCATCATCATCATCATCATCATCAGCCCTTTTCAGTCCACTGCTGGACATAGGCCTCTCCTATTGCACGCCACTGGGATCGATCTTCGGCCACTCGCATCCAGCTCCTGCCAGCCATCTTGCGCAAATCATCATCAAAACATTATGCTACGATCAAATGGAGCAGAGCAGCATGTGAAACCGCGCGAGAGTAGCTAGTGTCCTATATATCAATAAATGAATCGTCAACATACCGTATACAGCAAACCCTCGTGCCATATGGTTCGATATCTTCGACTTATGTATTTCATGGTACAATACTATTTCTTCAGGATCCAGTTCCTTCGACTTTATATGATCAAGTATTTTCTGTACTCCTGACTCTTGTCTTCCCGAGGCTAATACGAGCCTCGGAATTGAACTTTGGTAACGGGTCACATCCTGGAAGTAATCAAATAATGTTTTTGTATGTAGTTGATTGAGGTCTTCCCCTATGAAATTGCCGTTAATTAAAAAATAAACTTAAGATTGTTTATCTTTGGATTGACTTGGGATTATAATATCTAATTAACGATATATTAACGGTACGTCATGTTTTTTTATATCAGGTATTTTGTATGTTGTATCGTCGTGTGAATCCTTCCCCTCCCCCAATCCCTAAATCTCCAAATTCCCTAATGCCGAAAAGATCGGCAACGTACTCGTAACTCCTCTGTTACGGGTGGCGCTGATTGCTTACCATCAGGTAATCCATCTGCCCGTTTGCCGGTCTATTACATAAAAAAGGTAAAGTTATGAAGAGAAATCAAACACGATTTACCTTCTCCTTGTAATGTCCTTTAAGTAACAAATGGGAATTCATGCCGGTGATGGCGAAGTTATTGAGAGCAGTGTATGTCCGAGCGAATGGGGCGTGTTCTGTCACTATCTGCATGCGGCCATCTTGCAGAGCTGGCACGTCCTTGCGTGGATTGTCGCAGTGCAGGTTCGCTGCTAGCTCTCCTCTGTGGTAAGCCAGTAGCAGCTGTTGAAAATTAAATAAGTATATGTCTGTGATCTATACAATAGCAGAAAATATAGGATCATGCCACTTCAGGTGAAACTTTTTATGGTGTAAGTACTAAAATATGAGAGTCACACAATACTATATTTAAGGGCGATTTTTCAATGTTTTTGTTTTTGAATAAAAGTTACCTGGGGAATAATTATGATGCTGTCGCGTCAGAATGTTTGTATAAGACAGTGACAGCAACAATTTTATTCCTGAGATAACATATATCTGACTACTATTATTTAACTCCTAAATACCGTCGTCCTGTATCATTACAAAGTTTTTCTATTGCTTATTATATTTATAGTCACATTATCATCAGCATATAAGTGCCTACTGCTGAGAAAATGCTTGCTCAAGGCTGATTGATTGTAGTTATTTTTGTAGTATCGATGAAATTTTATTAATATTGTATATTTAAATTTAATTACCTTGATAACTCCGCACAATCCCGATGTTTCACCAGTGGAACCTATATTAGATACGACACTACCAACGAGGAGTGGTTTCTTGCGGTCCTTGCAGAACACTTGCTCTAGGGATTCCAATTCCGCTTTGTCAACCACAGGATCAGCTGTGGACCAGTAATATTATAAATACAACAAGCCCTATAGTAATATGTCCTACCTACAAACAATGAACAATAGACTTTTCAAAGCGAATATATGTATAAATTTTGAATGATTTAATATGAAGTGCGTGTAAGTAAATTAAATTAGTGGCACGTCCGAATTTGCTCGGGTATTATTCCCAACATTTGTTTGAAGTGTTGTAATGTAGTATTGAATAAATATAAGTGTTACACAGTTCCCATATAATAGAACCAACTTAATAATGTACCAATGAATCTGTATGTGAAATTGATTGGACAAGAGTAACCATGGAGTTTCTTGCTCGTTCTTCTCCATCGGAATCTACACTTTTGAACGAGCAAGAAGCTAAGCTAGCGGCTAAGGGGACTGACCGACAGTCTGACACTTTTTATCTTAAAACTTTGATTGACGTTCAAAAGTGCCTGTTATATACATCGTTTAATTTTCAAGTTTTCATCGATAGGTTGGTAGTCCATTCTTAAGTCGCAGAAATATAATTTAATTTATATTTATACAAGATAAAAAAGACGATTTATGCAATGAGTAATCAAGATTTTTTCACTTTAAATTATAATTATTGCTTCATGAATTGACAGTCGATTATAGAATGTAAACATGTATTTTTACAGTATTAGCAATCTATACCACCATGTTCGTCGACTAACGAATAAATAAAGCAAGTTTGGTTGTGGTACCTGCTCCGCACCCCTCGACGTACTCCACAGACGATGGTGATACTCCTGCTTCTTCGTAGAACTTTTCCAATTTTTTCGCCCACTTGGCAGGGTCCCGGTATTTTCCGATAGTATCGTAACAAAAATCTGATTTCACATGACAGACCTCGGCGTAGATTCTGAAATACAATATTTTAATTTAATTCTAATTTAAATATAATACCTAATAGAAATGTGAAAGTGTTTGAAGTGGTATATATTATGTTTGTTATTCTTTTACTCAAAAACGGCTGGACCGATTTGGTTAAAATTTGGTATGTAGATAGGTATGTAATACCCTGGATAAAAGTTTTGTGTTACATAACTTTTTATCAATATACTACCCGAAGGAAGCCGCGGGCTGAAGATATTATCTAAATAAAGTAAAAAAGACGTATTTATTTTAATGGGTAAACCTATGATATAGTAAAAAAATAAAGAAAATAGCATTTTGATCACCTTTTTGCATCTTCATACTTCTGCAGGAACAGCACGCTGACATTTTCAGATTCTATGAAACCTTCAGCATTTACGTCGTAGCACTTACTTTTACCATCGGGGCTCATTGGGTTTAACCTGAAAGAACAGTCGCTCACTAAAATATAATTATTCAACATACAATACGTATAGCAAAAAAAAATTGTTTTGTTGTCAATTTTTTATTTCGCGGCCAACAGAGTTTTACAAATCTCAAAAAATATCGGTCCACGTAATATCAACATGTTAAATTCCATTATCGATAAATACATATAATTTTATTAAGAACTGTTACGTAAATGAATCGTGTTTGACAAAAGCGTCCATATTAATTTTCATATTGATTGGATTCCTAGTATTCTTACTCATCTGTCAGTGTAGGTAAGTACTATCGACACCGACGGTAAGTTATTCTTGACTATCTAAGGGTGGGGGAAAACCAGTGTTGGGTTCTCACGGAGCCCAACTCATACTGAGATGGCAACCGTTTTGGCATGGGCACGCTTCTTTTTATGTTTGTTGTCAATTTTGTTTAAAAATAAATGCCACTTTAATGTTATAAGTCAACAATGGCTTTACCAATTTGGCTGATTTTGGTCTTGAATTGTTTGTGGAAGAAGTCCAGAGAAGGTTTGGTACGTAGAGAACATTTAAATCTTGAAAAAGTTTTAAATCGAGATTTAAGCGGGCGGAGCCGCAAGCAACCGCTAGTCTTACTATATAATTGATAATATTTTGTGTTTTGTGATTTGTTTTAAGTTGTAACTCAACAGCATTTGTTTTTTTTCTTCATTACGTTTTGCGGCATATTCGGTGTTAAATAAACTATTTTTTCTTTCTTTCTTTACCTGTTACGATGTATGTAAATGTGAGGTTGCAGCATAATTCGAGAGCCGCCAATAATCGCAGCGTCGCAGTGGCCATAAGCAATGGCCTCGCGCGCCATCTGCAGTGCTACGATCGAGCTGCAGCAAGATGCATCTATCGGGAACGATGGTCCTTTCAGGTTTAGCCAGTACGATATACGATTTGCTATCATAGCCTTGCTAGTTCTGAAATTATATTGTTAATGGTTTAAATTTGTATTACTGCTTATATTATTATTATATCGCATTCTACGACTAGAACTTATGTGATTATAAATGGAAAAACTTACCCTAGCAACGCAGAATATCCTTTTTCATTGAATACATAAAGTAGTTTGAACGTCTCATCGAAACCATTACCGATGAAGACACCAATACGCTTGCCCGACAGGTCCGAAGGGCTCACACCTGAAAATCGTCACATTCAGTTACTTCTTTCCTTAGCACTATTAAATCTTTTCATGTTCCATAACGTGTCTACTTCTCATACGGAGTTGCCAGTTACACGCAATAATGTATCGCGGCCTGGAGCAGAAGAAAGAACGGGGTGGGACTTAGTCAGTAAGAGACTGACACTCCCTATCGCCCCGCCGAGGGCCAGGGAAGACATATACACTTCAATATATGCTTCAAATTCGGAAAAACCTAACAGTTTAATTGACATGAACAATACAACGCGAATTAAAAGGATTTAAACATTCGCTCATTTCAAACTACTAAAAGTATGTATATGCACTGATCATTAATCAAGTTAAACTTTGTGACTGCTTTAATCTAAATTAACCTTCTGAAATCTTTTTATGAATGAGCTTAATTAATAGGATCGTTAATCGGTTTACTCAACTAGTGTTTCTCAACTAAGTTTTAATGACAGTTATACTCGTCCAGCAATTAAACCAGTCCTTTGTATTTTTAGAGCTCTATATACGGGGCTCTGCACTACAGCTCAAAAAACCCTAAAAACCTAAACATAGCTTACCTGCATCAATGATAGCCTGATAAGCTTGTTCAAGTATTTTCCTGCTCGTGGAGTCACAGGTCTGAGCCAGCCGGTAATGTATCATAAAGTACTGTGCGTCAAAACGGTCCAAACCCGGTATTGACCCTCGGTACGGGTTCACTTCAGGGTGGTTACTTTGCCAAAGGGGATTTTGATCAGTAACAAAATTTTCCTGTCGATGAAAAAACTTGTTATATTTCGAGCTACATTATAGAAACTTAATTGTATAAACCTGAATCGAATGAAACCTCACATTCTATATTTTTATTTTGACGTTTAAATTACGATGTAGCGAGTTATCTAAATATTCTTTAGTATTATTAGCGCGATAAAAGAATATTTTATTATGATTTTAGCTTAGTAAAAATATACTAGATTGTAAAGTCCCACAATATTTCACAGCTTCATCAATCAATAATGCTAATTTTCTTTTTTCAATAAAAAGCGGTCTCGTAGTATAAATAAAGTGCAAAGTTCTACAGCCGGTGTGCTTACCTTGTTATAAAGTTTCTTATTAAACTCATCGAGGTCCGTACATCCCGGCATGAGCGCCGACATGCCACTAATTACGACGCGGTTAAATGGTACTCTAGCGTCAGAGTGGTTGTGGCTCCCAGCCATCTCTACTTCTTCATTGAAGTTGGCCACCATGCTACAAATGAACATTTATAAGAATAGAACCAATGAATAGAAACGTATATCAATCAATACATCTGTTTCTTCTAGTCTTATAATATCAAGAATAAAAAATAAAATTCCTGTATAGGTATGTACATAGGTTCCTCGGGGAGACCTTTCTCAGAATGGGCCCAAACACTTCAAGTCATGACCTCATGTTTATTAGAAGCATTTAAGCCGTAGGTTCGAGTATTCAGACAAACTTTTCAAAAACCAGGAAAAAATACTGAACCGAACTGATTTTTATGAGACCTGGCACTAATTTGTATCATGGTCTAAAACTGAATTAAGAACATTTTCGAAAAAGAGTTTGCAATGGTTTGCATTTGCATAGGCACAGAGATGAAGTTTTGAGTTTCCATATACACACGTAAAATCGTAAATATCTGCCAAAAAAACTATTTCGAAAATATATTAAACTAAGTTTGAACGACCTACTTTGCGTGTAAGTACTAAGTTTTAATAACATAATCTTTCAGTAGTTGTCATGGTTTTTTAGTCCTTTTTGGAAGTCCGTTAGAATGCCTAAAGATCACGGCAACTTACAAAGCAACTCGATTTAAATCGAAATAATCCTAATTTAATCAGGTAGCGCGTTCAATTAGGTACAGCAAAAAATATTTAAACACAATACTCACGTTGCTAGTTTTCAAGAAAAGTTTCTGTCACAAACACCCGAATGTTTTCCTGAAACACACTAACCGAAATGACGATATGATTAACGGGGATTCTAATATATATAACGTACTGAAAAAATATATTCAAATTACTATTAATATTCGGTACTAGTTTTATAATAATTATAATGTAAACAATGACCTGACGTTGACCCCTTGATGTTGCAAATATTTTTTTTTCGTTGTTAACGTAAGCTGTTACCTATGCCGATATAATTTTTAATTTACAATTGAAATACAATTTTGTTCAAAATTCTAGCTCACATACCTAATAATAAAGCACAATTTTAAGAGAAAACAGCGGTCTTTGATGGGCCATCCAACTAATAATGAAATGCATAGATTGTTAATGATAAAAAATGTAAGTACTAGTAGTGCTGTGTGATTAGTTCTTCTAATATTTTTAAAGTTTGTACATACGCATGGATCTTTGTGACTGACTCTTTTGCGTGGAAAGTATTCTTTTCTTATTTCTTTTTTTAACGTTGCCCACACATTAACATTTTCTCCAGTGGTTTTACAACTAAACAATTGCACATACACATCCCACCCAGACCCGGAAAAACAATATATGGATCACACGAAGTGTTATTCCGTGCGGGACACGTTGAATGGCAGCCAGTTGCTCAGCCACTGCGCCAACCGTATCAATATTGAATGGATCTGAATGAAATTGTCCTTACGCACCAACCGCCACAGGAGAAGACAATCCGGGCGTCAGCTTACCTTTTTTTTTATGGAATAGGTCGGCAAACGAGCAGACGGATTACCTGATGGTAAGTAATCAGCGCCGCCCATGGACACCCGCAACGGAGGAGCAACGAGTGCGTTGCCGACCTTTTAGGGATTAGGGTTTTGGAGATTTAGGGATTGTGAGGGATCGGGGGAGAGAAGGATTGGGCCTCCGGGTTACCTCACTCACACGGCGAAACACAACGCTGTGGTTGTTTCACGTCGGTATTCTGTGAGGCCGTGGTATCACTCCGGTCGAGCCGACCCATTCGTGCCGAAGCTTGGCTCTACCACACTGAAATTACCTCAAAGAGTCATTCACGGATAGGGCTCATTCATGGATGTACCACGGCCTCGACGCGGAGCAGGAGAAGGATGGAGTTGGTTTTTAGTAAGTAAGAGTCTTACACTCCCTATCGATTTACCCTGTTTAGGAAAAGTAATTTGGCAACTTTTCCCCATAAGATAAATTCTAAATGAAATTGGACACAGAGATTGTAGTTAGTCAGAAAATACTTTTTCAAAGGGGAAAAGTCGCTAGCAGAAACTAGTATATAATAAATAGTGTTAAACGCGATTTCAATGTAGACATCGCATTTATAATACCTATTTTGAATAGATTTAAATAATTATTAAAATTAAATAAAATGTTTTGAATACTCAGTAGCTATACAATACATTAACTGTTAAATAAGCCATATCGTTACATAATGTTACTAGTGCTTTTTGATGTTTTACATTTTTTTTTGTGTACGTAGTTTGTGTAATTATTATTTTAATAAATTCTACTAGATTGAAAGTGTAAAGTATTGCCAGAGGCTCTGCAGCACTCGTTTAGGAATTGTATGCTGTAGTAGTTTTTAAGTGTGGAAGAGCCATGAGTGAGGTCATCATCGGGGTCCGTTTCTATTCAGGAAGATAGTTGTTGGGGTAGGGCTGTTCTAAATTACCCATAGGTTTTAAGTTGTGTATGACATGTATGTGTAAGGTCTCAGTACGTTCGGGACCATATTTCGCCATGAATGGGCCGGCTCGACTGGCGTGATACCACTGCCTCACAAAAAACGGGCATGAAGCAACACTTACATTGTGTTTCGCCGTGTGAGTAAGGTTATCGCAGTCTCAATCCTCCTCTCATCCTCTATCCTAAAATCCCCTATCCTGCTGCGCACTTGAAGTAACTCCTTTGTTATAACGATTGTCCATCAGTTTTGCGCGGTCATTTGCGTCGAGCACACGCTTAGTAGCAATTGCTCCGTAAATTTATTTTAATAACCAGTGAAAACAAAAAACATTAAAACTAAAATGGATAACGATAACGAGGAGGAGGATCTAAGGTTTAATAGTGATAAAAGTGATTCAGAATTACTCAACGAATGCGAAATGGTTTTGGAAGATTTGAATGATAGTGTTGAAACCAGAAGAAAAAACTTGAGAAAGTCTGTTGAGAAAAGAAAAGAGAGAGAAGATGACAGTAGCGTAGAAGAATATATAACTGTTACCAGGAAGTCTAAACGCCTTATTCGTAGCAACTCGAATAATACAGAGAATAACAACGTAACACAAAAAAACAATCTGAGGGTAGAAGAAAAACAAAATAATGATGCAACCAATATTGAAGTTTGTGTATCATCGGTAAATACCTTACCTAAACAAATGGCTTTCGCAAAGTTGTTGAACAACGAAAATATCAAAAATATACTTAGAATAAAATACAAAAGCCCCTACAAGGTACTTATACGTTTTGCCACTAATGAAGATGCTGAGAATATGATAAGATGTCAAAAATTTAAACAACTAGGCTTTAAATGCTATATGACGTATGAGTCAACTATGTCTTTTGGTATAATTAAAGGTGTTGACATGGAGTTAGAGGAGGAAGAAATTATGAATATTTTAGAGAGCGAATCAAAAATCATATCAATCAAAAGATTAAAACGAATTAGTTTAAACGAGGTATGGGTTGACAGCGAAACTGTTAAACTATGTTTCGAAGGTTCCACTTTGCCGTCATACGTATATGCGTATGGATGTAGATTCAAGGTGAATCCTTTTGTATTTCCTGTAACGCAATGCACGGGATGCTGGAAGTTTGGACACTATCTCAAATACTGCCCAACTAAAATTAAAATTTGTCCCAAATGCGGCGGTCAACATGAAAATTGCGAAATTATAGATTACGTTTGTCTAAACTGCAAGGGCCCCCACTTAGTATTAGACAAGTAATGCCCTTTACATATTAAAGAGAAAAGTATCCGAGCAATTATGGCCAAGGAAAATTCTACATATAGAAAAGCTTTAGAAATGTACAATTCAGCTCAAAACAAAAATATAAACAACATACAAGAACAAATAGATACAAATATACAAGAATTCCACCAAACGTTAACACATATGACATCATCAGCGCTTAGTAACTCGTCAGAATTATACAGTTCTATCGTAGCTAAGAATGGAACAAAAAGAAGCACAGAAGATAAGCTGGCTTACAGTAACTATCAAAAAGGCAGTGACATTGGCACATCGCAGAAAAAGACAACAAAAGAAAAACCATTGTTTACGCAGGAGGTAACTATGACAATACAAGAAGATCGAGCTGATACCAACAACGGGGATAGTAACTGCAATAAATTAGTAGATAAGTACAAATTTGATTTTAAGAAATTCATTTTGAAACTTAAAAACATTATTTTGTCTGAAAGAAGTTTAGAGGAGAAGATTGTAACATGCATAAAATTATTGTATGAGGATGTTAAAAACTGTATATGTAGTCTATTCGATAATGTTAACTTGATACAATACTTACTGTCAATTTTTAATGGATAGCAGCTCTTATCATTCCGTTATTAACATACTGCAGTGGAATTCACAAAGTATTAAACCTAAATTACAAAACTTTGCGGAGATTTTGTCTATAGAAAAAATTCACGTAGCAATTATTAGTGAAACTTGGTTGGACTCGGAAGAATCTCTCTCTATTAATTCATACAATGTTTTTAGACAAGATAGATTAGATAGCTATGGCGGGGTTGCCATTTTAGTTCATAAATCGGTTCAAGCACACGCTATTCCAATCAGTATTAGGAATACCGGTATAGAAATATTGCACGTCAAATTGGTAAACTGCAGTAACTTACAGAACATTGTCTCCATATATTGTCCATCATCAAAACCTACACAAACGTGCGATTGGGAAGAAATATTTGAAAAATTCATAAGCAAATCCTTGATAGCGGGAGACTTCAATGGTCATCACACGAATTGGTCGTACAAGAATGATTCGAGGGGTACACAAATATATGACGCATCGTTAGAGTACGGATTAATTTCTCTCAATAGTGGGGCACCTACACGTATTAAATTGGTAGAAGGTATCTTAAGGCAGACTTCACCAGACATTTCATTTGTATCACCAGATATTGCGACAGAATTCTATTGGCAAACTCTTCAGGAAAATTTAGGCAGCGACCACCTATTCATCAAAATAACAAAAAATCATTATGATAAATCACGTCACATTAAAAAGCGTAACCTAAGGTTAGCTGATTGGAAAAAATATAGGGAT